GGGGGGGGGGGGTCAACCTCAAATGTGTCGATGTTTATGCTGTACTGGAGTGAGAAAATTATACGAAATATTTGCCACCAAACACAAGGCAAATACATAAAACGAACAATTGACTCACTCCGATAAATGTGTTTTGTTTTAGAGTTGAACCCCCGTCACTTCTGTGACGTCATATGAAACCCAAGAATGGGGGAAATAATTATGTTAGTTGATATATAATCCCCGAGCCTCGGAGTGATAGCCTAGGGTGAGTGTACTAATTCCACTTGGCTATTTACATGCAGGAGACAGGCAGCAAGTAGATTCAAAAGTTGATCAAAGTTTGTGGGTGCAATGGCTGTAATAGATGCTTCGTCATTCATGGGTGGTCATCTTACTGATCTCAAAAATATGAATGACTGCCAGGAGTGGAATATGCAGAGAACGAGTTACTTATATGCTTATTTTAAACAGATTCAGGGGGGACGGACGGGGGGGGGTGCACACCCCACCTAGTGATACCTGAGTAAGGAAAAATGTAAACCGGTGGATCAAAATTCAAATCTCGATTCAAATCATGAATCAAGATACTAGTAGTAAAAACTTTTTCGTTTTCAAGTGAAATTTGGATGTTTGACTCAAGAAAATTAGTGGAAGCTATTTGAAACCCTTCAAGATCCATCAAATAAACTTGAAACCTTCAAATAAACTTGAAAGCTCGATGTGAGAAATAGGCAATGTTTTTACCGGTTTTTTATATTAGAATCAAAGAATGTTCATTCTTTAATAATTGCACAAGACAGGGATCGTAATAACAGGAAACTTTACACGACACAAAACAAAAAATATACCTCAGAATCGTTGCCTAAATTTTCAGTGCTTGGCGTTGTATTGTGAAGCGCGCCATCATAGATTTGTAGTCTTTCCAGTTGCTCTCGAAGTTCGCTGTAAATATCACTGTCATTGTCTGTCGAAGATTTTTTGCACTCGGCACCGACCGGAGTGCGTGTTATTTCGCTAGACGGAGACCTAGGATCGCTAACAACATTACCTATATCATGATCGCATATTTCTACGCCTTCATTTCGATAAAAGACTGGCGTCCTTTCGACACCAGCGCTGGGCGATCGCGGGTCCCACATTGGACAATTACCGATTTCCTTCTCGATTTTAGGCGTCTGTGGACCTCCATATGCTTCAAAAGGCACCTTGCTTTCGCTTAATCCCATTTCGAGTCAATTTCGTAGGTTTTTAGCGCTTTTGTTTGCTTATTTCAAACCGAAAACCTCTTGTAAACAGACTGTCTAACCGAAATAAAGCAAATTGTAATTTTATAGTTTTAAATTTAAACGCCTCGGCAAATTAGCCAATCAGAGAAGAGAATGCGTTATTTTCTGGCGCAATACCGCTGGCATTTGGCGCGAGGGCGTTCATATTTAAAAAACTTTTCGAAATAGAAACATTTTATTTGCAGAAAATTGTGGCTCCTCTGGCTAAGAAATTTCGCACTTTTATCGAGTTTTCTTGAAAGAGTTTGAATGGGAATGGTCATTTGAATGTATGATGATGCCTCTATGTGATTTTTTGTTAATATTTAACAATATTTAAACGGTTTATGCTAATGCAAACACAAGCCGTTGTTAGGGCAACGAGACGCTATATCAAATAAAAATAAACACGGCATACACAAGATCGCAAGGTTGTATTAAAATACTATATGGTTAGACAAGGCTGACAAGTATCGTACTGTTTACTATGGTTGTAAACGAAGGGGTTGGCTTTTGTGAGCTTCAAAACACAATAGATTTGTCAGGGCATGGAAAGTGTTTGGAAAATTTAAGTGAAGTTAATACTGAGCAGAAATCAGTCTGTGAAACGACAGAAGGAAGAGGGGAAGATACCGTTGAGACGCTCCAAAGTGCCTTTTTGAAATTTAAAAGGAATAGACAGGTTAGTTTATGAAGTTTATCCAGTAAAGTGTCAGACTGTCAATGGGAGCATTTGAACAGCTACCGTATTTTTTATTACAGCCAAATATCAAATAGATATTTTTCTGGTCAAGGACTATTGTCGCAATCCGCGCGCACTAGAGAAACACACTGAGGTAGTCCCCACACATGGCAGTTAGCTCGATCAGCAAGTTTCTCTTGTGTGCGACAGGCTTAAATTAAAGTGCAAGTATCAGGTACATTCCCAATCTCGTACCCAGAGTATCCGAACGGGCATACTATACTCTGGGTACGAGATTGGTACGTTCCATTCCAGATTTTGCAGACTTTCCTTCAGTGAATATAGCTACAAATTAGTCATTCAGTTCCATTAAACTTGTGAAGTAAAGTAATTAAAATTTTCCCAAATTACTAGAATAAGCTGCAACAGCTTGCTTTAATAGAAAAGAAATTCAAACAAAATAGAAGTGAGGAACAAATCAATAAACTACGAGAAAAGTTTGTTGAGCAAGCAAAGACCTACCTTGGTGTACCTTATGCCAGACGATATCATGAACCAGGCAGTATGAAATTTATTTTAATTACTACTATAGCTTCCGCTTGATGCAAAGTTATTTAATTAAAATATTGTATAAGAAAAGATTTTGTGTACACAAACATGGAACAACATGCACTCAGAATTTATCTATTTTTTATATGACCACACCCATTATTTGTTCAAGGGCCACACCCACTATTTGACTTATGGCATTATCCAGTATTTATTAAATGACCACACCCATTCTGTTATATGACCACACCCACTATTTATTAAATGACCACGCCCATTATTTGTTAAATGGCCACACCCACTATTTGTCTTATGGCATTAGTGGATTACCCAGTATTTATTAAATGACCACACCCATTCTGTTAAATGACCACACCCACTATTTGTTTAATCTCTAATAATGAAGTTCATCTATTGCTAATGTTATCACATCTTGGAAAGTGAGCAAAAAAAGGTTTAGTTTTAAAAATTGGTGAAATCTTAGCCTGCGTAGCGGCTCTCAGAGAAAGTAGATGTGAGAGCCGCTACGCAGGCTAGTGAAATCTTCACTTCATGGAGGAATATTAACTTTAAGCAATGAGTACTTTTTTGTTTGACATTTTAAGGTCCTGAATATGATTCTCCACTTTTCCTTGATTGTTGTGGACTGGTTCGCAAAGTCCTCCGTGACCTGAAAGAAGATTTTGGATTCTGTATTGGTCCTTGGAACCAAGCTTATATGGTAGCTCTATAGTTCTTGTTTCAGCTATTTAAATGTTTGATAAGTGGCAGCAGAGTAATTTTATTAATGTTGTGTATTTTTACTATTTTAGTTTGATACTCTGCCCAATACTATTGAAGATATAAAAGATATGAGACCTGGAGATTTGGTATTTGTATCCGGAACTTTCTACAATCCCAAAAGTAAGTTAACTTTAAGGAATCACATAATGGCAATTATAGGGAATTAATTGGATTCATCTGTTCTTCTTCCCCTAAATTACTGATCCCCACAACAACGTCGGGGCATAACTCACAATCTTTTTGTGATCTCCCAATGATCCGATAATTAGATGGTAGTTAGGCATCTTAATCGAGCAATGTACATCTTAACGAGCAATGTACTGGTTGTGTATTTTAGAAAGGAAACAAAAACATAACATGGTTCACATTGAGATCTGGGCTGGCGACGGAGAAAAAACAATAGGAGCTAGATGGCAGAAAGAAAAGTAGGTTTGAAACCTCATGCAACTCTTGTTAGTGTTAGAATCAAAACCGTCTCAAATTTTGTCAATTCTCTAGTAAAGGGTACAAGTTCGTTGTTTTAGAATTGAAACAGTTTCTCGTTTGGTTAATTTTCTCGATTAGAGTACAAATTCACGAATCGTACCAGTATGTATCCAAGAGTTACTATAATATGGTGTATCACTTCAAGTCTATTGACACGTGGTTGAACGGATTATGTAAAAGGTAATGTTTGGTTAAAAGCTAAAGTAACTGTAACTTTATTCGTACTAAACTGCTCTCCCTAGAGTTCCGTTAAAGACCTTCCTTTATTTATTTATCCAGCGTTTCTCAATTTTTCGTGTTATTCTTTTAGCTTTTGTTCACAGCATCTATGGGAGTCGTCCTCCTATATTCCTGGGAAAAAGTCAATATTTTCAATGCCGCAGGCAGACGAGCCAGCTGATGACTTTGGCGAAGAACAATTTACCAAAGAAACTGAAAAATCTCATGAGACAGGTGGGAAATCGTTTGGACGAAACCGGTTTCAAAAGAAATTTGAAGACGATGATGAAGCTGTTGAAATCATTGGCAACCAAGGAAAGAGTGTTCGTATTGTCGCAGATACACAGGAACAAAAGAACAAAGAGGAACAAAAGAGTGAAGAAGATATTATTGACTGCAAAGCGAAACCTTATGAAGAGGAAGAAGTCACTAAAGATATGTTTATTCTTGACGGGAAAGGACTAAAATCATACGAAAAAAGGTTTAGCCAAAATGCCATTAATAACGAAGGAAATGCTGTTTATGTTGGACTAGTCGCCCAGAAAGAAACGAAGGTTTATTATAAAGAAGAAGATATTCTTACTTGCAAATGCGAAGCTTCGTATCTAGTAGATAAGGAAGTAACGGAGAATTTTTATACTCTTGAGCAGAACGAAGCAAAAGCTCAGGAAACAATTGGTTCGACCCAAAAAGTCATTTGCAACGAAGTCGAAGATTGTTTTGGAAGCATGACCTTTGAAAACGCTTGCTTTTGTGAATGGTGTTTAACCCATGCAGATGTTGTAACGCTTGAAGATGAAGAGTTAAAGCATTGTGAACTAATACATTTCAACCAGATGATTAAAACTGCAGTAATGAATAGTAATGCTTGTCTCGATACAGTTGACGATGGTCCTGGCATATCACTAGATACTATAAACCAGAGACACTTTTATTCTGACTTAGAAGTAGGTAATACTAGTGATGGTGTTCCTTTGGATGATACGCTGGATGAAGTGGTTCAAGTTGCATCACGTCCAAACACCGGAGGAGCTGGAGCGGGCAGTCCACGAAAGCAGAGATTGCCGACACAAGCTGTCAACAGGGGAGGAAAAGGTACGGTGACATACTCAAGGTAGCTTCCTTCTAATACACCTATAAACTAAAAACCATTTGACCATCTATAATATTACTTGACATGATCAGTAGCTTTATCAACTCTTATTAATCACCTAGGCGGATCAAGACGAAGAGCAAATGGCAATGATGATCAAACTAACAATCCCAGGGAACCTTCAAAACCATTTTGTGGACCAAGTCCATCTCTGACCAGATTACATCAGAAGACGCCAACGTTTTTCATTGGTGGACACAACGGAGCCAAAATGTAAAGGCTGGTTTATACTATCAATGTTTCTGTGATCACAGCAGGGATTTTGCGTTGGTGAATTCCTTCAAACATTGAATCAGTTCTCGCCTGAAACATTTCTTACAAATCGTTCAAAACCTAGGTTCTACCAATGCAAAATTCCTACTGTGCTCAACTTTGTTAATGTAAGAGAATCTGAAAATTGTACCACAGTAAGTTACAGGACTAGGAAAATTGTACATGGCTCGGATTTCAGATGAATTCTAACTAAATTCCCTCAAACATTTGTGGTTTACACCATCAAAGTTTCTCTGATCACAGCAGGAATTTTATATTAATGAATTCTACGTAAATTCCCTCAAACATTGAATCAGTTCCCTCAAACGTTTCTTACAAATCCTTCAAAACCTAGGTTCTACCAATGCAAAATTCCTACTGTGCTCAACTTTGTTAATGTAAACCAGCCTTAAAGTGCATATGACATGAATTTTTTTATTTTCTTAAATGAAAGAACTCTTTAAGCTGTAGTGTAACTTATTTTTCAGTTTCTTGTTTTCATGGTTTGTTCCCGAGATATTCCAATTTGTTCGGTATGTAAATGAGTGTGAATATGTCCTCTAATTTATGACGTCACGTTGGTTGCAACTTACACTGGTTATAAATCTATTAACTCTAAAAACTGTAGATATCAGTTCACGTTTTTCTCCAGTATTTTATCACATTTACCAGTGAGTGAAGTTAGAAATTATTATCTTGGATGATAGCCGTGATATTCAACCATTTTGAAGAGCTTGCAACCAACGTGACGTCATAAATTAGCGGACATATTCACACTCGTTTACATACGATGCAAATTGAAATATCTCGGGAACAAACCATAAAAACAAGAAACTGAAAAATAAGTTACACTACAGCTTAAAGAGTTCTTTCATTTAAGAAAATAAAAAAATCATGTCATATGCACTTTAAGTAAGACAATCTGAAAATTGTACCACAGTTACAGGACTAGGAAAACTGTACATGGCTCGGTCATGACAATGCATGGTTCTACATTATAGTGTTTATTTTCTGGACTTCAGGGTTGAAGCGACATTGTCTTCGCTTGGCTGGAAGAGAATCTATGACCAAAACGATACGACGTTCTTTCTCAAGTGGGTGGAATGCAAGAGAAATTTAGATTTCGCAAATTTCAGAGAAGGTGAACAGCTGGTCAATCACATTCCCAATGGTAATCTTCTCACGACCAAGATAGGATTGTTGACAAGTTTACAGGAATTTGACAGAGTGAGCAATAAAGTACCCTCATCTAGTAGAAGAGGAATCCAAATGAAAGAGTTTGTCCCAGAGACCTTCAAACTTCAAAATCAAACAGAAATAGATAACTTTATTCACCGTATTTACCAAGGTATGGTAATATTTGAGTATGCATTTAATCCATGCACCTTCAACTTATGTACATTGATATGATTTCAGATTAAAATAAATCTCTGCAAATTCAAACTACATACTACTGTACATTTGGGGGTGGTGGGATAAATATCCCCCACAATGACATTTTGCCTTAGCATTTCTCTATAATTAATAGTTATTCAGCGTCAATTTGCGACCTCTGAAAGGACCCTATTGCACAACAGCTCTGTTTAAATTACACAATAAAAACTGCTAGAAATTTTTCCGAAATACCTGTTGTGTTAACACCATTTTCTCACCACAAATCGTTTTGTCGCTTCAGATGGTGAAATGTGGATATGTAAACCAACAGGCATGAATCAAGGCAAGGGAATATTTCTCATCCGAAGTCGTGAGGAATTACTCGAGAAACTGGGTCCAAAAGCTACCAGTCAAGGTCGTCAGAGATGTTTTCCTTCTCCTGGTAGAGTTGTACAAAGGTATCGGATATATATAGTGCAATCAAGATAATCCAGTTGACAGCAAAATGCATATTTTCACGTCTCGTATAGTACGCTAGCATTTCAAGCCGTGACAGTACTCATGAAGGTTAAAGCTCTGTTTTTACTTGTTCGAAACTCTATTAAATTCACACGAAAGTAAATACAAGACAAGATTTCCATGCAATCATTTATTTCAAACAGTTTGTTTAATACTAATTCGGTGTTCCTGTACGCGTTATTGAGAGCAAATGGTGGTCAATTAGCCTTTCTCACGATGACGAATATCCGCCATTTTTGGGTGGCATCTAATTCTCGTTAACCAATGCAGACAATTAAAACAATGTGAAAAGCAATTTTTCAAAATAAACCAACCATTTACAAAGCAACTTTATCATCATTCGTCCAAAAAATTATAAAAAGTCGCTGTTATGTGGAAGTACTTATCTCGCAGACTTCGGCTGAAAAATTAAGCCACCCAAAAATGGCGGCGTGAGAAAGGATAAATAAATTCAGAAATTGCAATTAGTGTTGATTTTAATGAATATTATATTTTGCACGATAATGCTTAGTGTTATATATTGATAATCTCATAACACATGTGTGGTGTGTTGAAAGGAAAGAAGTTGTGTTATAAAGTTTTACTAAGCTGGCTACAAATTTCGTTCCAGATATATCCTGAATCCTTTCTTACTAAATGGATACAAGGCTGATATTCGCACATACATGCTGATCGCAGGGACCTCTCCCTACATGGTCTTCTATCATCCGGGCTACGTGAGATTGTCTCTCGTGCCGTACAGCCTGAGTCAGGAGGAAGTCCATGCTCACCTTACGAATCAGGTGAGGGAGTACTACCTTGAATACCAAATGGATAACTATATTGAATGGCAAATAGATAACTATACTTCGACTGGATAACTGTATTGTTCTCAGAGTTGTAGACTCGAGTCGTGTGACATAAAAATTACAAGTCGAGTCCAAGTCACACGATTCGAGTCAACAACTCTGACTGGAACAATATAGTTATCATCATATAAGTTGACTTGCAAAATGAGACTTGACAAAATAACAACTCTGCCATTCATATACGGGTCCAATAAGAACCGTTTCTGTTTGTGGTGTTTGCAGTGACGTAGACAGGATTTCTAGAAACACAGCCTCACAAACAGAACCTTAGTATTCATTCCAGAATTCATTGTGTCTTTCATTGAAATTTCAGTACATTCAAAAGAAACATCCATTGTACGAACAAGTGAAAGAAGAAACAGTCTGGAGTTTGGAACAACTGCAAGAATACATCAACAAGACGAGTAACAATACTTTACCTCCTGACTGGGTGTTTACTAATTTTACGGTACGATATCAACCTCGTAACGAGGTTGTGGTATGATTCAAATGAGCCAAAACGTTATGCTATGCCCATAGTCTTTTACATATACATTTGTTTCTGCTTCCGAATCCTATACTTTGTATGGTATTGATGTATAATTCTGATTTCTTTTTTCCGTAGAAACGTATGCAAGAGATTATGTTGCATTGTTTTCAAAGCGTACGGTACAAACTGAATAGAAAATTGGGATATTTTGACCTGCTTGGCTTTGATTTTATGCTTGATGAAAATCTGAACGTAAGTTTTTGAGCGAAAGCGGAATAATGGACATTAAGCAGTCCTATTGAAGTCGAGGACCTAAAATCCCCATGCCCAAAAACTCGTTATTAACCCATATACTTACTGTCTAACAAATGCTTTATCCCTGTATTTGCACGTGATTTTTTAGGTATGGCTGATCGAGATCAATGTCAATCCAGCGCTACATACGAACTGTAAGATTTTGTCTGGTGTCATTCCAGAATTAGTCGATACCACTTTAAGTAAGTATACGTATTATTCGGGAAGCGTAGCTGGACCTCACTTTTTAGCAGGGCGAGTAGTCACATAGTAAGGTACGAAACTAGCCCTCCAGCTATTCAAAAACAGCAATGACACTCGAGAGAAGCTAGCTCAGATTGAACACCCACTTATTTGATTGCGAGTGTGCTTTTAGAATACGGGCGTAAGTACGTATGTGATAGGTTAATCTAGTAGATTAAATGCATCCGATTGGTTAATGGTCCCATAACGGCAGTGGTGGCGTAAGTCAAATGTAAACCTCACTATTATCGCTTGTACGTTACACTTTACAGAACTGGTTTTGGAGGTGTTCGAGAAAAGCAAAAAGAAAGAGAAAATAATTCCTTTGGAAAATCTGGGAAAGTTTCAGTTGATTTTCAGCGATGAGAAGAAATAAAGAAATACTGAAGTCAAACATTAACGTCGAGAAATTCTGACATTTCCTTGACTTTGGAAATATTACCGCTCGTCCCCGGACGATGTTTCGATGCTAGGTGGTGATGGCAAAATCATCCTCAACTGCAACAATCTTGGCAGCAAACAATTTGATGAATCGAAAAAGAAAATGGAACGAAGATAATGATTTGGAAGGCTTTCGGACTGATAAGGGACCCGTCATTATTTATGGCTGGGGTGGCACCGAAGAGAAATGTTTTATTGGTAAAAATTTCGCTGGTTCAACCATTAAAAAGTCAAAAAAATTTACCCAACCTTAAGATGGCGCACCCCTGGCCACAAACGGAACAAAGGATATCATTCAGTTGTCAACACTTTACTATTTCTGTGACACGAGTTTTACAACTACTTGTGCAATTTTCTGCAGCCTGAAGTTTTTTTAGTTTTTTTTTTATTAACTTTACAATCAATAACATATATTAACAAATGATTGAAGGAAAAGGACAACAGATCTTAAATAAGATCCAATTAAGTCCCACCAAAACTATTTCTACTAACATGCATAACATTGACATGTTTATTAATCTAACTTAAAGTGTTATCTGGCTAGAACCGTCTTTTTGTCTTAACAGAGTATATTTTTTAAAAATTTTTTTTAGAGTTTTTATACTAATTTTTACAGTTTACACGTTTACGAACAAGTAATGTCAAAGGAGCGACACTTTGTACACAAATATTTCCATGTTGTCTGCACATGTACTTTCTTTGGAGACACACCATTTGCCTCCTGACGTGATCAAGATTATTGCACGATTCTGATTGGTTTACATATTGTATTGACATATGACCGTTGACATATTTTCTTTTTGGGTCTCAATATTTTAGTGAGTCATGCTTTGGAAATGACATTATCACACATCATCACATTACCACACACCTCGTTGGTGTTTTACGACTTGGCTTTCCAAATCCCAAAGTGCCACGAACAATGGCTCGGCTACGCCTCGCCATTGTTCGTGGACTAGGATTTAGAAACCACGTCTAAAACACCAACTCGGATTTGAAATAGGACATCAATTTGTATTACCCAACCCTTTTCTCTTCGGTGCCCCCCATAAATGATGACCATAATATCGCTGTTGCTTTCCACATGACAGTTTGGACGGGATGGAAAAAACAAAACAAAACAACTAAATAGACAAAAAGCAAAGTTTAAACTATCTTATTTTTGTACACAATACTAGAAATCAATACATACAGACAATATCGAGTCATGTGGCGTGTTAATTGCAATTTACCATAGAGACCGTATATGTGACCATACGTACATTAATGGCAACAGTGCTGTTAAATATATTTTTTGAAACAAATTTTGTGTTATTAAGAAAAGTTAATTGAAGGGTTGTTTTGATGCCAGCTGGACTCGAATTTCTAACCCACGTTCTAAATCCCTTGCGTCAAGTTGCCTTTGCCTATTTTGCGAATGGGACCAGCCCATTACGGCAAAAACATGGGTAAAAATTTTCGAGACCACATTGTAAACAAAACATTTGGGCATGCAAGAAATATATTAGAGATATATTATCACCAGCTTTCACATTACAATTGGGCGACTTCGTATGCATACATTTTCAATACAGGTTTCACACAAAGATTAAAAAATATCTTAATTCAATTGATTTTTATATAAGTTAATCATCCCTTCGGCTTCACAAGCCTATTATGAAACTGTATAGATTTAAATATCAGAGGTGACCAGATCGGTTTCTTTGAATTGTCTCAAAAAGCTGGCACTCAATTGTATATAAAGGGGAGAGGGGAGGAATAAAATTCACTTGACGTGCTTGCCAAAAATCATCTGTTTACGTGTGCTTATACTGTTCTGCAACAGAGGTTCTGCACAAAATAAACCTAGCCTACCACCTCTTCCCCAGGCCTCACAAGAAGGAAGAGCCTGGAAACGAGAGCATATTTTATGGCCAGAAATTATGGGCATAATGTACTCTACTTCCTTCGTAATTTGCACATCACGTTGAAATATGGTTTCAACTGTGAATTTATATTACGCGACGTTGTTAAATCTAAGAATAAAGTAGGTCGTTTGCAACTTGCCTCAATCGCTGGGTGCAAGACGAAGTATGACGAAGTATTTTCAATATTTGTACAGAGGTTGATAAGAATACCACAATACTGCCACTAGGAACAAACGAAAATGCAGAATAGGCAGTAACTTACACCAGGCAAATAAATATTGCTATAAAGTATGTTCCGCAACCAGCAATTGAAGCAAATTGCAAACGACCTGTCGTATTCTCTGATTTTGCGACTTACATGCAGCATCGCGCAATATAATACGGGTGATATGCAAAATAGTATAACGAAGTACATGTCCGTGTTTTCTGGCCACGGGTTCTTATTCAAAAAGCGCGGCTGTGAAATACTCTCTCACAGCACAAAACCATTCGTCGTCTTGTCCTACCAACATGCAGTAATAATGATATACAAAATCATAATAAGATATATAGAAAATATTCACCGAATTACTCTTAAATTAAGACTGTAGTCAATTGTCCTATACATGTCCTCGTAGATTTCTTCAGTTTGTGAAAGGGAAACATCCAATGCGAATCATGCTTTTAGCCATACATCTAAAACGTCTTACAACAACACACATTTTCTCTTTTTGGGTTGCTCGGGCGGTTCTAAGGCGGCGAGGATCGCTTCGTCGAAGACATTTTTGAGGCCTTTCTGTGTGAGGGCAGAGCACTCGACGTATTTTACAGCGCGTAATTCGCGCGCGAGTTTCTCCGCTTGCTCGACGGTGATTGGCTTTTGGCGATTCTTCGCGAGTTTCTCTATCGTTGTTGCGTCGTCACGCAGATCGACTTGCGTGCCCACGAGAAGGAACGGCGTTTTGGGGCAATGATGCGTTATTTCCGGAACCCACTACAATGAATAAGTAATAACTGTATTTATTATATAGTAGAGAGCGAGATATGTATAAAACCTCATGTAATTTTAAAAGCTCAGTATAAAAGCTCATGTTACATGTAGTTCGAAAGTCTCCTTATATTTTCAGGCAGTGCATAGGGACCAACGAAAGCTTGTTCATTTACTTGAATGCAGTAATTTTCTACATAACAATGGACCTTTCCCCTTATAACTAAAATTTCGATCTAGACAAAAATTTCATCACAGGTTGAAAGAGCATCACAAAATTAGTAATATTCCAAAATTTTGTTGCAAAATCTTGTAAAATGCGGATAATATAGCCTTGCGAAGTTTGCCGTTTTTCAGTCATTTTGTATTACAAACGGGAAATTGACATCCGATTCGGGCGTTGGGGCTGCAATTTCCCGTTTGTAATGCAAAATGACTGAAAATTGCAAACTTCGCAAGGCTCTATTTTCCTCATTTTACAACATTTCGCAACGAAACTTTGGAATATTACTAATTTTGTGATGCTCTTTCAAGCTGTGATGAAATATTTGTCTAGACTTGCCTAGATCAAAATTTTAGTTATAAGGGGAAAGGTCTATTGCGTAGAGCCACAAATAATTTTCTGGGGCTGGCTGTTTGAAAACTGGTTTGCTTAACCAAAAATTCAATGCAAACTCCGAACAGCTTGTTTATAAACTTGAGAATATTTCTTTAGAAATCTTGCGTGGATCACATTTTGCCTGGACTGGAGTTTTGTAATGATAAACAAACGTACAAAGATACACAAACTAAAACAGCAGGTTGACTTATAATACAGGGTTGGCTGGCACTAATCCAGCTTTGAACAAACTTAAATTAATGAATAGTTTGCTTTTCCTAAAGATTCACACGACGAATATTCTCAATAACAATCTGGTAATCTTTCTCAATAACTGTATGTAAACATGCAGCTAAGTGATTAAAATAAATATACTTATCTGCAACATACACACCTTTTCTTTGACATTTTCAAATGAAGCAGGCGATACAACGGAAAAACACACAAGGAACACATCAGTTTGAGGATAGGAAAGAGGCCTCAACCTGTCATAATCTTCCTGACCTACATAGATAAGATAAGCAATCTCACAACTGGTCTTTATGATATACTTGTTAATTGAGGGATAATTAAATACATATTTCGGGAAATTTGTGATAACTAGGTTAAGAGATGTACTTCGCAAGCATTCAAGGGTATGGGCAACAAAATTAAGTCATCTTACAAAATTTTTATATCTTTCTTTGGTTAGAAGATATTACAGTTTACTTGATATGTAAATAAGATGATGTCACAAGCTGAGTGAACATTTTGACAGTCCACAGGAAAAAACTTCATATTTTAAGATACCTCAAAATGTATATTTTCAGTGGCTCAACCAATACACTTTATAAAATATTTATGTAGTTGGGGTATGCTCTAAATTTCTGTAATATATGACAAATAAATAATGGGTCATTCCAGAAAAGATCCACACTCCCACCTATGGAGGAAATTTCCACCATCTCATTCCTGAAGATAGGAAATTCTACTTCTGATGATGTTAGTAAAATGCACTAGGACATCTGAAGGGGATAGGCAGTTAACTTCCAATTTCCTTCATAGTGAAAGTGTGGATATTTTCTGAAAAGACCCAACAAGTCGACTATTGTAAGCATACACTGTATGTGGTTTGACTGTTTTACTATGTATCTGTTTTTTGTATCTATGTATATGAATGAACTATAATGATGTATAAAAATATATACCTGCAGTATCAAATAAACCTAAGGTATATGGTTCACCACCTATCATTACTGTTACAGCATAGTTATCAAACACCTAGGAAGAACAAGAGCCACAATGTAAAACACACATAAATACACTTGAAAATACTTTAATTAACTCATTAGGCTGCATCATGCTTTATAATTTTACTCTGTCTAAGGCCAGGCTATTTTATTGTTGAGCTTTGATGGGTTAACAGATATAAAAACAAATGCAAGTTTCCTTTAACAAAGTACAGCTTGATTGAAGCAACTTTCTTTCATATTACTGCAGTTCAAAAAGATTAAAAAGTCACTTACTGTCGGAACATATTCACTTGGAAATTTATTTGTTGTATATGAAATTAATAGACATGTTTTTCCAACAGCACCATCACCAACAACAACACATTTTATTGTCTGCATTTTTTGTCTTTACAGTCTTAAGTTTTTGAACTAACCAACCCCTAGTATCTGCAAGTGGAAAATATGAAAAATATAATTGAGACTAAATAAACAGAATGCATGAATATGTATTTTAATTAGGTTCATTAACCAGTAATACCTGAAAGTCAGAAAATATTTAAATCCCTTATTCACTACATACAATCTCAGATTTGGAAAAGGCAGTGCCCCAAAAATGGTGGTGTGAGAAAAGCTAAAGACCTAATTCTACGATAAGCAAAACAGTCCTCGCAATTTTGATAAATCTACGGTGGCAAAAAATTGCCGCCGATATTTCGAAGTTCGGCGGCAATTTTTTTGTCATTATAAATTGACACTTTGACAGAGAACAGAATTATTTTATGTTTAGTATTCTCTTGACTGTACTAAATTAAAACTGTTTGATATTCAAGGAAACCTTGTTTCACACACAATAACATTGAGACCAGCTATCAATCATTTAGTTTTAACTTTGTTAAACTTTGTTACACTACATCTACGGACCGTTTGTTCCAAAGTTGTATGTGTTTGAACTTGAAGTTACATGAAGTGTATCAGAACTTTCGATGTATTTTAAAACACGCCACAAAAATAAAAGTGTTCACAAAATAGCTCACTTTCCCAGACTTATTTTCTAATCATATGTTCAACTAATCAAATTTTCACTTGTGCAAAAATTTTCTCTCATAGTGATTTCCAAAGTAGAGAAAAAATCGCCAAAACACAAGCATTTGATTGGCTTCGCTATTTTGTCATCCAAAACACAAGCATTTGATTGGCTTCGCTATTTCCATTTCGCAACAGAGTAGAAACAAATTCAACTACCAGGCGAAGAGAAATATTTTGCAGAGAAACACTCCATTTTGCGCATGCGTTCAACCTTTTCGTGCAAAATGTTTCTCATCTCGCTCGTCCTGGAATTAGGCCTTAATTAACTTCAAAAAACATTTAATCTTTGCATTATATTGGTTCACTTATATATATTTACCTTGATAAATACACACATACACCTTAATTCACCCAGGCTTTGGTAAATAATGTGTCAAACACTTGTGACTTGTCCACAACATGTGTTAACGAAGACATTATGGAGCACAACATATGTGACCCTTTATATATATACAAAAAGAACCAATCTCAAAATAGACAGTCAGATATTGCTGAGCTTTTCAAATTATATTGCAAGGTGTTATTACAAAACTTGGCAACAACATTATTGTGCAAGACTAGAGATTTTCGACTGTGACGACCACAGACAGCATTCGCTACATTTTAATAACTTTGAGGCTGGTTTAAATATTAACCAGCCCCTCAAATAAAATGTATTCAAAGTTTTATGATGGGAAAGAAAAATGCAGTTTTTGCATTCCTTAGGATTATTAAAATCAACATTCAATTTAGAAGGTTTCAAAGTGTCAGTTAAATGATATGATGATAAGGTTTTACGATAAAGAAAAACTATATTCTTTCAGGATATGCTAAAAAATGCCTCCGTTTATACTTTTATGAAAGAGAGCGCTATTTCAGAACCTAAAACGGCACATATTTAATATATATCCGGCATTATACAGAGTCACTAGACATGCAGCTTCCGTTTAGCAAAACATCTAGAATTCTTTCAAACACTTGATTCAAACCTTATTTGTCCAGAAATTTTAAAAGCAAAACCCAACGACAGTCTACTGGAATTCGTGTTCATGACCTAGTTACTTATAAAGAAAAGAGAACCGTAGTTTTTGAGGGTATTTTAGTATAAATATTACATACATTATATTGGGGTGATTTGTGCTTCAAACGTGTTCAAAAGTATATTATAATTTTGTGATTCTAAGCACTAAAAATGTTTTTTAAAATCCCAATAATTTCAGACGTATAAGATCCGACCTGTTAACGTGGCAAAGAACAAAAAAAATCGAGCGATTTCATTCAAAATTTGCGGTTAACGCGCAGTTAAAATAAGAATGTTGATAGTCGCTAAACTGGTACACAACAATAAGCACAGAATTCTCGTCTTTAAAAGGTTTTGAACATTTTCTTGAGTTCATATATGTAAAAAGCGTTCTCTGGTGTACAATATTTCGTAGGAAGATCGGTTAAATCTGTAACGAGATCTTGAAACGACTCGTTGTCTTACACAAGAGGCGATGTAAACAGTAAAATCAATTATGGACGCTTCGATTTGAAGGCGCTTTGAAACGAGCTTTTCGTAGTTCTACGCGAAATCGCACACGTCCCAGCGCTTCGAGAGAACCTGGAGATAAATAATGAACACTTACCGCTGCGATCGAGCGCCGATTTTCCCACTTTTCTTGGCTAAAACACGAACGATTTCACCTGAATGTCTCGCTTTCTTTTCAATTTTTTGAGGGCGGTGGCATAGCCTGCAAGTGAAATTTGATCAGGCTTGCCCGATTAAACGGGCTGGCTTGAGATCGAGGCAATTTTAGGGGAACCGCGCGAGGCTAAAATGGCCTAGAATCTAGTATGTCAAATCACAAAATATAAAAATTATAAATTTGTCAAAAGTTTTAGCTTTTTCTTCTTCCAATATGCCAGATTATTTAGGGAAAGACCAAAGGAAAGTGAAAGGAGACGACGATAAAGATGAAAAACCGTTTCAAGGTATAGATCGCGCTAAAATAAAGCGATTTTAGAGCCCGACAACAACAAGTGTGTTCAATAGTTTATATTTTATGTAGTCAGTACTATTATGCCTTTTCTATTGTGTTTATAGATTAAATGATATTTTTGTCCGATTATGGGTATATGTATGGATTTTTTATCCAGTAATTTAGACATCCACCAAACTGTGTTAGACTAGCAGTTTTGATTTCATGCAATGCATTATTTCACTGTACTGACTGTAGTGTCACTTACTTGATTGACTGGTCATGGCCCAATCAGAACTACTAGGGATCTGCCTGATCCAGGTACTGATATCGCTCAAAATGTAGACATCCGGCACTATCCGGTATCCTGTAAAAATTTGCCGGATATTCACCGGATGGTACTGGAACAATTATAATCACAAAACCATCTGAAACACAAACAACTAGTCTACTAGACATGTGACACATTAAAGCAAAATTACAGTTAACTTTTTTTGTAATGTAAACTGCTCTCCGCTGTGTATTCTCTGACGATCCTTGTTACCAAATACTCAACAGACAATGCCAAAAAGTTAGTGACATATTATCCAAGTACCACCATCAGTATCCAGTATCTGGTTACTTGGTATACTACTCTCCGGTATTCAGCAAAGCAGTGTCCAGCACATCCCTAGAAATTGCCGTAAGCCCGGATTGTCATTGATCAGTGCAAATAATAAGATTTACACATCCATCTGTGCTGAAACATCCATTTGAGATTTGCAGTATCCTAGTGGCTAGTAGTATTCTGATGATACAAGTTTGGATATTGGATACCAGATCCACCCTGGCCCCAAGGAGGAAATTTCTGCCGTCCAAGAGAAAAGAGGGGAGAAAATTTTTGTTTCTGATAATAGTAATTGTATTAGGACATGCAAAGGGGGGTTAATTTCCAATTTCCTCCATGGGCAAGGTATGGATGTTTTCTGGAATTACCCATTTCTCATTTCTAATTGGATTAGAAATCTATATAGAATGAGATTGAGATCTGATCTCTGGTAACCAACATGGCATAATATGCAATTGGCTTAAATCTATTATGTTGTATTTTATTACAGCTCTTGATGAAGGAGATATACAATTATTAAAAACTTATGTAAGTCTCTTGTACAGACTGTAAATAATAGAATATGTGTAATTTTATTTTAATTACTTTAAAAGAAGATGTTTCCATTCTATAGTCTATAGTCTATAGTACATTTATACACCATTTAGAATTCTAAATTTTTACAATTAGGTATCTTTTCTTTCTTGGGGGAAATAATTTCTGGGAACTCAAAACATTTTCCAGGACCAATAATGGTCCCATTTCTACTCCTGCTATGCAATTTGACATTATTTTCTTTCATGACAGGGAGCTGGATCGTACAGCAAGTCAATCAAGAATGTTGAAGAAGACATCAAAAATTCATTGAAAAAAGTCAATGAACTAACTGGTACAGCTACAGTAACACTATAATTAATGTTTGAAAAATTGAAATAAATAGCTTATAGATGAGGCCATATTAGTGGAGTTCCAGATAATCCATATATATAGCAATTTGCCTGATTAAACTTTGAAAATAATCCGCATCCTTTTCCTCTTAACAATGATATTTCAATGAAAATTTATTTACCAATTAACCCACTGAGTTGCATTGTGCCCTAATGCACCCTAGTTTATTATTTTACTTTGTCTAATGCCACACAATTTTGCTCATCAAAGGAAAGCGCTGGGTTAATTAGGCCATGCCCATGTGTCTAGTTCACCCATTGAGTTGCATTGTGCCCTAATGTACCCTACTTTATTATTTTATTTTGTCTAACAGGCGCACTGCAACTCAATGGGTTAACTAAAAAAATAGAAAACAACAATACTACTTACTGGGTATATGTGTTTTATATGTAAAGGGATAAAAGAATCTGACACAGGTCTGGCTCCTCCAGCTTTGTGGGATTTAGCTGCTGATAAACAAGCTCTACACAGTGAACAACCACTTCAGGTAACTAAGATTGTACATTTGACTACAGTTTGGAAAGTCTTGTAGTTAAGAAACAAGAACCTCATTTAGAGCAAACAGTTTCAATCCTCGCAAACGGCAATTGATGATTCCCCGTTATTACGTTTTCGTAGCGCTTTGCATTGTGGTTATAGTGGTATCACTGATAAAGATAGTGGTTTCGAATGAAAATATTGAATGTTTTCGCGAATATTTTGCTGTTAGCTATCGCGCACCTGACCCTAGCTTTTTTTAAAGGTTCTTGCACAGGCAGGAGAAAAATAATCCATCTTGAATATCAGTGATACCACTATAACCACAATGCAAAGCGCTACGAAAACGTAATAAGGGGAATCGTCAATTGGTGCCGATAATGCCACCGAAAATGAAATTATCTAAGGCACTTTTTGCTGATGAAAACTTTTGTGGGCAGTACCAACACCGCGGAAAAACGTCTGCGCATGCGTCAACCTTGCCTGTAATAGTATTGCGAACTTGATGAGAAGCTGTTCCGAACGTTTCCGAAGGCTCAAAATGGCGGTAAAGAGGAGTGACTTCATTGTGCGTCTTTACAGCCAGATTTCGAGCGCAAAAATAAACATGTCATTCTAAAAACTAGGAATAAATACAGCCAGAAGGTTCAAGAAATTGTATTGTACAAGAACATGAACTAAAGGTGATTGTTGACAAATTTATCGTCTGAAACATTTTGTTTATCAACTAACCAACGACAATTTCCGAATTTTCGTTTGAGATACATTTCTTTAAAAAAAACTGTGTCGCCAAATATAAAAAATTTTCGTGTTCACAATAATTAAACTTTAGGATTTATTCTACAATTTGAGTGGGTTAAGAAGCTTAACTTTTCGAGAGTTTTCTTAACTTTTTAGTTTGAATTTTTGTTTTGAATAATTTTGCAAAAATTTTCGAAGTCGTGTCCGTTAAAATCAACAATTTTTTACATGAATTATATTTCATTCCATACTTTAAATGCCAGGACGCTTTCAATTAATGTCTAGTCTACCCATTTGCTATATTTTCTCGTTTGTTTTACTAATTTTTGACCAATTAATAAGCATGTTTTTGTTTTAGAAATTGATATTCAAATTCCCCGCCATATTTTCATAATTTGGTGCATGCGCAGACGTTTTTCCGCGGTGTTGGCAGTACCCCCTTTATTAAGGTTAATTTTGAGTTATTTTTCACTATTCGAGAGGTTTAGATTTGACTTCCACTACCGCTACCTTTAAAGGACCGTTAACCAATCAGATGCGTTTATATAACCGATTAACCAATCAGATGCGTTTGATATATCAGATTAACCAATCAGATGCGTTTATATATCCGATTAACCAATCAAATGCGTTTATATATCCGATTAACCAATCAGATGCGTTTATATATCCGATTAACCAATCAGATGCGTTTGATATACCCGAATAATGAGAGGTAGTGGTAGTGGGCCAAGTGGAAGTCAAATCACAACTTTTGTAAAGTAAGAACAGCGACGGTGTGCACAGGCGATAAATACATCTTCTATTTTTGAAGTATTGAAAGACAAAAATTGTCATTAAGACTTGAGGCACAACAAAGTTGCTGCTGATGAGATTTGTCAAAATTTCGAGGACTGGTTTTTCCAGATCTTTTCCTCGGAAATGTTTTAGGTTTATGTCTATCTAAAAATTGAAGAAGAAAATATAAAAGCCTTTCGTCCTTCTTCTGGCAGGTTGCTCGGTGTACAAAAATAATCAATGCAGACACAGATGATGCGAAATATATAATAAATGTCAAACAATTTGCAAAATTTGTCGTTGATTTGGGGGACCAGGTTGCGCCAACTGATATCGAAGAAGGCATGCGAGTTGGGTAAGTAGAAATAAGGAGATCATCCAAATCATTCTCAAACGATTTGGGTTCCAACTTTATTTTTTTGTTTATATACAGTGGATAAAATTTTAGTATATGTGTATTTATAATATAACATTTTTAATAGGCGACCGTTGATAGAAGCACAGAACATTTCCAGCCTCGCACCTTTAAATTTAAAAGTGTCAACAAAACATTTTTAATACGTGCAATAATCGAAAAACTGTTTAATAATACTGGTCTCGACAACAATTAAATTCAGGAACCACAGATCAAGTAGCAAATTCTTAATTTAATTGTTGTGAAAATGATAACCTTATGTGGGTTTTATGCTCGTGCTAAGATTAAATCTATGTTACGTGTAAAAATAGTATTTGGGGGAAAATCAAATAGATGAATTACATATAGTTCTGTTTTTTTGCATTGAAATGAAATATGGTTACTCGTTTATTCACTTATCATGTTTTTCTCCAAATTAGGGTTGACCGTAATAAATATCAGATCCATATTCCACTTCCTCCAAAAATTGATCCGACCGTTACCATGATGCAGGTGGGTGTGGTCTGATTTAGAGGAACTGAGTTGGTTACCATATTGATTTTCTAAATAAAAATTAAAATTTTAAATCATTGACTTTAGGTGGAGGAGAAACCTGATGTTACTTACTCCGATGTCGGCGGCTGTAAAGAGCAGATTGAAAAATTGCGGGAAGTCGTTGAAACACCTATGTTACATGTAAGGCATACACAAATAAACTTCGAAATAGCTAAATAGTTGGGTCCAGTATTGAGCACGCAAGCTCCTGCTTACAAGAAATACTTAATGCGTTCTCAATATTTCCAGCCTGAAAGATTCGTGAACCTTGGTATTGAGCCGCCTAAAGGCGTGCTGTTGTTTGGACCTCCAGGGACAGGAAAGACATTGTGTGCTCGAGCCGTGGCGAACAGAACTGACGCCTGCTTCATCAGAGTCATCGGATCTGAATTAGTACAGAAATATGTGGGAGAGGTAGAAAAATGATACTGTAGCTGAGATTTTCGCTAGTATTTAAGATCCTCCCATAAAATGTGTGTCAAAAATTTAAAGCAAAACTTCGGCGGTTCGAGCGAAGCCCCTTAGAAGGCTACTATTTTCCGGCCAAGGGCCTTCGCTAGAAACATCGACGTTCTGCTTATACTTTCCAAGTTGTTGTATCTCTCTCAATTCGCACTTTTCGCAGTAGCTTGTTGTAACCTCGCAATCATGTCTTCTTCATCAGGGAGCGAGAATGGTGCGAGAGTTGTTTGAAATGGCTCGGACCAAGAAAGCTTGTATTATCTTCTTCGACGAAATCGACGCCATCGGAGGTTGGTTCAATGTTAAAAACAAAACAAAGTGCAACAAAAGAAAAGAAACAGCAACAAAACTGAGGAAAACAAAACAACGCAGCAGCAACAACAACAACAACAACAACAACTGCAACAACAACAACAACAACAACAACAACAACAACAACAACAACAACAACAACAACAACAACAGCAACAACAAAAACAACAACAAAAACAACAACAGCAACAACAGCAACAACAACAAAAACAACAACTGCAACAACTGCAACAGCAACAACACAACAGCAACAACAAAAACAACAACAACAAAAACAACAACAAAAACAACAACAACAACAGCAACAACAAAAACAACAACTGCAACAACACAACAGCAACAATAACATCAAAAACAACAACAACAAAAACAACAACTACTGCAACAACAACAACTGCAGCAACAACAACTGCAACAACAACTGCAACAACAGCAACAACAACAACAACTGCAACAACAACCAAACATAAACCATTGAACGTTAAAAATAAATTATTTTCATATAGTCTAAATTATTGTGGTCTACCAAATTATTAGGTGCTAGGTTTGATGACGGAGCGGGAGGTGACAACGAAGTTCAACGAACAATGTTAGAACTTATTAACCAGTTGGATGGTTTTGATCCAAGAGGAAATATCAAAGTACTAATGGCTACCAACAGGTATTGTCTTATTATACACTGCTTTTGTCTCTTCGAACGAACTCTACTACACATATGGAGCTCGTTGTTCTGAGATGGCAACCAACAGGTATAGTCTAAATCTACTACACATATGGAGATCACTGTTCTAGCCATGGTGACAGGATAGATACCTCCTCTATTAATTCACATTTAACCATTTACTGCCCCACATGAATTTACATCACTTCTTATGTGACTTTTATGACACCATTTTTTTCTAGACCCGACACATTAGATCCTGCGCTAATGAGGCCAGGTCGCTTGGATCGGCGAGTAGAGTTCAGTCTTCCTGACTTAGAAGGTCGCGCGAGTATATTTAAAATTCACGCAAGATCTATGAGTGTGGAACGCGACATTCGATTCCAACTTCTCGCACGTCTTTGTCCTAACAGCACAGGTGAGTCGAGATAAATTTCATAATACGTTCAATTTCGTTCCCACAGCCATTTGATTCAATGGCTCCGGGCACAAGTTTTTAATACATTAAAAGTGAATATATATACTGAAAACAATCATAATTTTATCAATCTTTTTATTTATTTATTAACTTTGCAACCTTTTACACATGAACAAATAGATATTAAATTTAAGAATTTACACAAATAGGATTGAAGTTATAGTCAGAAGGATTAGAATCCCATATTAAGACTAACCCAGGAAAGACAACAATATAGTTATAATATAAGACACAAACACACATTTACACACTGATATATTTGAACAAATATTAACATAAAAAGTGCATGACTTGGGCAACACGACACTTGAAACAATAAGTTTTCCAAATGCACATTCTATTGACATCAAATTAGGCTAATTCAAGTTTGGAAAGATAGTGCGAATACTGATTGTGTTACATTTTATGAGAGGGGAGACTGTTCCAAAGAAAAACAATCCTTTAAAAAACGAGTCTCTATAAAAAAGAGAAGTTTCCACTGATATTTAACAAATATAAAACATTTTCCGTGTTGATATATACAGTTATATCAACACGAGTGGGCGGAGTGTTTTCACACAATTTCGAGTTTTCTCAATTTCCACGACTGTTGATATAACTGTATATCAATACGGAAAAAAATGTTTTATATTTGTTTTATACTATAGCACAAAGATACATAAAGAAAGAAATTTTCCGACGTTCCGTGTTGACATTGAGTTATATCAACACGGCTCTTAGCCAATCAGCGTTCAGAATTTACAAATGCTATATTATAAAACTTCTTAAGGTCCTTTTCCATTCAGGAAAATTTTCTTCAGAAAGAACATTTCGTAAAATGTGATTGGCCGACACACTAATTTTCGGTAGGAAAAAAATTTTGAAGTTGAAAATTTTCAACTTTTAACCGAATGATAGTTCGTAAATTTTCTGTCCGTGAAAATGGGCCTTTATACTGTATACATTAAACTTAATATCCTGAACGTGTTTTTAGGCGCTGAAATCCGAAGTGTCTGTACAGAGGCAGGAATGTTCGCTATTCGTGCTCGAAGGAAGGTAAATATAAAACATTTTGGCAATATATACAGTACGAGGGTTTTAACCTTTTTCCTTCTATAGTCTGATTAATTTGACCAGGATTTCTTGGTTAAATTGACCAGACTATGTTAAAGGTTGGTGGATAAATAACGAGAGCTGGTTATTTAGGCTAGTAACTCCAGACGAAGGGCCTTCGCTCGAAACGTCGAAATTCTCCTTATATTTTTCAGGTAGTTGCATCTCTATACCAACGAAAGCTTGTTAATAGTCCTGGTTATTATACACCACCTAACCATAGTCCGGATTTTGAGGGAGGTGGGCAGTGGGCGCCTCCCCTGAGATCGTTTTGCACCGAGGCCTGAGAATATTTGCACCTCCCCTGAAAAGTCATGCACCTCCCCTTGGGGATGTTTCAGTGATAGTTCAAAGTGAACATTTGACATTTTTGGTTGCTTGGCGTCCAAACTTCGTAAGAAAGTTTTTCTGTAAAATGAAAACAATGATAGCCATTCATCTCTGTGTCAAGTACCCTTTTAATGCAATGTTTTTACAGTTGATTTCACGAAACGTTGGCCACGCCAATTGCGAGGTTGGTTGGGAATTTGGGAAACTTCCGAATTTGATTGGCCGGTTTCCAATCAACTTGATGATCTCGTGTTTATAGTTCCCAAATTCCCAACCAACCTCGCAACTGGCGCGGCCAAAGTTTCGTGAAATCAACTGTAAAGAAACTTTGCAGTAATTGCAATGAAGGGCAAAATTGGATGAGTTATACAGTCATAATTCTTTAACACACTGATATATATGTACACTACATGCATACGTCACGTCGTTGACTTTGGCCCGTTCTAAGCCCGAACTTTCCATGGGGGGGGGGAGGCAGACCGCTGCACCTCCCCTAAATTGTTGTCCACCTCCCTCACTATTTCCACCAAAATCCGGCTCGCATGGTAACCACCAGACTGTTCTGCCCACTACTGCACTAGTGTCCGCCACTGGATTCTATAATCCCTCATTCGGTTCATCGCTATATCTATTTGTTCCCTTAGGTTGCAAGTGAAAAAGATTTTCTGGAAGCAGTGAACAAAGTCATCAAGGCATACGCGAAATTCAGTGCTACACCTCGTTACATGACCTATAATTAAATAGATGTTTTACATTGTTGTTATTCCTTTATACTAACGCCGTTGTAAGTGTATGATATAATAGAAGTACTATGAGTAAATGTATTTAAAATAAAAAGAAAAAGATTGAGGGAGTAAATGATTTATTTCGCATGTGATTCATGCATGCAAGAGATCGTGAATTTGTATAATTTTTCATTTGCGAAGTTGTATTTGCGAAGAATATTTAAGTGTTCAAAACCTGCAATCTTTTTGTCGTTCCTCTCAAAATTACTTTGTTTTAACTTTATTTTGTAGTTTACACAGTTAGCTAGCTTTTTAAATGGATCTGTTGAGAAACACAAAATAGTAGTTTATAGTTAAATATTGTCAGTTTAACAATTATCATTGATGCTGTAAACTTGACGACATATTTCTGCAGCAATATAAGCAAAACTTACTGAACTTCAGATATAGTTTTCTCATTGGCCGTACCATCGAAATTAAAAATCTTTTCAATTTAGCAATTAGCATAACTTTACAGATAAAGCACTGGCTAAGCATACTTTTAAAAAGGTACCTGACATATAGTCATAATCAAGTGGAAAAGAACCAGTTCGTTAGTTTTGAGCGCGTGTTACGTAACATACAACAGATTCTTGGAAAAACAAGCCGAAGGAATTTTCAAATAATAGATAAGGCACGAGCATCCGAGGTCGACAAACTCGAGCAGAAGGCCAGAGGTGGACGACACAAGGTTGTAACGATATTGTAAAATCATGAATGTATCGGACTTGTTGGAACAACCTTGCAACAAATCTGATAATGTATGTATATCAACAAAGTTGTTGCAAATTATTAACAGCTTGTTCCAAACTTGTTGACAACTTGGAACAAGCAGTGCGAGTACAACTTGTTGACGGCTTATTGGTAGACTTGCTACAGGAATAGAACCTGCGCCCCTGCGATTCCGGTGCAGCGCTCTAACCGACTTTCTGAAATCAAAAATATGCGCGTGTACAAAAAAATCAGAGGAACAGCTATATCTACATTTTACAATACGGATTTGAGCGCACTTTGCCCAGCTGTATTTTCCCAAAGCGCTTATCCGATTGGTCCGATTTAAGATCAGTGCTCTGATTGGCCACAAGCGCGGTCGGACTGGGGCGCATTTATAAATTCGTCTACGCAATATTCCAATCTTCAGTCGAACAAGAAATTATGGAGTCTTGAATCGAAGAATTGAAAAGAAATATAATTTAACCGGCCTCTATCGTCGATCTGGACCCATTTTAGTAGGAAGTTGACGTTGGTGGCCTTTCTGGAACAGCTGTCATTGGCTATCGTGTCAGGTTTGTAAATATAATTTTAATAACTTGAATTTTATGACGATTATTTTACAGGCACTGTGTTGGCGTTCGATATTTGTTAGTTGCCAATGTAACACATTCAAGTCCTTCGATCAATAAGCATATAATAGTCATAAATTTGTACGATTTTAGCAGACGATCTAGGCTTAGAAAGCTTTCTTTTTCTTCACAGTGGCACTGTAGATTTTAGCCTGGAAAACGGACAAGGAATAATGAATATCCAACCCGACGAATCGAATATAAATATGAACGGAATTGGTTTAACGAACGGCAGCGCGGACGCTGCCGATTTTCCCCATCAAAGTAACACGGATTTGGATACAGAAGGATATACACCGACTTACGATGAAGCATTTCCCGAATTGCCCGTCTCGAATGCCCCGATTGCTCGAAACCCTGGCCCAGCTAAAGCGACAAGTTATTCTGGCTCAATGCAAGCCATTCGCGCTAGTACCATCACACAGGTATTATATAAACTCGAGCTTTTAATACAGCTATTTTATGATATCGTCCGCTTTGATTTTCTCGAATTTGATTGGTATTCCTAATATATATGTTAGATCTTTACTAGATTTGTATTTTTCTGTCAATTTCTAGTCCCCCTTCGTGACTGAAAAAATTTGCTAATTTAATACAACGTGTCGTTTTTGCTCGCATATAAAATTTGTACTATGACCAAACGCATAGCTGTACCACATCACATCTCAAAGAATGCCCTGAAGAAATATGTAAAATTCAAACAACTTTTAAGTCTTCGACTCATGTTCTTTTTAACAGCCAATGAGTTGGTTTTGCACCGTAATTTTAACACAATTTTAACTTCGTATAAAATGCGAAGTTGCAATTTGTGTCTCTTGGGTACATGAAATTTAAGACGCACATATTTATTGGCCATAGACATTATTTTATGTTGTTAAACTTTACAAATGCTTCCTTCGAAAAATTACATAATTTCTGTGCATGAAAATTATTTTCACAAAAGCACTATAGTCACGGGATAAGAAGTATACAGTATAAATCACTGATTGAGCAATCTGTAAAGGTTGCTTATTTAAATATAAGGGTCGCCAATGGCATCACTCGAAACCGACTCCAAACAATGGCCTTTTATTACGAAGCCATTTAGATGATTTGGAATTTCCTGTTTGAAAAATTTTATTCCAAAAAAGTATCAATTAAGTGTTCTAATGGCGCTGTAAAATTCGTGAGGTATAATTTTTATGACACGTGTACCTTCGCGTATTATAAAACTATATCAATATCTATTCATTTTAACCACTTGTAACTCAGCTTGCCCTTTTATGAAATATTCTTCTAAATTTTTAACATACTCCTTGCAGAGAAATGTAGTCATAGTATCAACACTGGTGTTCGTAGTTTGCAACTTTAAAAAATAGTAAATGTTTGTAGTTATATCACAGAAAGAAAATGCTATTTTAATTTTATTATAATGCTATATTTATTCCCGCGAATAATCGTAAATTTTTCCATTAAATTTTGACTGAATTTGATAATCCTTCATAAAGTTTACATAGTGACAATTAACGGTAATAATACTAAACAGGTTGTTAAAATTCTGCCGGATCTTTTCATCGCTCGCTCGTGAAAACCTATTTAAAACCTTCGTGATTCCTGTATTTACTCAAAAATTTTGCCGGACATAATCTATTTTGATCGCGTGTTAAAACGACGTGGTTTTAAAGGGGAAAAAAAATTATTTGCATTTTTGGAGAGGATTATTTCCAACCGGTCGTAACGAAATATATAAATGTTTTTTCCACACCTGTAAGTCAGAAGAATAGTCCACTGTTGTAGGCTAAGAAAAAATATTGTCTGTTTATATTATTGTGATGTCTTGACTGGTTTAAATTAGATATCATAGCGTTGACTGGTTGAAGATTAAATGTAAATGTAATGAGAAACAATTTAATTAAATAAGTTTTGAGTGTACAGTTTTTGTGCAGAGGTTATGTGCTGATATGTTTGATATGGTATAGTTTTTCCATGGAGCTATTTGTTGAATAAGTAAACAGTGCCCAGCGCACTCAAATGGCGGCAACCAACGTCATCGATCAGGTTTGGACGCTTTATATTCAAGGCTGCCTAGTCAGGTTAGCCAGAATGTCTGCGAAGTCAGATCTTCCTAATATGTAGTTTTATATTGAATATAGGCCCTTTTCTTTTAGCTTTGCATAGCACTTCGCCATTCCACTCTCCTTGGCAGACGCTTTCTAATTTCGAAAAAGGCACTATGGTAGAGGGTAGGGGGTCTGCCTTCCCCCAATAATTTCTTCACCCATGAGGATTCTATTTCTTTTCATTTAAATAAATTCATAGGCAATTACAATCAACTTATATTATCCATAACAGTTTATTGTTCCATTGATATTGTGTATATATATAAATAGGAAAGAATACAATTCATTTGTGCTTTTGATTCTATACAGAGCAAGTGTTGTTAGGGTGTTTGAAGTTACAAAGTGTGTTACAAAATCTTGAAGTTTTAAGCCTGGTTTCCATTAAATTAAATCGTAATTATCGCAAGAACCGCGTCGCAACGATTTTAAAAACGCGAAAATTTTAATAAAAAAACCTGTGATTTATTGGAAACTTGAGTCACACCGATAACTAAGACTCTTAAGACAAAGTCGCAAAGATAGACTTATTGCGATTTTTGCGATAGCGATGTCTGCGTTCCGTGACTATTGTGTTATTACGGGCTTTAGTGCAAGAAATTCACAACTTAATTAAACATTGCTCTCAGGAAACACAGAAAATGCTCTTCCTAGGCTTCGGAAATGCAAACTTTTCTGGGGGAGCATGCCCCTAGACCCCCTTGGATGAGAAAAATGAAATTCTTTTGTCACTAGCTTATAATTCAAAGTGGACATTTTCACTAACTTTAAAGGTAACCCCCCTGAATCAATTTCTCTTTCGTACACAAGGTTTTCCGGATTCCCCTCGAAGATGTGACAGCAAAACCATTTGGTGATTTTGGAGATGTACGTCAAACAATGTGTCGTGATGTGTATGCCAAGACTGGAGCCTCGATTGAAATGAGTTATGCAAAGGACAAGAGCTTGAACATCCTCGCAACTGGAAAACCTGCTCAAGTGGCAATGGCAAAGAGAGAAATCTTGAAAAAATTGCAAACTGAGGTGTGTTACTGTAGTATGTAACACTAGAGTTGGATCATCCATCCAGATGTCAATATATCTGACAGTAGTGTTATTTACATGTAACTATTTTTTCTTACTTGAAATTGTCTTATCTTAGTACAGTATAAAGAAAAGACAATGCATGATTTACAATGACTAAATTCTTGAAAAAAAAGTTCATTCAGTTGACTTAAATCTGTAACTAATATAAATTTGGTATGGTGTGTTAGAAAGAGTCTTCTCTGTCCATTGACCTTAAATATAAGAAAGGTTGGCAGGGTGCTTGCTATATCATTACCCATGTCATGCTCTTCATAATAATTTTATAAATGTAGGTAAGGTGCGAGCTGCGAATCCCTTGTGAACATCACAAGTTTATCCTCGGCAAAGGCGGAAATAATCTGAAACAACTGGAAGCGAACACCGGAACACATATCACCATCCCGAAGAATGGCACAGATATGGTCATTGTAGTTGGTATCAAGGAGGAAGTTGATAAAGCTTGCCATGAAATTCAATGTATCTCTGATAGAAAGGTGAATTTTAGTTACATTCCTTTTTATCATACAATAATTTACGGGAATGTAGTATAAGTTTTGTTTATTGTGTTAACTTTAACTTTATTAGTAGTTACTGTAGCTTAATCTACATTCAGTAGAACCATGCATGCTAACTCGATTTTGCTTAACTCGAACTCCCTGCTAACTCGAACTAAATCCTATCACCCAACTGTTACACCTATTTACTTCGGTTAACTTGTACTCGCTTAACTTGAATCCTCTGGATCAGGGATCGGCATTCGGCAAACCTCGAAAGGTCTGAACATGTTGGTAATATATACAAAAGGTTCAACAAATAATTACTGATCTAGCTGATAGGTACTGCTTAAGTTGTGATGAATAACCTAAGAAAACGACTATACCTTATTAATTATCCAGACTGCAGAGTTGGGCACTTTTCAGCAGGATCTTGGGTGTGCAAATGTTAGAAAATCTAAGTGCAGGTGCGCATAACAGTTCCCAAGTGCGCATCAAGATGCAGTCATTCAAGGGAACAAAAATAGCCAGATACATCTTAAAAACAATGAAAATTAGAGATACGAGGGCAGAATTAATTGCAAAAATTGTTATAAAGTACACCCCAGGTACGCTGAAATTTCTGCCTAAATAGTATTGAGTGCGACATTGATCAACTCTGCAGTCTGGTTAATTATGAATGTAATAAACAAAATCCAACACCGACCTTGTCAATTTGAGCACTCAGCGGGCTAACTCGAACAACCTTTTCTGTCCCATGTGGGGTTTGAGTTTATAGCAGGGTTTAACTGTATATAATTAATTGGTTATCAACACGACTTTAATTTAATCTGTTATGAATATGAACTGTTGAACTGTGCCAAACACATGCTTATAAATACAAATCACATAAGTTTTATCTTGGTATTGTGTAATAGGCAAAAGAAGGTTTTGAACGACTTGAAATTCCCCGAGCATACCATCCATTTATCCAAGGACCCAATCAGGAGACAATACAGAAAATCATCATGGAAACAGGCGCGAAGATCAATATTCCACCACTATCAGTACAAAAGGATGAGATTACAATTTCTGGTGACAAGGAAGGTGTGGCTGTGGCAAAGGAGAAAATCCTTATGATCTATAAGGAAAAGGTAGATATACTGTTGAACTATGTACATGTAAATCTGCTCCTTCCAACTGCTACAAGACTCCACCGTTAACCATATCTACACAAGACTTACCTCTACCTAACTGCTACTGCCTACACTCCTTGCATACCTAGCTCACACTCATTGGTTACAAATAAATGATACCTTCCATGTCACTCATTCTACCACGCTGGTTACTGTACTTTGTTTGGTACTTGAAATATCAAGTCTGCTTTCAAACAGTTATTTTTCCTCAACTGGTCTACCTTATAGCCTGGTTATTTTCAAAAAACAGTATACTACTGCGGATTCAGGTAGACCGTTAAATGCAAATAGTTGTCGCGTTAGTTTTAACAGTTGTACAATGACGTTTCTAGGCAGATTTTCAGACGTTTCTAAGGCATGGCTTCAACGTTTATTTTCAAAATTTAAACATAACGGTTGTACAATGACGTTTCTAGGCAGATTTTCAGACGTTTCTAAGGCGTGGCTTCAATGTTTATTTTCAAAACTTAAACATTGTAATTTACAACGTTTAAATTTTGAAAATAAACGTTGAAGCCACACCTTAGAAACGTCTGAAAATCTGCCTAGAAACGTCATCGTACAACTGTTAAAACTAACGCGACAACTATTCGCATTTAACAGTCTACCTGAATCCGCAGTATTTCATAAAACTGATTTACTGTAGTTATGTTGCGAATGTGCCATCTTGAATCTTGGAGTTATCTTGTTGAAGAATGAAAGTAGTGATACATTATAATTTGGTGCAGAGCTCAGTTGTGTTGCTATCTAATCGATATACACTAGTTAATTTGGATGACTTCAAGATCCTGGACTGCCCCTCAACACAGCCACCTACTCAGAATAGTTCTGAAAGCCCTGAATGGGTTAAACATTATACTGATGCATAGACTGCATGATGACTTGTGTTCTTTCAGGAGCGACGTGTGACCACTGTATCCATTGAAGTAAAGAAATCCCAACACAAGTACGTTATTGGCCCCAAAGGACATGTATTACAAGAGATACTTGCATCTACAGGTGGGTAGTAAATTAAAGACACTTGAAGCAAGTGAAGCAAATAATTGGTTTCTTGTTAATAGTTCATGTTTTGGTCTGGTGGAAAACACTAGGTTTAAGCAGATTTAACTGTTTGTTTTCAGGAGTATCTGTTGAAATGCCACCATTGGACTCTGACGCAGAAACCATCACTTTACGAGGAGAACCGGATAGACTCGGCACAGCCTTGACCCAGGTTTATGAGCGAGCTAACAGCGTGTCATTTGCTGAGGTTGATGCACCACGTTGGTTGCATCGGTTCATGATTGGACGTAATGGTGAAAATATCAAGAAAATTACCCAAGATTTGGATAAGGTTTGCCCTGACTAATGTGTTTTTATTAAGTTTACAATTATGAGAATTGAAGTGTTAAGAGTTTTTGTCTAAATCGATACCATTATAGCCTAATTCAACAGATAAAGTAAAAATAGGTATTCTTGGGTTTCACTACGGCATTTTGCAGTGAATCTGGCGGGGACTCAACCTAAAATGTATTGATTCTTAAGCTGTACTGGAGTGAGCAAATGATACGAAATTGCATGTATTTACCACCAAACACAAGGCCAACACATACAGTGAACAATTAATTCACTCTGATGACTGTGTCTTGATTTAGAATTGCCCCCCCCCCCTGTCAAATTTATGACGTCATATGAAACCCAAGAATAGCTAGGCGATTAGGTACTAAGCATGTATATAAAACATACGATCTATGTAACACTGTCCACACAAAGTTTCTCTCAAAGAAACAGGCAACCGAAATTGAATTTTACTTCAATGTTTTGATATTGCTACAGTAACTAGAATACTGTTAATCCAAATGTGGGAAAATAGATTTTCTGAGTGGTTACCAGATGCTAAGTTGCTAGTATCCTATTGAATAGTGCCGAAACTTTCAAGTTTCTAGCCCTGGAGGGACGTGGACATCCCTAGTTTGTGTATTACTATATATGATGATGTAACTGTTTCTTCCACAACAGCTCCATATTGAGTTCAGTGATGACAAGGACAAGATTACCCTGGAAGGACCACCACAACAAGTTGACCAAGCTAGAGAAGATTTGGAGACATTCGCACGTGAACTGGTAAGATTTATAAGGGGGGGGGGGGAATTTCAGAGACTGCAAAGAAAGTGAATCAACAGCCCTTTAATAATTTTCACAGTTTTTCCAAATTTTAATTAATGGGCAAAGAAATGAAAATCCAACACCATAGCTGAAACAAACACATGAAAATCACTGTAGTGAGCTTGCAAAGTTTGGTCGTAAAATATTGTAAAGTAAGGATAAAATATAGCATTGCAAAGTTTGCACATTGTGTTACCAGGTTAGGCTCACTGGGTAGGCAAATATTCACTCAGATGAGTGTGACCTTTAACTCTGCTAAATGTTCAAGTGAATGCTACAGTATCTAGGTCTAGGACTCTCAATAGCAGTATAACACTCTACAATTAGAATATTTCTAGCTGTACAGCTTCTCTTTTTATTTCCCCCCAATTTCCCCAACATCTCTTCATGTAAATTTTAGAAAGCAACAATGGACTTTGCTGAGGTTGAAGTGGACTACCAATTTCATTCTCACATCATTGGTAAAAATGGAGCAAATGGTAATTAGATACTTTGAGACTAATTTTACATCGAAAATGTTGACCTCTTGTTCAGAGTAACTTTAAATTGTAATATCAATTTATTTAACACACAACATACAAGATTTATATCGCACCAGGGTTTAGCCATAGTGAAAAAATTCGGTGTTATACTATGACGCTGTTTTCACAATTACGTTTAGCCAGTAATCTCACAATTTAGATCAGCCAAAAACGTAACTATTATATATATAAAAGATTGTTCAACTTCAAAACTTTGCACAAGAAAAATTGGCTAGCAGATAAGTGTTGCGAGGATGTCGTGTAGCCTAAGATATATTTTTGTCTGTCTTTAGTACGCAAAACAATGTCAGGTAACTTCCCCTCTTGACCGGTCACTTTTTTACCTCACCGGTTATTTTGACCGGCCACATTTTCATGCCTTCCAATGTGATTGCTGACGTCTTGAATTAAAACACGAAACTATAGCCGTTTTCACATTAGAAGACGGATAAGTCGTCTAGACGAACAAATCGTCTCAAAATCGTCTTTTAGTCGGACAAATCATCAGATGTGAAAACGTGTCGTACAAAATTTTAGACGAACAAGTCGTCTGAATTTGTTCGACTACTTGTCCGTCTGTGAAGACGATTTTTGAGAGACGATTTGTTCGTCTAGACGACTTGTCCGTCTCTAATGTGAATAGGGCTTATGATGTATCGAAACAAGTTTCTAATAGTTTGTTTCACTGTTAGTGTAAGTGTATCAATGACCGGTCAAAAACAGATTTTGACCGTGCGAAAATCAAGTTGACCGGTCATTATGACCAGAGACCTACTGTATCTCCCGTTATTTTGAGTCCTGCGTTAGAAAGAGTGAAATAATTGAAGTGGGACAAGTTCTTAATGTCATGTTATTGTATTGTCTACCTTATTAGTAAACCGTATCAAAGAAGAAACAAAGACAGCCATAATAATCCCTAGTGACAGCGAGAAGAAAAGTTTGATTAGAATTGAAGGCTCCCCTCAAGGTGTTGCAAAGGCGAAGGCAGAAATCTTGGAAATGGCAAAGAAATTGGTAGGGTTTACGAAAGTTTGTAATTGTTCGGACATTGTAGTTAACAGTTTTGAACGTTGTAGTTAACATTGAACTCTATCATCAGGTAATGGGAAACCTCTTGCATTCAGTGAACTTTTGAGTTCATGGGAACTAAATAATATAACAGACTAAAAGCATGTTTTATTTGAGAACTTGGATACCAGATTTTCAGTTTGGATACGTACTACACACGTAAAAACGCACAAGTTGTAACAAACTTGCAGCAGACTTGTAACAATGCTGTTCCAACAACCTGTCAACAGGATGTGTTCGCACTGCTTGTTCCCAGCTTGTTGACAACTTGCTACAATGTTGTTGAGCTCAACATACTTGTCACAAGTCGTTCCAACAACTTGTTATCGTCTGACAATTCAACTTGTCAACAAGTTGTGAGTGACAACCTTGTAGCAACTTGATAAAATAACAGCATTGTTGCAATTTGTTGATAAGCTTGCTACAACCCACCGGGCATACGACGTTGTTTCAACGTTGAAATTTGGTAGAAAAAAGGTTGCGACGTCGACAAGCTAATATCTACGTTGCTCTGACGTTGTTTTACAAACATTGGTTCAACAGCAGCCAACAGACGTTGAATTAACGTTCATTCATGGTTAAATGTACGACGTCGATTTGTGAACCAATCTCAACGTTGTTTTAACGTGGATTCGACGTTGAATTATGGTTGACGAGATTGACAACCTAATTTCAACGCTGTTTCAACGTCGATCCAACAGTAACGTCGATCCAATTTGCATAGTCAACCCTTTTTCAACGTCTATCCAACGTCTGGAAGGTCATTTCCAACGTTGATTCAACGTTGGATAAACGTCATTTTGCCCGCTGGGAAGGCTGTTGCGAACACATCTTGTTGACAAGTTGTGAGATTTTTACGAGTGTACAGTACGTAGGTCAAAAAATGTTGGGGAAAATTCCACTCCCAAACCCTGGTTTGATATAACGTTTACGGAAACCTAATCAACGTTGTTATTTGACAGGAAAATGAAAGATCCCGTGATATCATAATTGAGAACAGGTTCCATCGCTCCCTAATCGGGTCGAAGGGTGAGGGCATGCAGGAAATCAGAAAGACATTCCCGGATGTGCGTGTTTCGTTCCCCGAGGCGGCAACCAAGAGTGATATTGTGAACATCCGAGGACCCAAAGATCAGGTGGACAAGGTTTACGCCCAACTGAAGAAGAGAAATTCTGAACTGATTGCATCCAACTACCGTATTGACGTGCCGATATTTAAGAAATTTCATAGAAATATTATTGGACGTGGAGGCGCGACAATTAAGAAGGTAACTTTCACCTTGGTGCAGGCCTCGAATTTATTTCCCAGAAATCAATCGACGGCAATGGCGTTAAAAATTGCCGTAGAACGTAACAGCTGTCTACGGCAATTTTGGCAGTTTCCACGGCATTTTTTCAAATTACTGTAATAAAACTTTAATTTTATTGTTACTCTGGATTGTTGACAAGCTATAGAAACATGTATACGTATTTCTTTAGTGTTTTTTTCTCGAAGAAAACTGAGACTAAAATAGTAATTTACGCATGATTTGATGAACATCTGAATTCAAGTATCAAAATAGTAATGCACAGTGAATAGTATAAAAATTATACTATACGGCAAAAAATTGCCGTCGTTGCCGCAATGATCCACGGCATTTTGTTCTCCCTCTACGGCGATTGCCGCGATAAAATTCAAGCCCTGCCTTAGTGTGTTGGTGGCACCCGTAGTATTAGTACATGTGCCTTTCACGGTTCAACAAGATGTGCTCGCACTGCTCGTCCCCAGTTGTTGACAAGTCGGGAACAAGAACAAGTTGTTATCATCCTGTAACAAGGTTGATGAGGCCAACAGACTCGCAACAAGTTGTTCCAACAAGTCTGATATCGTCTGCACTCGGTAACAAGTTGATGACGACAAACACGTAGCAACTTGTTACAAATAGCCTGTAGTAGCCTTGTTGGAACAACTTGTAGCAAGTCTGTTACCGTCATCAACCTTGTAACAAGGTGATAACAACTTATTTCAGACTTGCCGCAACAACTGGGAACAAGCAGTGCGAACACATCCTGATATCGGCTTGATAACAACCTTGTTATAACTTGTTTGTAGATCTGTAACAACTTGCGTGTTTTCACGTGTGTAGTGTACCTTACTACTATACCTTGTGTATGTTATGTATAGATCCGTGATGAGACTGGAACGAGAATAGAATTACCTGCTGAGGGAGCTGACAGTAATATTATTAAGATCATTGGCCACAAAGCTCAATGCGAAGAAGCACGTGACAAGATTCTCGCCATTCAGAATGAACTGGTAAGGATTCTGGTATTTGAAAGTGTATAGGAAATACGCATCTCTAGTTAATATTGATGTCGGGACTCTACTGCAAATCGCCCAGCAAAAAAAAAACATGAAAATAAATATTCAAAAAAAAATTATTTCCGACCTACCGACCCTAATTTTTTCACGATATGAAACCGGAACCACAGGTATTTTTTTAGGCCTTATGTTTTGTCATATGTGTTGAAGATTACCACAAACTGGCACAAACATAGTTTTTAAACCAGTTCCCCCCAATGAACTATAAATAAACTGGAAGGCTAGCTATGATGAAGGCCAGGTATGATTTGATGAAGCCAAAATAGTTTTTCTGAGTTATGAGCAGAAATACTTGATCGCAAACGTTGGGCTATATATCAAATCGAAGCTATTGAAAATTGCTATTCGGTGTGGAAATTTCAAGACTTCAGCGCGAAGAAAAATATTTAAAAAATACAAAAACAACTGCAAAACCAACTGCAAAACGGCAAATTATCGGCAATTATTTTTGTAGTTTTTCAATATTTCCCTTTTAGCTAAAGTCTTGAAATGTCTACACCAAATAGCGTTTTTCAATAGCCTCAGTCTCATACAACGTTTAGTGTTGAGTATTTCTGCTCATAACTCAGAAAAACTAAAATGCACTGGCTTCAATTCCCCCCCCCCCGAGTTAGCCTTCCAGTTTATTTATAGTTCAATGGTTCCCCCTCGGCAATCTGACAACCGTGTTGACAAAAACGTTGCTTGCTTAAGCTCCCTAATGATAAGAAAACTACGCATTGATAAGGATACAACTACAGTACCTGAAAAATACAACAAAGCGAACTTCGCCGTTTCGAGCGAAAAGTTAGTACTATCCATGTCAATCCAGTCCACAGCTTTCTCAGCACAATTTAGAACTGATGGAGCTATCCAGTAGAAATGAAGTTACATGTAGTTCAAGATTCGTGCTTTGCCAACTTACAGGAAAGCATCCTTCAAGAAGAACTGATCATCCCGCATAAACTCCACAACGCAATCATTGGCGCTAAAGGCCGCCTCATTCGCTCAATCATGGACGACTGTGGTGGAGTGTCAATCAAGTTCCCACCTGGCGGGTCGAACAGTGATAAGGTGATTGTTAGAGGACCCAAAGATGATGTGGAAAAGGCTAAGGACGAACTATTACAACTGGCTAAGGAAAAGGTGTGTAGTGATTCATTCTCTGAAGATTCCTTTATCTTTCATATGTATTGTTCACCATCAACCATGCCTGGCATGCCATTTTTATTAACCCATTAAGATTATCTGACGTTAGACTATACTAAAGTAGGGTGCAATGTATGTTGAAGGGTTAACAGAACGTGTTGGCCTCCTCACATGAGCCCAACTAACTCAGTGAGATCTCCATGCCCTCTGTTAACGCATATAAAATTGGGTTACGGGGTGAAACCTGGGTTCGATTCCTGGTTGAGGAGCCACTGGTTCATAAATATAAAACGAACTGATATAGTTGTTTTATTTTATAATTTATATATTTTATTTGCTTTCCTCAGGAACTGAGCGGTTTCATGGACACAATAAAAGCCAAGGGCGACTACCATCGCTTCTTGATCGGTCGTGGAGGCGCAAATATAAGAAAGGTACCTGATTTGTAATACCATATTTCACTTCAAACTATGTAGCCCCAGCTTGCCAAAAATATAGCCTACATACTGTAGAGACACTTGCCCAGTTACAGACGAGCAAGTTTTCGTATGACGACTTCGCACAAATTTTCCATGACAAATTTTTGGTTTTCTGGACGTTACAATAGCTGAAACAATATGTCGTTGCCTAACCGCATACAAGTGTTCAAATTACTTACTTTGTCAAAATTTTTGTTGACCCAAACAGACGAGCAAACCACGTTTGTTATGACAATTGCCCTTGTCCAAAGCTACTATAGTATGCTAGCTTTGGAACATACAGTAGAAAATTTTGGGAAATTTGACTTTTCAGACGAGCGAATAAAACTTGTCATACATGTATGAAAGCTTGTCTTGGAGAACTTGCTCATCTTAGGCAGAAATTATTCTATAATAATTTATATTCGTACGTAGGTTCGTGACAACACAGGAGCTCGTATTATTTTCCCAACCAAAGACGACGAAGACCAAGAACTCATTCATATTATTGGAACGAAAGAATCCGTGCAAGCGGCCAAGGACGAACTGGAGAAAGCAATTAAACAACTAGTGAGTGATTTGTGTTTGCTTCCAGATATGTATTAGGTATTGGCCTATGGACCTATTCCCTAATGAACAAAATTTTGATCTAGACAAGTCTACATAAAAATTTCATCACAGCTTGAAAGAGCATCACAAAATTAGTAATATTCCGAAGTTTCGTTGCGAAATGTTGTAAAATGCGGATAATATAGCCCTGCGAAGTTTGCCGTTTTTCAGTCATTTTGTATTACGCACGGGAAATTGATACAGAAAGCGGTATCAATTTCCCGTGCGTAATATGAAATTACTGAAAAACGGCAAACTTCGCAAGGCTATATTATCCGCATTTTACAACATTTCGCAACGAAACTTCGGAATAATACTAATTTTGTGATGCTCTTTCAAGCTGTGATGAAACTTTTGTCTAGACTTGTCTAGATCAAAATTGTGTTCATTAGGGAATAGGTCCATAGGATCTTCGGTGGCGCTGTCGTAAAAGCAAGCGCTTTTGAAGTTTCGCTTCTGAGATCGCGGGTCCGATTCTCGTTCCGGACTGAAGACATTCCTGTGAAAAGAGTCGATCGTCAGTGAATGATCTACCGAAATTGTGGATTTTCTCCGGGTACCCCGGTTTCTTCCCACAGGGAATGTTGACAGGGTGGGTTGGGATTAGCCCCAACTTAGCCTGCGCAGCAGCCGATGCGGATTTATGATAAGTAATAAATGAATAGATTACAAATGGTAGATCAGGGTTCGTAGCGGTCTTCGAAATCCTTGAAAGTCTTTAAATTCGAATGCAGGTTTTTAAGGTCTTTGAGAAGTCTTTGAAGTGTGTGAAAAAGCGAAGAAAGTCTTTAAAAGTCTTTAAATTCTTTAGTGATTATTTGATTATACGATTTCCTAGCTAATAAAATAGATTGATTAAAGCAAGATTTTCGCAAATATATCGACGAAAAAGTGCATTTTAGGATGTGATTTGATGGGACTAATTACCTGATAAAAATGGTGCTTATACATCGCAATTTTTCGACACCTGATTGCTCTCAAAGGTCTTTGAAAAGTCGTTGACAATAGGCAGAAAAAATCTTTGAAAGTCTTTGAAATTTTTTGGTCTTGGAGACTACGAACCCTGTAGATGAATATATTGTAGATGATATATGAATACTGAAGACTATAGATGGCAGATTACTAGACGAAAGATTATTAGACTATATGGATGAACAGATTTAATATATTCCATTTTTACGAGCGTCTCTGCATCAAAATGATAACATAAAACTTTTTTAACATCTATCTTTTTAATTCCAGGACAACATCGTAGAAGGCGAAGTGAATGTGGATGTGAAACATCACCGACACTTTGTCACTCGTCAAGGCAAAGTCTTGACTGAGATAATTGAAGATTTCGGCGGGGTTTCCATCAGTTTCCCCCGCTACGGCAGTGGCTCTGAGCGTGTCGTCCTCAAAGGAGCCAGTAACTGCGTAGAAGGTGCCAAGGAGAGAATCATTGAGATTGTTAAAGATCTTGAGTCGATGACCACCATTGAAGTTGTGATACCTCAGAAACATCATCGCTCTTTGATGGGAGCTAAAGGCGCCACTGTGCAAGGTTTGTGCCGAATTCAGGAGCAGATCTACCGTGGGGGTTGCAGGAGGGTGCGCACCCCTCCCAGAGAAGTCTAGCACCGCCCTAAAAAATCTGCTTGACCATATGTTTTATGCTTTTCGATTAGCGGAACTTCTACTGTTAGCGCTTGTCGATTTCTTGAAACGATTTAATTGATTTGTGAGCTCACGAGAAAATAGTCAGAATGCTTTAGATAAATATAGTTAATTATGTAAACATATCGAGGTTGTTATACAGCCATATTGTCAAATATATTGCTGTACTGCAACTGTCCTGTCAGTCATACGTGATAAAAAAGTATATAAACTTTATAAACAAAAGATAATGTAAAACGTAACAGAACGGCGAACATGCAGATTCGGCCATCTCAAGTAATGGTAATGTTGGGATAGAGTAGTGTTGCAGACTGCAGAGGAGAGTGGACAGTAAGGCTCCCTCATGCACCACCCCATGGAAAACCTGCACCCCTATTACAGATGAGCCTAGATCCGCCTCGGACATTACTGTCTTGTGGAATTCTTTGATCTACATGTAATTATTATTCTATTTGTATTTTCAGGAGTTCAAAACCGTTGCAACGTGCACATTAGATTCCCCGAGCGAGCTGCTGTGAACGGCACGGAGAACGGCGACCATCCGACGACAAACGGAGATAGCCCGACGCCACCGGCCGAGAACGAGGATGGCGTGAAGAAATGTGATATCATCCAGATTACTGGCAAGGTTGAACAAGTAGAACTTGGCAAACAAGCTTTACTGGTAAGTGAGGCTTTTTGAGACTTGTTAAACAAGTTTTTCCAGTTTTCAATCTTGCCTCGTGTCCATTTGAATGATTAAACAATGATAATAATTTTATTAGGATCTCATCCCGATCACCGAAATAGTGAAGATACCATTTGACTACCATCGTTACATCATTGGCACAAAGGGCGCCAACATCCGGGCAATGATGAACGAACATGACGTCAACATCCTCATCCCGCCCGCCAAAGACGAGTCCGATGACGTCACAATCTCGGGTCCACGCGATAACGTCGCGCAAGCCATAAATGCGCTCAATAAACGAGTTGACGAAATTGAGGCTGAGAACGAAGATAAGGTGGGTGACGTTTTAGGGTAAAAACGTCTTAGCGACGTCTAGCCAGTCCATCTACGTTGTGTGCTTGATCTGCACAAGTTGTAAGCAGGTTGCATACGACAGTTTTAGGCAAACTTTTTTTTATTTAAAACTTTATTTCATGAGGGTAACACTTGAGAGTAAGTAAAACTACTGATAAATTCGTGGCCCTCCCTATAGTTAATAACCCGCTCACCCAACCAACCACTAGCCTACGGTGTAAGACCCCAGCAGAAACACGTTTTGTGAGGGGTCTACGAATAAACGAAGAAAAGCTTGCCCGGCCTACGTCATATCCGTTCTGCTGGGGTCTACACCGTAGGCTAACCAACCACCCACTCACCTGAGAAATTTCTAAACTCATGGCGGACTTCTGGTTCCTTAGAATTTGATTATAAAATCTACGTTTAAAGCTAGATATAGATTTCTCTTTGCGTAAAGAGACGTCAAGGGCGTTCCAGTCTTTAATAGTTCTCACGGTGAAAATGCGCCCACCTTCAGACTCTCTGAAGTATTTTGGGCACACCATGTTCATATTGTTGAAATGAGTATTTCTGCTATGTTCATCTGAGTTGTGTGGTCACAAGGACATTTTTTCTCACATTTATTTCATTTTTGCAGGCTCTTCGTAATTTCCAACTGGAAGTGTTCGTGGATCCAAAGTACCATCCAAAGATTATTGGACGTAAAGGAATCATCATTGACAAGATTCGCAAAAATCACGAGGTTCAAATCCAGGTCCCATCAATGAAGTCTGGCGGGGATGAGGGCTCTGACGTCATAACTTTGACTGGCTATGAGCGAAACTGTCATGCAGCCAAGGAAGAGATCGAGCGCATGGTCAAGGATCTGGTAAGGAGCGCTCTCCACCGCAGAGAGTAATAATGGTAGCGTAGAGATAGTAGTGGTAACGTGACTAACGTCGGGATAGTAGAGGACATTAGACTCCCACTACATTTCACTGGCTTAGTACCCATCTGATTGGTTAATCGAATACACACGCAAAAATCCAACAAGTTGTGTTCGCACTGCTTGTCCCAAGTTATCAACAAAGTTTGGAACAAACTGTTGACAACTCGTGGCTTGCGAGGTTACACTGAGAATAGTTTAGAGCTGGTAAAGCTATCCAGTATAAAGTGGTTTTAGTTGTAGTTGACAATAACTGAGGGCTGTTACAATATTGTTGAGCTGTATTTCAAATTAACCTGATATTTTTCTCTTAAATTCTCAGGAAGACCAGACGACGGTCGAGGTAGACATCGATCCCAGAGTGCACCGGCGTCTTATCGGAGCGCGTGGCGCGAGCATTCGCAGAGTGATGGATGAATACAAAGTGGATATCCGCTTCCCACGTTCTGATAACCCCAATGGACCCGTAGCGATCAGTGGTGCCCCTGAAAACGTCGATGACGCAAAAGATCATTTGTTGGTCCTGGAAGAGGAATATGTAAGTCGCTCTTCACGCTATTGTAACATGAATAGTGCAAAGAGAATTAGCTCGAAACAGAAGCTGGTATATGTTTGAATAAAGCACATGAGAGTTCCATGAGTTGTGTACAATGCCTCTTGCCCTAAATTAGATCTCTCAAGCATGGTACGATAATTCTAATTCCAATATTACGGTCTGGAACTCCTTTGTTTACAGCCACGTACTACTTAGGTACGAGAAACTCTTGCTATCTGCGTACTTACATTTTGCTGGTACCACATGACTTGCCAAGGCCAAGGTATTCAATGCCATAATTTAGTTGGTATAACATGTGTCTGAGATGTCCTGGCATGAAACATGATTAGACTGATGGCACTAAGAAACGTTGGAGTCGATTGTTTGTATATGCAATTGTGCTTCTTTTTCTACCTCGTAGCCTGAACGTACTTTTCAGAAACCTATACCTTATGTACTTTATTTTTAATACTACGGTACACATTGAGTAGCGAGTTTGTACTATTGCAAGTACGCGGCTACGACCATTGGCGTACCAGTCACGTACGACTAAAAATATTGAATTATCACACCCTGTCTCAAGAACACCACCCCTTTGCTGGAAGACTTGTTCCAACAGCTCTTTCTATCGTCCAGCATTTCAACAGCTTGTGAATTCTAACGACAAACTTGTGGACAAGAAGTTTGTTTTGTGACCTATCGATAAGTTTTGCTACAAATATGTTGCGAAGACGTCTTGTTGAAAAGATGTGAGAAGAGATGTTTGAACGTCGTATCTTTTTCATTCCAGCTTGACGAGGTTCGAGACCAACAAGAAGAAAAAGACCTCGTCAACCACTACATGAACCCACCTAGCAAGAGCAGTGAAACGCAAAGCAAGACCTACAACCCACCACAATTTGTTGTGCGTGATGCCCCCTGGAGTAAGTCCTCGCCACCAATCTCCCCCAGTCCCCCTCCCGCCGCCGTACTCAATATGGCCGACACTGAAGATTTTCCCGCCATTGGAAGCAGCGGCAAACCGTTTGCCGCAGCCGTGTCCTGGGGCCCAATACGTCATTAAAATAAAATATATTTTCATACACATTTACTTCATGTTAGACTGAATAAAACACCCAATTTAAATTCATACTTGCCAGTTTCGTTTATTTGTTGTTTTTGAAGAGCGACTGTTCGTTCATAGCATGACAAACCTAAGCTCAAATCCTAGATCTTAGTGTACTTTTTCTGTTTATTTTCGTTTTTGCTTATGTTTAGGGTTAAGTACCGTAGTCGAATTTAATGTCATTTATTTTCATTCAAAACTTTTCTAACGTTGTGACAAATCTTACTTTAGTGATTTTACGTAAAGGACTGTAGGCAATACACGGCCATTTTTTTTTCACGAGTATAGTCAGTAGAATTATGACATATGCATAGATGAGCATATTTTTTGTGGTGGTAGGGACGTGAACATTTCTTGACAATGCATGCAGACGATAGATAGAAAATCCAAAATTGGAAAATTTCTACAAATGATTATGACTAATAAAATTCGTATTGTTGTGCATTACATGTTGTGTGATCACTGTGATGATTTATATGATGGTTTTATGAGGCTTGGAAATTTGATGAATTTGCCTTTCTCGCGCCAGGCGACCAGGCTTTGTCCGCCATTTTTGGGTATGACCAGGCTTGATTCAAGATGGCGGCCTTCGGTTATTACCAAGATTTGTACAAACATTGAAAAAGTAGCTATCCCATAAGCTCTGTCCGGCCTGCATAATACAACCGCCCCCATGCAAGTATCGAATTCGTTTCCGGTTATCGCGTAAACGTATAGTGTTAAGCCCTGGGCAAACTAGGAAACATTGTTTCCTACCAATGTTTCGCCATGTTTCCCAGAGTGCATTTTTGCTTCGCGGGAAGTAAATTTTGATTCCGCAACAATGTTTCCACGGGTGGGCAAACATGAAAACATTTGAAGATACATCGACAATCGCAAATGTTTCCCCGCAACAATGTTTTTTAGTTTGCCCAGGGCTTTAGTGTCAGAATTATTGCATGAAAATCGAACACTAGTCGAGGTTTAATTATTAATTTCGCGTACATTTGTATTGGCTATATTTGGAACCTCTATATTTTAATTACAACACTATTACAACACTTAATCAATTCGGGCGTAAATATCTTAAAAGTGCGAGGTCCGAGGGGTGTATTACTTCAGAAATCCACGAACACGTTTCCAAAATAATAATTTTTAAATTCCTTAAATGCTGCCAAAATCCATCTCAAAGTCTCGAGTGTTTCATGCATGTCCTTTACTAAAAATGCTGAAGATTTTGCAAAACTCCCCAAATTCCTGAATACATTGCAGGTATTTTGAAATCTCAAAAATTCTCGCACGATTTTTTCAGAATAATACACTCCTCGGTTAAGTCTGTTTCAAAAGTAGACCTTTTTATGTGCCTAACGTCGCGTGAATGAACTCAGACAATGTGTTTTGCTCATTAGTCGGCTCACGAAAAGTTCCACGTCTGAAATAAGCATTACATTGTGTCGGATAGCTTGCGCAGCGACGCAAAAACCATACCGGATAGGTCTTGTGTTGACATATGAAATGATGTAATCGAATCAATTTCTGCATCGAAGCGGCGCTGCGCTCTTCCAAAAGTGGTGCGTCAGGGTGCCGGAATAGTTTTTGCAACGCTGTCATTGTAATGTAAACACACCATACCAATTCTGGTTTCAATTCGTGATTCAAAATGGCGTCTAGCAAACAAAAACTTGCTATTCTAACATCTACTGGTATAGCTTGCTCACTCATTCAAATGACGTCTGCAATATTTTTGTTTTTGGTAAATATATACAAGGAAAGACGAGGGCATAGAAGGGCGAAAGCTGTTTACACTTGGGCCGTAACAAAAAGCAAAAACCGATCCGATACAATGTAAACATAGCAACAAATTACTACTTTAAAATTTATCGTATAACACTAAGGCCTGTTTTATACGTCGAATTTCGGTCGTGTCGAATGCAATTGATAATGAAGCTTAATGAGGTTTATCATCTCATTATCTATTGTCTTAATTGCATTCGACGCGACCAAAATTCGACCTATAAAACCGGCCTAATAACTCTACACGTACAAACACGTAACATTGTTTCAAACGTCAAATTGTCCCACAGCCATGCGCAGAAAATTGCATTTTCTCGACGCTGGGCAAGAGCGACATGTACACAACCAAGAACACAACAATAGTCAACGAACTGAACAGCACAAGATGCGTGTACAACACACTCGCAACAAGCGGGCCAACAATCAAACCCAAATGTTGCGAAGTTGCAAAAGCAGTCTGATAAAATCCATGTGTTTCAGGATGGGTTAGTTTTGGCAGCAACGATTTGCCAGCGATACTTGCGATCGGGGTCCCTATTATGGTAAAGAACCCCATAAGCAATGTCATCGCTATGCTCCCCGTTGAATTATTGTCAGCAAAACCGACTGCTAGTCTTGCAAACGATGCTAGGAGTCCGGCTGAGATGCTTGTAACAAGTAGGTATTTTGCATCCAAAGACTTATTCGCTGACCACACCAGTATTATAACCGTTACCATTTCAACACCAGCAACGATGAAGATGGCACTGAGTATGGTAATACTGAATCCAAGTAGATTCACTCCGATTAGTAACATTAATGTCTCGAAAGTGGTTTGATTAAAGAACATTAAAAATTGACAAATTAGGATCAACATGACGTCACGTCGGCACAAAAGTTCCCATATGCTATAATTCATTGCGGGCATTCTCTCGAGCTTTCTGGTATAGCTGCTGGTTTGCGAGACTGGTCTTACCGGTTTGGATAACTCGCCATCAGATTCTAAAACTCGAATCTCTTCGCTGCGCTTGCCTTCGCTGTCGGAGCTGTCCGTGTGCGGATCCTCGGATTTCGGTTCGTCCTCGTCGGATTTCGGTTCGCCCTCGTCGGATTTCGGTTCATCTTCGCCCGAAGTCGGTTTCGGTTCGCCTGTTGTCGTAGAAGGTTCGCCGTTTGTGGTAAACGGTTGACTGATACTTGGTTTCTTTTGGTTGGGTGGGTCCTCCTCGGAGTCGGGCAATTCTCGGTATCCATTAGGGTGTAGGCTTAAATCATACACTGTAAATATATGTACAACTTGAACAAGCAGCCACACTATAGCCATAAAGAATCCGGGCGCAGTTCTTCGATCAATAATCCACGGACCGAAAGTCAAATCAAAGTCTTTCATAAAGAAATTCATGCCAGGTCCAATCACGACACCGAAAAGGCGCACTCCTTCCATAAAAATCATCACACGATTGCGTTCCTCAGGAGAAGTCACCCGTTTCACTTCGCCATACAATGCACCGCTAAAACCTTGCCCCAATCCAGACACTAACCGACCTACCAAAGGCATGTAATAGTACAAGGGCAATGCGTATATCATGCTGCCTGCGATTTGAAACAAGTTCGCGACGAAGCCAAGAAATCGAACGCGTTGCAATTTGTCGCCCAACTTCTCGATCAAAGGCGAGACGAAAAAAGCGACCAGCGAGTCGGCAGCGATGACTAATCCCAAGAAATAGTAGCCAACGTTGAACGACTGTAGATAAAAGTAAATAGATGGCAAGATAATGATGTAGTCGATACCAGCAGCAAAACGACGCAAGGCAAATCCGATTAGTGTTAGTTGTCGTTTAGTCTGGTAGGTTAGTTCGAACGATGATTCGAGGTTCCCCTTGGACTCACACAGCATCTTGCTACGAAAATCCACGTTAGTTCCGAATTGAATTTCACGCTTGTTCTGTCTCTCGAATTCACATGTTCGAATTCACAAGTTGGTAAAGTTTTACCAACCGAGTTTAAGTCTCCAATTCAAATCATACAAAACAACCTTACACAAAGTGAAAGAATTCTCTAGATACGATAGCAAACAATTTACAAAACGTCTTTGTACGGCAATCTGTTAGGTATTCACAAACAATACAGCAGACAATTTGAATATATTTGTATGCTTGAACAGTCAAGTGTAACCACTCACGTCTTTTAATATTCAAACGATATGCTGGCGATGTTCCTATAGAATTTAAGGACTGTTCTAGTCTTATTCGTTTTGATATAAGATGTACGTGGTCTTTACTTGCCTTTTGCTTTCGTTTCTTCGAAGCTTTTAAGGACTTGGAGGCGTTTGATAGTCTCTCCCATCACTTGTGGTTCTCATGTGTTTCCGCTGTTGGTTGTAATATAATATCCATGTTGGCCACGAAACACCTTATGTGGTATCTTTGTCTTTGTTCGTCCGGGGGGTGGGGGATGCTACTCCAAATTTGTTAGTGTAGACAGGAGTTTCTACAATGCCGTTTCTCCAACATTGTCATGGTGTTCTAGCGTAACACCAGGTTAACGGTTAACCTAAAATTCAAAGCAAACTTCTTAACAGCATGATTAAAAATTTGGAAATATTTATTCAGAAATATTGTCGCCTGAATCAGTAGGAGTTTTCTTCTCTGAAGTTTTGAAATAAACAGACGTACAGAAATACATAAACTAAAACAGAGTTTAAATTTCAAGCGAGAGTTAGCGCTATTATCTAACTTTGAACAACCGACTCCAGATGTTCACACTTTTTAGGAAGAGGCAAGTTAAACTGCACCGATCTGTTTATTTAATTTGTCTCCAAATAGAAAACTATCACAATATAAAAGAATTGACATGATTTTCTCAAGCATCATGATTTTCTCATTCTGACTAGAAATTGAAAAGGCTCAAACGTTAGCAAAGTTGCAAACTCATCAACGATTTGGACCGAAAATTCGGGGCATAAAAAATAATTCGGGGCGTCTTATATTTCATGTAACAAATCTTGTCAAAGTGTTTAAACACGCACTGGGTTTAATACCTAAAAGATCACTGCATTTTTGGTCAAAGGAAAAATTGTCATTCACAACAACTTTCGAAATGCGCACACTTAAAATGTCAAGTGTTGCAAGGTAATAAGCCCAATATATGTGTCAATTTTTTATCATCAGTGAATCTACGAGTAAGGAAATAGTTGCCTTAACCGTCGTCTCCCCCCGTGAGAGATCAAGCCGCAATAATATGATTTCCATACAGTTTGAAAGCAGGTATTTCAAGCGTATCGACACTGGAACAATTTAATTGAGGAGATTCTGTTGACCAAAGAACCGCGTAGATTACTGCCACACAAGCAGAAAGACTGTGTTTTAATTGCGAGGACAGTTTTGCCAAATAAAGCCAGGGAAATGGTAAGTTTTTTATGTGTTTATATGCACGGTGTCAAGTAAATATGGCGACACAGTAATGGCAAATATCTTCATATGTTCTGCTTGAGTTTTCACGTAATGAGATTAAAGCAATACTGTGGAAACCTTATCGGTGTAGTTATACAAAAGCAAGACTCTGTATTAAAGATATGTACGGTGCGTACATTTATTTCTGGTAGCGCTAAGTAGTAGACATTATTATTCAAGTCGACCATTGAAGATCAGCTTATCTTTATCTGGTGTAGTAAAACACTTATTCGCTGGAATTATTTTACTTCTCGTTATTCTGACCTAAAGTCCACACGAAATGTCACGAATGAACAATCATAGAAACTACGGACGGTAAAACGTTAAACATACGCTCTATAAATTGGTGCTACCACGCATTTTATAAGGTTTGTGGTGTATAGGTTGAATTTTGACATATATAGCGGTTCACTTCCAGATTGAAACGTTATATAAGTGTTTGTCATATATATATTGTCAGTGATTTTCATAGGCTATATTGTCATACACAAATTTACACGAAGCGTCAAAACTGTTTAATGAAATTCTTGTAAAGATTTTCGACCGGCTTGGCAACAAATTTTATCATTTTAAAATGCACATTGGTTACCGAAAGCCTCATAAAAACAATTCATTGTCGTTCAATTAAGTATTCACTACAGTCATTATATACGATATGTAATATGCATTTTTTATTGCAATAAATTGAAAATAATTTGTAATCATGTATGTGACTCCCACTAGGCAATACGTGATATAAAGTCCGTCAGGATAGGAGGTTATATTTTCACCTTGTTTGTTTGTTTGCTTGTTTGCTTGTTTCTTTGTTCGTTTTGGCCATTTCCAGCCGAAATCATTATAGACATACTAGGACTAGGTTCCCCAGAATTGTCAAAAATCACCTAATAATAATAATAATAACTTTATTTTATTTTGATTTTTGAGAGGCTATTTATATATACATACATATACTCACGAGTCACGTACATATACCTAGATTTTATTTTAACACGCTGCAGCTAAGACTCCGTTTATTGTTAGCTGATTTCCACGAGGGACGTGTTTGACAGGAGCGACAATTTACAGTACAACATGATACAACAAGAAGACAAAAGACATAATTAAACGAACCGGCTTTAACTCATTGACACTGTTTGTTTCAAAATCCGGTTTATATATCTCATAAGGAAGATTGTTCCAAAGTAGCACCACTGACACTGTAGCCGAAGCACCTTTTCCCCAAATTCTTTCGTCGGCTTAGGAAGTGATAATCGAAAAGATTCGTTTAGGTTGGTTATTAAGAATTTTATACATATATAAAGATTGATTTCAGGTAATTCCGTCTCTTTCTAGGACTAGGGGTTGTAAATTTAAATTTTCAAGCAAATCAGCTGATCGAATATCGTTGCTCCAGAGATAACTCGTGCCGCGCGATTTTGATATTTTTGCAGTCTGTCTTTGAGGCCAACTCCACAATTGTCCCAGAGCGGACTGCATGCAGCAATCAAATTAACGTTGCACATGGCATTATATATATATGCAGGTTTCATGTTGTAGAAAATACAGCCTCGTGTAACGTGGCCCTTGACACTTAACGCTTACTGAAACCAATCAATTGTGTAAATTTCTAATCCTTTATAGCCTTAATCCTTGAAAGGCGGCAATCTTCATCATGTTATCTCAAACGCAAGGCTGTTTCGACTTTCCATTTAAACTCACGTTTCAAAGCAAACGACAGCTTACGTTAATCGGCTTCGCCATTCGTCGCTTCGTCGTCGGAATCAACTATGCCATCGTTATTCCGTCGCTATGGTTCTACCTTCAGTCGTTCGGCGCGCCGTATTATTTCCTGGGACTAGCAATTGCAGCCGACTCGATTGTCGGAGTTTTAGTCGCGCCGATTGTCGGTAAGATCGCCGACGTCACGCGTCGTATCCGTGCTATTGGAGCCATCACAATTTTTCTAGATTTCGTAGGAAATATCGTATACGCCATACCGATACATGTCTATATGCCAATCTTAGGTCGTTGTATTTCGGGTATCGGCGCCGGCTACGTCTCGGCACTTTACGGCGAGGTATCGCGCATTACGACGCCCGCCGAACGTACACGGATAGTTACGATTTTGGAAGGAGTTCGTCTGCTCGGCATCACAATCGGTCCTTCGTTTAATTTCTTTCTACAAAATTTTAATTTCTACATCGGGCCTTGGAAAATCGATAACCGAACAGCGCCCGGGTTTTTTATGGCCATTCTGTGGATTCTCGTTGGCATAATTCATCTGTTTACGGTTTATAATCTTACGAAAGACTACAGACATTTGGAAGAGGAATTTTTAGAAAATGGCCACCCCGACGAGAAGAGCGAAAAGGGTTCGAGTTACGAACCTGGAGTACCTCAAGGTTCCCACGAAGATCGCAGAAGGTCATCTCTGGATCTCAGAAGTTCGCGTGGATCACCTGTGGATTCAGTGGGAGCACGTGATGATAAGAGGGGATCTTTTTACCTACACGAGGGATATTCGAGCGAAGAGGAAGTCACAGAAGAGTTGACGTATTTTGATATTCTGAGATCACAGAGGCAACAACAGGGCAAGGAAAAGACAAAGGGTGGTCGAAGCGTTTTTGAGGGAATTAAGACAGCTCTGTCACGCTCTGAACTTGTCGTACTTTTCCTCTCGCAGTTTGTAATGTATTTTAACCAGAGTTCGTTTGAAACTCTCGCCCCTTTGATTGGAGTGGAGTTATTCGGCTTTACTATAACATATCTAAGTATTCTCTACGTCGCTGCCGGAATTGAACTTGTTGTAGTGATCGTACTAGTATGGTTCGTCTCGCATCACATCGCTGACCGGAATCTACTGCTTGCGTCAATTGCCATGGGAACCGTCGGTGTGTTCGCGCAACTGGGCGTGGCATTCTCGCAGCCCCGATCGTCCGGAGGACTGGTGTTGGCCTTAGTGATGTCGTTCTTTATGTTGCTAGCTACGCCGATCACGAGTATCGTCGGGAAATCTTTGCTATCAAAAATAACGCCCGTAGAAGATCAAGGATTCTACCAGGGCTTGCTTGCCTCGACCCAACAGCTTGGGCTCATATCTGGACCGCTCGTGGGAAGTGCACTGTTTACATATCTAATACAGTTTAGCTCGACATCGCTATTTGTATTTGTGTTTCTGTATGTTCTTACTCTAACAACCATGGATAAATTGGTTGGTGTTACAAGTCTCGACGTGGACGCTAATTAGGATTTTCAAACGTGTGCAAATGAAATTTTAGTTAATGAACAATGTACAAAAGGATTAATAAAGGGCCGAGACACGTCGGACGCGATTCGACATTTCGGCGTGATTTTTCGATTTTCACTGACCGATAAGTCAAATATTTAGAAGCGCTATAACATTTTGAGTTATTTGGTGTACATATTTTTTAAAATATCCTTTCATTGGCTGTTTTATTTACTTTCAAAAACTGAAATGCAGCACCAACGCCGCGTTGTCAAATCGCGTCCGTGTGTCTGGACCTTTACACTTGCTTATTTGGCTGCGATTCCTAGTGCGAGTTTCTTCTTCTGATTCCATGTGAACGAGTAGATGAGTTCTGAGTTTATGTACCCTTATCTGAACCATAGATTAAGTAAGAACAGATGTGTAACTTCAGTAAAAAGTTGTCCCACGGTCGCCATCTTCCTAGCAAGTGTCGCTCGCGTGAAAATTCGTCATTTGGTAGTACGTCATTGCCTTCAAAAATGTTTTCAACACCTTTTCTACAACTTTAATTGCTTTTAACAACTTTAAACATTCAACAAATTATGCTCTTGATTGTTTAATCCATAAATTTCGATCCAAGAAAGCCGCAATAAAATGCAAAAGTTCATGTTTTCCTAGCCTGCGGACAGGCTCTCAAGCTGAATTGAGAGCCTGCATCGATGACTAATGAATTTGGATATCTGCGTCTCAAATCGTGACGCGAAATTCTCATTGGTCAGATGCTATAATTTATCATTAATTTATATGTTTCCGCTGAGCTCTATATATATCAAGAGCACTGTCTATGCATAAAAAACGCATTGGCTGATGTGGTCTTGGCTATCTTATCTCAAAGCACGAAATGTTCTGTTTTGAGAAAACAGTATTTAAAACATTTGAATATTTGCTTGAATATCTTTATATTTCGAAAAACAGTATAAACTGTACGGTCTAAATTTAGTTTGCACGGTCTAAATTTAGTTTGCACGAAAGTTGTAAACAACACCATATAAGGATAGACATTCCATATTTGGAAAAACGAACGTTACGGGGCAGATATTCAAATTCATTAGTCATCGATGCAGGCTCTCAATTCAGCTTGAGAGCCTGTTCGCAGGCTAATGTTTTCCAGGACGCCATCTTCCTAGCAAGTGTCATGGCGTGAGCATGACGTGTACATCTAGGGAAATTTGAGGACACGAATTCCTATTAAGTTACACATCTGGTATATACTTCATCTGTGTCTAAACATCCATAGCTCATTCACTCATCACATCAATCAGAAGAATAAAATCGTATACTTTATAAAATCGCAGCAAAAAGTGGTGCGAGTGTAAATCGACCTTAAGATCTTCATCTCGTAAAATGCCATTCTTAAAATGCACGGGAGAGGGTGGTAAAGCCTGTTTCACGCTAGCAATTTTGTCGGCGATTTTGTGTTTCTGACGGATGCTAATTAATGAATGAACTCGCACACAAAAGTATAGAGTCACTTTTGAGAAATAAACAATTCTAAGTCTTTTGCATGTCATCATGTCGTCTTAGACGGGAAACTCGTCTTAGACGGGAAACTCGTCCAATATAAATCCGGGGGCAGACGAGTTTCAGTCCCGTCCGAACTTTCCCGTCTAACTTACCCGTCTAAACCGGAGTTAAACAGACGGGAAAGTTAGACGGGAATCCCATCTAAACGGGAAACTCGTCTTAAATTCGAATTTATCCGTCCCTAAATTCATATTCAGACGGGTTTTCACAGACGACTTTCCCGTCCCTAATATGAATTCGGCTATTCAGTCGATCACATTTGCCAGGAGAAGAAAAATTGCCGACAGAATTTCTAGTGCGAACCAGGCTTAAAGGGGAAGAGGCTATTGATCACGTTTCACGAAAAACGATTCAAGAAGAAAAAATCATCCATTTCACGCTTCACGGAAACTAGGATGCTGTTACTATAAAATATCTCATTTGTTTTTTTCAAAGTTGACAGCTTTTCTTAGGTCGTCCAATTAAATTTTAGACAAATTTTTAGACGAAAGGTGAAATGAGCTCCCACCCCATCCCACCAGAATTTCTGCCTCTGTAGCGTTGCCGGACGCCCTGTAAGCTTTTGATGAATATGGTACTGTGCAAAGTGCTAATTAAGTATGGAAGAAGGTAATATCATTGAACTAAATGTTTTAAGGAAAGTACATCGCACCTACTATATCGTGAGACGTTTTTATGAAGCATTGGAATGTGATTTCAATCTAATGTTGTTTTTGTAAATATAGGTATACTGTATTCGCACTATTATTCTTTGGTGTGTGATTGATATTTAAACAGCATGACCATGCATTAAAAAGTATTTCCAAAAATATGTCTATTTTGATGCAACATAGCGAACCTCCATCCTATCGAGCCAACAGAGCCGACTGGTAGCGAGTCTTATCTAATAAAGTGCATGAAACAGGGTTGTAAAATAGAACTATCCAGTGCTGTTGTTATAAGGTCCGTGGAAAGCTCACCTGTTTGCTTTCAAAAGCCTGAGTAGGAATTTGTTTAGCGAGCGGACGTCAGCGGAAAATTTAAATACCCGATTTTAATTTTTTCATGTTTCTCGCTTTGTATTTTAAAAAATGTAAAGGAATAGTTGATAAAGAAGTTTTCCTGAGCCTTTGCAATTGATGGCTGTAAAAAAGAAGTGATTTACCGCGAAAAGAAGTATTTTTGAGTTTGTTTTAGCCGTTTGGCGAAATCGCGAGGTTTGTTTGCTGTCGTCATCGTTTTTCAACAGACTACAAAGTTTTTTTTAAGAAGATAAAAATGCAGTAAAAATGAGAAGAATTAGTCGTTGGTTTTTGCTGTTTTGTGTTATCTTTCTCTGCGTAAATGATGGACTTACAGGTAAATATATTTTCTGGAGTTATTAGCTTGAAATTTTATAGAAATTTGAAAGGGATTTAGTAATTTTTAAATACGAAGTCGAAGGTTTATTTTTATATTTTACCATGGCAAACGAAGGAGCATAATGTGAATCCGAATTTAGAGTATAGAAACTCTTAAATTTCTAATTGAAGGTAACTTCTACACGTTTTCGACAGCTAAATAGCTAATTCATTTTAATGCACAATCGAACGTCAATCTTAAGGTCTAATATTGTGAAACGTTGTTTAGCAAAAAATATTTGATAAAAGGATGAGATTGGTCAGGATTGGTCGTGCAATTTTAAGTTTTGGGCAATGTCAATGAAGTCAACGTGTGAAAATCTCTCGATGTTTCTTCAACCCAGTTTGTCAATATTCAACATCGCTGCTATCTTTGGAAGTTGCGTTGTGAAATCGACTTGCTTGTTATATAGTCTTCTACACTGCAAAAAATTCCATTATGTTGGGTATTTTGCCTAAGAAACATAAGGAAAATAATGCACATTTTGAGAACATTTTTTGTCATTGTCAGTGCATTATTTTACTCAAGTTTTGTGTCAGAGTGTAAAGTTTTATCAACGGCCTCGCCCGAATCTATTATATTAATTAAATGTTGTTATTAGTAACGATTTAAAATCATCAAAACTTTAACTGCTTTTGCCCCCCCCCCCTCGCCATTTGAGCAGACCCAAAATCATTTTTTCCGGGGGAGAATTCACCGTATTGTGAGTCACAGCTTATATTAAGTCCCCCCTCCCCTCCCCCAAATAAAATCCTGGCGACGTCACTCTCTCTTCATTATTTGAAACTTACCAATTTGACTTTCATCCACCTTTATATTTTTAGCCAAAGTTGTAAAAAGCTTCGTGATATACAGTCCAAGCGTGAAGAAATGCATCAAAGCCGTACCTCCCAGGACAGTTAAACTCGAAGGTTGTAGGTATGATGATGCTTTCCGTTGGCGATGGACAACGGACGGACAAGTTCAAAATGTTAGAACAGGGCTCTGTGTTGAAATTAACGATTACGCCATATATGTTTATAAACACGCTAACTTGCACCTGGCACTCTGCAATTACAGAAAGAAACTCCAGGTAGCTATTAGTATTAACTGATTGCTCGCAGCGAACGACTGGAATTACTCCCCTTTTTCGAGTTTCTCAAGATGTGATGGTCTGGGAATTAAACAGAGTTTATTGAGTTTACTGAGTTTCTCGCACACTGGTGAGCGCATTTCCCAACAGGCAACAGGCTATTGTCCAATACACCCATAGATATCTTATATACACTAGATAGCGCATCTCTTTTAGTAAAATTGAAGCCAAAAATATCAGTCCAGCGGTTACCCTCGTTTGAATAGATGGCGGCCATGTTGGTCGTTCCCACTTGCTAATAAACGCTTAAAAACAACAATAACTTTCATCTTTTGAATAGTTTAAAAACGTATTTGCAATAGGGTTAACTTAATGTTTAAGTTCCCTGTTTAAGAAATAGAACTACGAACCTTCTCATTTCATGGGAACGACCTGAACTGCAATCACGGCTTCAATTTTTGAATTGCAGAATAATTAAATGCACTATCTAGTGTATATAAGATATATATGAATACACCCTTTCGATAATTACGTCACAACTACACTGTTTTCAACTTAGGACCACCTTAAATGGAAAGGATTTCAAGTTTTTTTCTCATGGGCTATGCACAGAGGAGCAGAACATCCTTCTTCAACACATGCATGAAAAAAGAATTCTTTATTTTAGTGACCAATAAACGTGGAAATAAACTTTAACATGAAAACAAGGCTCCAGGTCATGAGAAAAAAACTTTAGATCCTTTCCATTTAAGGTGATCCTAAGTTGAAAACAGTGTAGTTGTGACGTAATTGTCGAAAGGGTGTATTGATAGAAGATCCGAGGTATACCTACGATTTTAACGTCCTTATCCGAGAAGATGCGAAAGTCTAACTATTTATTGGTGTCAATGCAAAGACTGCTCTTTCAGGTTGAAAGGCAAACGTGGTGATCACGACACCACAAGAGTTGGTAAAAGTCATTGTGTGATGTTTTTCTCTGAGTTTATATTAATTTGTGCACGATCACGTTGATTGAGCTTATTGTATTCTCGTGTAATGAAGTAATCGTCCAATAGGGATAGCTGAGATAAAACGTGCAACCACAATGAATAATATTTATCGAAGTTGAGACAAAGGATTTGTGGTGAAGTACAGTCCAACATCAAACAAAGGTCTTCTATTTTGTGGCTTTGAAGTTTGCCGGCCTTCCAGACCATCACATATTGACAGACTACGACTGTTAAACCAACTCCTTGTTCCCTCCACTCAAGGCCACTACACTTTAATTGATTCGTAACGTGCCATGTATATCCCCTTCTTTTGTGCCGAAGTTGTTATAGTTTCACTCTAATGGTCAGGAAAGCATTGCGTTGCCCAAACAAAGTTAGACATAATTTTATATTCGCTGCATGCGTGAGTTTGTTATTCTGTTGGTTTATTATTCTGTTAGTTTGTTATTCTGTTAGTTTGTTATTCTGTTAGAATGCTGTTTTTAGGGTTTGTAATCCAAGTGAATATATATACATTTTAAGACCTAACCAGGAACGACTGCGAAAAATGCAACACAATGTCCTCTGGTAGCAATTGAACCTACGGCCCTGCGCAGGGCCGTAGGTCCGTAGGGCCGTAGGTTCAATTCCTAGCAGAGGACCTTGTGCTGCATTTTTCGAAGTTGTTTCCTGGTTATTTTGTTATTCTGTTAGTTTGTTATTTTGTTATTTTGTTATTCTGTTAGTCAACCTCACCCACATTTGTCATTTTTTTTCGCGCGCATTTAATTAAGCATGCATCTAACTGAATCTTTGAAATAAATAATAATTAAAGTTATCCTTGTTTCAGAAATGGAGATGTGAGCATCGTTTTTTCAGGCATCAGAAATTTTATTATATCAGTCCCGCAAATGAACGATTCTATGCCCGGTGGAAGGCTCGTAAGTCTGACCACAAACTCACTGTTACGAAACATAAAAACGACAAGAAGTTATTTCTCTTCAACGATAAAGCTGGGGCTAACATGTGTGACTTTGACCACCGAGGTAAGCATTCGCACATAGATGTTTTCATGGTGACGTTGGCACAAGTTGTTGAAAAACACCATATTGTGTCTGTTTACACAATACGGTAAAAATATGGAAATTTTGAGTACCTACCTTTCTTGTACTGTTTTGGAGTAAACAGCAAATACGTGACTGGCCAGGCGACCAGAAGAAATATTAATTTTTAATTTCTTTTAACTTGTTTTAAAAGCAAATATTCGCACTGAAATTATAAGAAATGATTTAGTATTGAGCATGCCAAGTTTCATTTGACCTCCAATTTGGAGGGGAAAAATTGCCCTCCAAATTGAAGGTGAAAAACCAAATTCGGTTTGCTCATCCTAAATGTTAACCAGGTTGTCTCGTTTCTCTTACGAAGACAAATTGGATATATGCCTTAATAACGAAGCGTATGCCCTCGGCATCCGTGACCCGTTTCCCAGAAATAATTGACCATGCTAATTAAGAAGAACTTTAGCAGTTCTTTAAACATATGTTCCATTTTTCTCAATAGATCATTGCTTGCAAACTGTTGCAAAGATACCAACGTCAGGTATGGAATTATGAATACTTCTCTACTAATAATGCCTAGGCTCTCTAATACAGATACCTCTTTAAAAATAAAGATATACCCCATAATATTCTTGAAAAAGCATTACGGAACATTTTTTGCTTCTGATGTTATGTACTCAAGTGAAGATAATATATGTTTGTGATGTTGTCACACCGGGCAAGCTGAAAAGAGTGCTTGACTCCACCACGGTGGGAATCGAACCCACGACCTTTCGTTTGCTAATACAATGCGCTAGTTGGACACACCAAGAGAGACAACATCACAAACAAGCATTAAGAACAGCAACCAAGATCCCGTGATTCCCAAGTCTCGTCCTCGTCTGATATTTAATCCAGGCTAAATAGACAACTTGCATGTTAGACTAATTTTTGATCTAGGCAAAAAAAGTAAATTCCTCTAAAGAACTTGTTAAAATTAGTAAAATTGCAAAATTTGGTTACGAAATGTTGTAAAATATCGAAAATATAGCCTTGCGAAGTTTGCATATTTTGTACATGTTTGTATTACGTGCGGAAATTGTTACCATTTTTGAGCCGAAAATGACAAAATTTGCAAACTTTGCAAGACTATATTTTCCAAGATTTACAACATTTCGCAACCAAATTTTGCAATTTTACTAATTACATTATGTTCTTTTTAGTTGCGTGTTTGATTCCCTTCTCTTTACTTAGATTAAAATTTAGTCTAACATGATGCAAGTTGTCCATTTTTAAAATGTCATTTCAAAACCTCAAGCGTGTCTTTTCCTATTCCAGAAGGCACGTGCCTCGTCGCCGTCGCGAAAAACAACATCAGTGGTTACGCAGAGATAGAACTTTCAGGCAAGATACCTCTGAGAGATTTCTCAATTTTCATGTGGGTCAAAACTCGGATGCATAAATATAAGGGAAATATGTCACTGTTTTCATATACTGTCAAGAATGATTCTGTTCTGAGCTTGGCACATCATGGAAAAAGCCCTGTTAGTCACAAGAGTAGGATTGATCTTTTCGACAGTGGAATGTAAGTTGCGCTCTTGTGTTATCTTGTGTTGTGTTATGTTATGTTATGTTATGTTGTGTTGTGTTGTGTTGTGTTATCGGTATTGGACAGATTTAGATCGAGGATGCGGACGTCAAAGACGACGTGAAAATGGCGTGTTGTGCCCTTGTATATCTGCCACGCCATTTTCACGTCGCCTTTGACGTCCACGTCCTCGATCTAAATCTGTCTATTATACTTGACAACGGCAAAATAAATACAGATTATCACGTCTTGTATATACAACGTTTATTTAGGAAAACCCTACTTTCAATTGGGTCTCTTAGAACGTTTCTGAAACATAAATCCTGTGTTAACCTTGATCCTCAAACTGTATCACTTTTATACGATGGATAATACACGGCAGTTTGGCGAGAGTTTGTATATCTGATACAACACAGTCGCTCATGTTGTAAATGGCCTGTGAAACGTCTTAATGAATGAATGAATGAATGAATGAATGAATGAATGAATGAATGAATGAATGAATGAATGAATGAATGATATTGCATTCCATTCTAGATCGTACTTTTCGTATCGTTTCTAATTAAATTCAATCCTACCAAGTTTTTATGTTGTGCTAATAGTTTGATTTCTAACCTCATACAGATATATTAATACGGCAGATAAACATGTCCTTTTTGGGCGAAGTTACTGGATTCACGTAACGCTCGCTCGTTCCGTCAAGAAAGGCACACTCAGATACTACGTTAACGACATTCTGGTTCACGAGGAAAACCCTGTGAGCAGGCGGGCAATCTCAGGTACCGGGACTCTGCGTTTGGGTTACTCGGTTTTGGAAGAGGAGAAGTGGTTCAACGGGCTCATATCGCAGTTTAATATCTACGACTGGGCGCCGTATTCCCGTGAAGAGATCGGAGAACGTATTCAAAAGCAACACTGCTGCCACGGTAAATTGTCGCACGGTAATTGGCTGAGCTGGAGTCAGATGGTCAGATATTGGACTCTCCATGGCAGTGTTCGAGTCGACAAAGGAGTCGAGTGCACTTCTTTCGAAAGTACGAAAACATTTGTTTTGCATTTAAGGCCATGTTACACGTTTGCTGCATGCACTGTGGACACACAGCCATGTTATCTACACATGTAAAAATCTCACAAATTGTCAACAAGATGTGTTCGCAACAGGCTTGTAGCAAGCTTGTCAACAATCTGTTATTTTATCAAGTTGCTACAAGGTTGTCACTCACAACTTGTCGACAAATTGTTGAATTGCAGGGCGATAACAAATTGTTGGAACAAGTTGTAACAAGTCTGTTGAGCTCAACAACCTTGTAGCAAGTAGTCAACAAGCCGTTCACAACTTGTCAACAAGCTGGGAACAAGCAGTGCGAACACATCCTATAGACACTTCCCGAATTTGCTTGAGTGCACACGAAACAATAGCTTGGAATCGAGGCGGACAATGTAATCCATTGGAAATAAGTATAGTTTTCCAATGGATTACATTGTCCGCCTCGATTCCAAGCTATTGTTTCGTGTGCACTCAAGCAAATTCGGGAAGTGTCTATTGACAAGTTGTTGGAACAGCATTGCTACAAGTCTGCTGCAGGTTTGTTACAACTTGTGCCTTTTTACGTGTGTAGAAGTAGTTTCACGAAAATTTCTTGTTTTGCCGTTTTTGCGCATTTCAAATCGGGTATAGTTTCGCTTGCATGACTTGTTTTCAATAATTGTGGCGGCTAGTTTTTGATTCGGTCAGCATTAATGACTATTTGGAAATCAATTTTATGGCTCAATTTCGTGGTGACTATCGATTAAATCACTTCGAAATTCGCTTGAGTAGTATTTGGTTGTATTTGGTATCATTATCAGCCTCGTACCCAGGCGCAAATGACGTACTAAAAATAGCAACACTACAGTATTTTTATATAGATCAGTGGCTAAGATGAGCGAGCGCGCGGGGGTGCTAGGTCAGGACCGAGTCCTCCCCAAGTACCCCCGCGCGCTCGCTCATCTTAGCCACTGATCTATATAAAAACACTGTAGTGTTGCTATTTTTAGTACGTTATTTGCGCCTGGGTACGAGGCTGTATCATTATACTAAAAATTTAAAACACTGGTTGTCACATCAAATTTATTTCACTACACAGAGTACTGTTCTCCTGCGATTACAGAATCGTCCTTGGAGATACGAAAAATTAGTCCAAATTATATCTCAAACTCATTTTTAATTCATGAGTAAATTAGCCAACCATATTCTTTATTAATGATAATACTGGATACATGATGAAATATACTGATCCAGTCTTAGGACTGGATAAAAATTAATTCAATCCTTGGACCAGATCAAAATTAATTCACCTCACTTTAAGTACTGATTTATTCGTACGAGATGTCATTTATTTCAAATCCTCCAATTCGGACTGGACTGCATTCCAAGTCTTCGCATTTTGATTCAGTTCTCGGCTTCACCTCTGACTTGATAAAATTGCGCGGACGTGAAATCTAGTCCAGTCCTGGTCTGATTTGAAATATTACTTAACGAACAAGTTGATCTCAATGCATTTTCTCGTTGCTTCTTTCTTACAGTTATGCCACACGAGTGGATAAACATGGAATACGATCGTCAAAACTGCCGTGCACCGTTGTTTGTTTCGGATCCTCGATACGTGCCAGAGTATCAGTTCAGTTCTTCCTCGTGGACACCTGCTGGTATACCATCGAACGGTCGTGCTTCTAAGAGAATACCCAACGCATGGTGCCCTGAGAGCAAGGATGAAAGGAGCTATCTTCAGGTTTGTCAGTGACTTACTTGACGTAATATTTCAAATCCGATATGAGAACTCGAGTAGATTTCAAGTCCAAGCTATTTGATCAAGTCTGAGGTGAAGCTGAGAACTAAAAAATCTACTCCAGTCAAAATTGGAGACTTTGAAATCAATAGATTACTACTTGAACGGAAATGAATTAATTTTGATCCAGTCCAAGGACTGAATTAGTTTTGAGCCAGTCCTAAGACTGGATCAATATACTTCACCAAGTATCCAGTATTATCATGTGAAAAAATAGAACAATATGGTTGGATAATTTACTCATGCATTATTAATGAGTTTGCGAGATTATCATCTGGTGGATAACGTGGATTAGTTGTGATCAACCGGCTCTTATCATCGTGAGACAGTCATCAAGTTGAGAAAATAATTTTATTACACGTAGGAGACTTGTATTTGTAAGCAAACAAATAGAAATGAGAGGAAAGGTTAATTTTCCACATCCCGAAAGTGTCAACATTCTGAACTTGTCGACCATGTACTACTTTCTCTGAAATCCACCAATATAAAACGGTTTACCACCTTTACTGTATGAATGGGGAAGGCCATTAATTGTTAATTATTAAGCTATGATATCTTGTTTTAAGGTGGACCTGGGTTATGTACACAAAGTAAGTGCAATCGGAACAATGGTGAAACTGCAAAGACGCCATGCTAAAAGAATGAAAGTTTATTACAGTGAAAATGGAATTCACTGGCATAACGATGGCCAGGTATTGTAAGTGTTCAATCAATAAATAAGGGTTCAATCGTCAGAATTCGTCAACTGAGGCTAGTACGTTTACACTGTACTTGATATAGCTTTCTGTAGCGACGTGAAAAAACACCTGTCCGTACCTTTTAGGAACGCTATCTTCAGAGGAATTATTGCAACGGAGAGATGTTGTTTCGCTCAGCTTCTGAAAGTTGTCCATTCCGTATCGGATAGGTGCTTTTTTGCGCCGCTACGGAGAGCTATCCAGTATGGTGCAAACATAGCCTGAATCTTGCGTGAATGAAATCTTATGCTTATCTGTGCCTTGTACCAGTGACCTGGGTTACAGATGAGGTATTTACCTCATCTGTGCCTGGGTCAATGCTGGACCGATCGAACATTGTGAGTATTTCAATTACTTATATTCGTCAAGGTATATGAAGCCAGCCAACGTTTAGTCCCCGAAGTCAGCATCGTTCCTCTCAAATCTCCTGTAATGGCGAGATATCTGCGCTTCTACCCAACTGGATGTATATCATCACGCTGCTGTCTTGCTGTTGAGGTATTCGGATGTGATCCAGGTATGGCTTGTAACCCCCCCCTGGAAAAGTCATGTGTAAATGAAAACTGCTATGCAAGAATTTATGATTGGCTGATTCATTTGGAAGAGGGGTGGGTCGGTAACTGCCCATTTCGACAAGAACAGACTAACGAGAGACAACGTCATAGCGTATCGGATAACTGAATAGCTAGGAAGGTCCTGGGGTATGCACCCTTGGAGAATTTTCGATTTTAGAAGTCCAGAATGGCCATTTCCTGCGTTTTTAGGGTGATATTTGGTCTTGTTTTTTGCCTTAAAATCTGTATGGGCGCATAATTTATAACTAATTTTCATATAAAGCTCGAACACTCAATTTTAGAACTACTCATTTTACATTTAGTACCAGCCATTTTGGATTTAGGTGAGCCTTTTAATACGATGACTCCAGTAGAAATGATAGGCTTCACTGAAAGCAGGCATCTGTGGTGGGAAGAATATACTACTATACTTGAAAAATATAAACAGAACAGTCTTGGACGTCGGGGAAACTAGTATCGCACTCATGATGATTTTTTCTCATATTTATATAGTGATTGATCAAAAAATTTCTGAACCCGAAGGTAAGAAAATGTTTATTTGCTTTGTACTTTTTACAAACTGTACTTTTATTAATAATACTATTGTTTGTGGAAACACCACGTAAATTTATTACTGCAAAGATTTCGATCCGTAAGCTCGGATCTTCATCAGTGCTGATGTTTTATCGCCATGCAAACCTACAAAGAAACTGTACTTTTGTTCAAATAAACTTTGACAGTGTAGACCAATATTAACATAGGTGTACATTTCACAGACTTTGATCAGGTAACGTAAACTGCACTTTGTTAATAATGTCTTAAAATAGGTTTGCGCTTCTTGAGTTCAGTAGGACGTGAAAAGTATCAATTGAATGGTTTGTAGCTGGAAGTTTCCGAGTGGAAATTTGTATATACATTTATTACACCTAACCAGGAACAGTTGCGAAAAATGTAACTGTAGGTTCCTGGCAGGAATAGAATCTGCGTCCCTGCGATTCCGGTGCAGCGCTCTAACCAACTGAGCTACCACAAGTTCAGGTTTTATATACTATATCTGTCTCATTGCAGACACTTTTCTAAGGTTGTTTCAAAAAGCTTCAATTTATTACAGTAATCAAGCTCTCAATTTTGAGCTAGTGAAATTGAGACCGACCGCGCGCCGTCGCGCTTGCCGAGGCTTTTCTAAATCTTGGTCTGTTGTATGACCCAATTACTGAAATTGGATTATTCATACCTCAATCTCAAACGTTATACACAGGCCTCCTAAAACCATATACATTTACTTCGAGCTTAAAGGGACATGTAATGTAATGTTTCAATTTACTTTTTAAAATTTTATTTTGAACTGGATAATGTTAAGCCATGGTTATATCCATAATGAGTAAGGTGGTTAAAAATTGACGCAAATAATGGACATTGTATATATATATCGCATATAAATGTGCAAATAAGCCGACATAAAAACCCAAATCTAATACCCATATCTACCTGTGTACATGTTTATTTTATTTAGATGGTTGTACAGGAGAAAATAAGCCTTATATCCTGATGTATCTGCCCATTGCGCAACATATAACACGAATACAACTCAAAGCCCGCAAGAACAAAAAGCCGATCAGGTCATTTTACATGTATTACATGTCGTGGAAGCAATGGATTCCTTATCAAGTTAATGGCAAAATGAAGGTATTGTTCTCACACACAAAACACTCTGTGAATCGAGCAATTAGTGTTTTAAGGATCACTCGTATTTCTAACAAAGTTTGTAAATGAAATAAAAGTTCAAACCATAAAAAATTCCACAGGTGAAGGGGGTGGGGGGGGGGGGGGGGTTGGTGTCTACTTTGGGAAGAAAAGTGTACCACATGTAATTTTCATATAATTTTAAAAGTTCTTTCAAATGAGACACATTAAATTTTTGTTGCCATATACCTTTAATAATTATAATATATAATTGAACAATAGACAATTCCCATTATAGACTAATTTTAAAACTTGGCAAGGAGACTCAAATAAATCACCATAGCTAGAAAGAGCATACTAAAATTAGTAAAATTGCAAAGTTTGGTTGCGAAATGTTGTAAAATGCGGAAAATATAGCCTTGCAAAGTTCGCAAATTTTGTATACTTTTGTATTGCGTGCGGAAATTCTTACCACATTCCTACCACATTTAGGCCGAAAATGGCCGCACGCAATACAAAAGTATACAAAATTTGCGAACTTTGCAAGGCTATATTTCCCGCATGTTATAACATTTCGCAACCAAACTTTGCAATTTTACTCATTTTAGTATGCTCTTTCTAGCTGTAGTAATTTATTTGCATCTCCTTGCCTAGTTTTAAAATTAGTCTATAATGCGATTTGTCTATTAAAAACTCTGATTTATTCTCGCAAGGTGTTCAACGGAAACAGGGACACGTCAAGGTCATTCACACATATCCTAACCGTCCCAATATTCACACATCTCGTCAAGATATTTCCAATTCCTTATGGGCCATCTGTGTGCGGTGATTTTACCTTCATTGGATGCTTTCCTCCTCGCGATGATTTTTGCCATGTATTGGAGGTACGGAGTAGCATTGGTCATTGTCGGAGACTTCCGTTTCCTCGGTGTAGTCTGGGCTTTGTTGGTAATGGCCGTATCTGTCAAGGTAGGAATTCTATACTACTTGCTAAAAAACTCTGACTTGCTTGCTTACTTGTTTTGCTAATAAGCGTACGAGACAGGGGACATAAAAAACCCATGGAAAATCGGACAAATGCTAGCAAGATCGAGAAAAGTCGGGCAGACTTTATCAGAAAATATATTAAATTTAGGTTATTTTATCACAATACTCCCAAAAAATTCGGGCAAACTTTCAACCCCCCCTTCCCAGAATGCATCATCTCCACGTACACTTGTGGTAATAAGGGGCGTATCCACGGAAGGGAATGGGAGTCCGGTCACCCCACTTTTCTTTCCGAAACTGAGGAGAAACTGGGGGTTGGGCGTAACCTCGTAATGCATTCATCTATGACATAAAATATACTAATTCTGTGTGACCATGCTCCCGAACGACCTGACCCCTAGTTGTTCTCTGTATTCGATAATTCGACTCTCCTCCTCCCCTCCACTCGTTTGGACTAGCTACGTCCCTGATTGTATTACTTGCTTACTGTATGTTTAGATTTGAACGAGTGTGATATTAAAACTGGTGCATACTGTGATCGCAACAGTCTGTGTAGGAATAAACATGGCTCCTTCTCATGCGATCCATGCAAAAACAACTTCATTGGTGATGGACGCATTTGTCAGAGTAAGTCTTGAAACTCGAATTAAAGTATCAAAAGTGAACTCCATCAATCTTTGATAACAAGGAAGACTTAGTAGTTTGGGTTATAATGAAACATCGCTGTTCTCGAAGCCATCATTTATGAACATATGTTCTATTCTTCTTGCGGAGCTCTTCAATATGGCCACCAATGACTATCTGCATGGCAGATAGTTTTCTTCCTCAACACAAACTAACCCTTAAGCTACGTTTACATGCACGCTACGATTAATCGTGTACGTACGATTCGTATTCTGGCGTATTAAAATTAGTGCTGGTGCCATAATTCATTGCCGTTTCGTTAAAAAGAAATTCCAAATGTAGCCAGTTTACGCGTCTTTACTCAATGACATACGCCAGAAAACGAATAGTACACGATTAATCGCAGCGCGTGTAAACGTAGCTTTAGACTCTTTAGGCTTGATTTAATATTTTATCTTGGTTTGTTGAAAACACCAGGTTTAATTATAAATTATTGCAAAGCTTACGATCCTTGAGCCCTGCTAATACACCGGGAGGGGGCTTATATTCGGGTGTGCTTATATTCGGAGGTTTATGGTATGTATCTATACAGTTGTAGCTCTGAGATGAGTGATATTTTACAGCATCTTGTGAAGCATTTGGTATAACGTGTGGTGTGAACTCGTACTGTGATTTGGATCAATGTAAATGTCACGAGGGATTCATTCATAATGGAACGCATTGCACTGAAGATCCGGACTTTGGCAAGGTCAAAGAACCGCCCACAATGCGACCTGATGAGATTGGTAAGAACGAAATCTAGCTATTTCTTTGTGATAGGCCAATTACATGAAGTCACAAATATTTCATAAGAGGCATAGAAAGCACTGGGGATGTAAAAAGATGTGTAATTGCATAAAGAGTGTGAATGTTTTTTCGTTTAGATGGTCTATGTCCGGACGGATTCTTCAATTGCTATGGTGATGTTATTGGTACCCTGGACAAGTTAAGAAAAGCGACGTTGGCGTTTGAAAACTTTGATTACGATGACTGTAGTGGTTAGAGCTGCAATCTCGTCGTTTGGGAAGGAGTTTTAATCCTTCTAAGTGTTATACATATTTAATAAAATATTATCCCAACCAAAATATTGACTGATGGGAATTACTTAAACTGGATTCAAATTTTGATTAGAGTTGTTTATAAGAGTTTTTGCAAATCTGACAAGATATCTGTGTTTATACCCAACTGGATGTATACCATCACGCTGCTGTCTCGCTGTTGAAGTTTTTGGATGTGATCCAGGTTTGCTTGTAACTCCCCCCCCCCCTTTCCCCCTGGACAGGCTTGTGTGTTAATGAAAACTGCCATGCATGGAATCATGATTGGCTGATTTATTTGGAAGGGGGGTGGGCCGGTGGGATGGGGTTGGGGGTGTACATGTCCGTCCTTTTCAGGCAGTTGAATATTCTTCGCACTGAAGCTGTTTGTTGTCGTCGCTACCTACACTGGTACCAACAGTGCGAGATTTTACTTACAGCGGTAAGCAGTGACTGTACTCATGATTTTTTCCTCATATTTATATAGTGATTAACCAAATCATTTCTGAACCCGAAGGTAAGAAATTTTATTCGTTCAGTACTTTTTACATTTTTTTTCTTGGTACTTTTTTGTTCAAAGATACTTTGATTGTGGGAACCAGCATTAAATTATAGATTTACATTTCACAGACTTTGATCAAACTGAACCCGATTTAAGGTAAGAAAATTTATTTGCTTAGTACTTTTTGCAAACTGTACTTTTGTTTAATTAAAGACTTTCATTGTGTAAACCAGCATTAAATTAGGTTTACATTTCACACACTTTTGGTCAGGTCAACTGCACTTTGTCTAAATAAACTTTGATAGTGTAAACCAGTCTTAAAATAGGTGCACGCTTCTTTAGCTCAGTATAGGACGTCAAAAGTATTATTAGATTTTCAAACTTTTGTTCAATAAAATCAGTACGTTTATTCGGTATAATTCAATAGGCAATTCCAGCTTTTAGTTTATGCCTGCAGGGGATGATGGGAAGTAAGGTATCATAGTGCTGATTATGCTGAAAAATTTCAATATACCGAACTACCTACACGGCCACCACTTCTATTTTTTCAGCATAATCAGAAATGTGATACCTTACTTCCCATCGTCCCCTGCACGCATAAACTAAAAGCTGGAATTGCCTATTTAGGAGCTCAAAGCAAATGTGCTATGTTTTCCATGAGATTTATACACATATTGCAATTTTAATACATTTATTTCACCAATGAATCAAAAGATCACTGCAAGATCAAATTACTGATACTACTATATACTACAACACTAGCTCTGTTGTGTTCAGCCTTAATCTAAAGCTTTTCAGCTGTCTAGAATTTAACGGTCAGTCTTTGCTATAACAGGCGAGGCTGTTCAAACTAACTTCACATCTAACATTTTAATACATTTTTATACCAATCAAAAGATTATTTACATTTATATTTTGTATATAACAAGAATGTAATGGACCGTATTTTTTATTCGCTTAAGCGCCGCAGCAATCCTTAATTTTTGTAGTAGCGAGGTTTGGTTTTGACTTCCACTACCATTACCGCTACGATTAAGGTATCATTACCCAATCAGATGCGTTTAATCGTTCCAATTAACCAATCAGATGCGCGCTAAGTCAATGAAAGGTAGTGATGGTGGAAGTCAAACGTAAAACTCGCTAATGTCTTGGATGTGATGCTTGTTTGAGGGCGGTGCTTATTCCAAGATGGCGCTCTCTAAAAATAATTTTATTTTTATCTGCCTTTAAAATGGAGCTCCGGAGAAAGTATTGAATGAAAGATCTTGAAAGAGCTTTGCAATAGACTAACTTTGAACTTTAGTGCAGGATAGTCTGTAGTTCTCGAACAATTTCGTCTGAAAGTGTTTCGACTAAGCGTTGCATGCATTTTTGTCAATCAATCATTCGAGGGTAGCCCTCTTCAATATTTTTGCCTTCTTTTTCAACACCGCAGTCAAACATCCGCGTATCGACTGCTTCTGTTTGGGAAGACTGGAAATAGTATTGTCTTCACGAAGCTCTAGCAAAAGATGTAAAGAAAATTACGAGAGTGTAAACTCAAATTACTTCTTTTGGTCACAAGGAAAAAGCGATAAAATTCCTGAGCTTATATATCTTTGGCCATTTCCTTATAGTAAACGCTCTTCCTGTATTTACTCCTATTTATATGTTGGTAGACATTTCCCCCCACCATTTTCGTAGCCTCACGCATGCGCTTTATGTTTGACTGCGGTGTTCTGGTAATTTCCCGGAATTAATCGCGGCGGCGCTTAAACGAGTAAATATGGTATACTTCAACTCTAAGTACAACAATGTCTCGAATTTAACGGCCAGTCGTGCTATAACTGATTTATATGCAACTACTGAAACTACTATATTTTACAACTCTAAATACAATGTTTCGAATTTAACGGCCAGTCGTGCTATAACTGATTATGCAATTACTGAAACTGCTATATTTTGCAACTCTAAATACAACAATGTCTCGAAGTTAACGGCCAGTCGTGCTATAACTGATTATGCAATTACTGAAACTACTATATTTTGCAACTCTAAATACAACAATGTCTCGAAGGTAACAGCCAGTCGTGTTATAACTGATAATGCATGCAATTACTGAAACTACTATATTTTGCAACTCTAAATACAACAATGTGTTCAGCTTCGATTTCAGACGCAATGCAGGCTTAGTAACGTTAACGGCCATGCTGTCATTAATTGGGGTAAGCTTTCTAAGGAGTTAAAGGGGACATGCAACGTAATTTTCTATATATTTTATTAATTTCATTTTGAAAAGTTCATTTGGAAAATCTAGTCATGCAAATTTGACAATGATCCGATGAATATGCCTTTCAAATTTGAAGATCTAGACCACTTCGGTCAGAGGTCTTAAAACTTCAAAATCTCGTAAAATAGAAAGAATTTGAGCTTAAAATGTTGTCAGATTGTTATTCTCCACATAAACTTTCATAAATAATTAGAGAAAAGTTTTTCTGACGTAGCATGTTCCCTTTAACATCTAGCACTTTAATATTTATACTATGATGCAAATATACTCAAGCTTGCTATATATTATACTACAACTCTAAATACAACAATGACTGTTTCAGACACATGCATGCCTCGAATTTAACACCAGTCAGTGCGATATAGGCTTTCTAATGCAAAATGTTTGACATTAAAGTAAAATTGCCAAATTCACATTTGGGCCAGGTTTGAGTAGATCTGTATCGAAAACGATAAAATAAAACGCTAAATAATTCGTTTTGCTCTATTCCTAAAACCATTTTTCGTTTCAGTATAAACGCTTGAATGTTACTGGGTAAAAATGATTTCTTAGTTTCACTGTCTAAAATTAAACGGTGCACACTGAGCTCGATATATCTAGAGCAAGAACTCCTGTAGGCATTCGGCCTATGGGAAGAGCGAAGCCAAGATGGCGACCATTGATGTCAAATACTTAGGAAGGTCATATAAAGCAGTTTTTAAACCATTTTCCCTGCTAATTCCAGTTTCTTTTAATGGAGCGTTAAAACACAAATTTCGGCACACACTTTGCAGTTTCGTGTCTGACCGCGCGGACAAAAACAATAGAAATGGACTGGAACTGACGTCATATAGCTCCATGTTTGACTTAACTTTTTGAACTCGAGGTCTCACTGCAGTATATATATATATGGAGCTCATTGGTATGATACGACTAGCTGAAAAATATGAACAAACTTTGATGTTTGAAGTGAAAGCTATACTAACTTCTAGACCAAAGCTTTTGCTTGAAACTTCGAAAATTGTTCTTATTGTTTAATAGGTTGTTGCATCATACACACAAGTTCGCAGTTTGGTCTTATTAATGCTCTGCGCACTGGTTTTGATTAAAATATACCAGTAACATTCAGGGCGAAACTGGCTTCGCATTTTTTTCTCAAACTGGAGGTTTCCAGCCATGTTTAAAGAAGGGAATATTCTCTAAGATTCTGACATAGACAAAACTAAATATCACATTTTTTTGGTAAGTTTGTAGTTTAGAGTTTCGCTTAAATCAAGATTTAAGAGTTTAGCAATTGTTGTTCAAAACCTGCACAATTATCCTTGTATCATATATACTTTATTTCAATAATTTACCAGTATAAGTTTACCGAGTTAATTGTCACTCTTCAGAGCATCACTTAAATATTCAATATTTTCATCTGATAGGCTACTTGATGATGATGCATCTGCGTGGTGCTTTGCATTAAAACCCTTGCTATTACGAGACATTATTTTAAGGATACAACTTTTAGGTTAAGTTCTCTCTTAATTTAGTGTATAATTGAGTAAGTTTACTGTTACCACTCTTTAGAACATCACTTAAATATTTAACACCTTCATATGTTAATTTATTTTCACTTATGTCTAATTGAGTTAGTTCGCAGTTACCACTCTTCAGAGCATCACTTAAATATTTAGCACCTTCATCTGTTAATATGTTTTTGCTTATGTTTAATCGAGTAAGTTTACAGTTACCACTCTTCAGAGCATCACTTAAATATTTAGCACCTTCATCTGTTAATCTGTTGGAACTTATGTCTAATCGAGTAAGTTTACAGTTACCACTCTTCAGAGCATCACTTAAATATTTAGCACACTCACCGGTTAATTCATTGCCATCCGTGCATAATTGAGTGAGTTTACAGTTACCACTCTTCACTAGAGCATCACTTAAATATTTAGCACCTTCATCTGTTACTCTGTTGTTACTTATGTTTAATTGAGTAAGTTTCCAGTTTCCACTCTTCAAAGCATCACTTAAATATTTAGCACCTACATCTGTTAATCTGCTGGAACTTAAGGGTAATTGAGTAAGTTTACAGTTACCACTCTTCAAAGCATCACTTAAATATTTAGCACCTTCATCTGCTAAATTATTGGAAGTAGTGTATAATTGAGTAAGTTTACAGTTACCACTCTTCAGAGCATCACTTAAATATTTAGCACCTTCATTTGTTAACCTGTTTCTGCTTATGCTTAATCGAGTAAGTTTACAGTTACCACTCTTCAGAGCATCACTTAAATATTTAGCACCTTCATCTGCTAAATTATTGAAACTAGTGTTTAATTGAGTAAGTTCACAATTACCACTCTTCAGAGCATCACTTAAATATTTGGCACCTTCATCTGTTAACCCAATAGCATATATGTCCAATTGAGTAAGTTTACAGGTAGCACTTTTCAGAGCATCACTTAAATATTTCGCACCTTCATCTGTGAATTCATTGCCACTTACGTTTAATTGAGTAAGTTTACAAATACCACTCTTCAGAGAATCACTTAAATATTTAGCACCTTCATCTTTTAATTCATTGTGATTTATGCTTAGTTCAGTAAGTTTACAGTTACCACTCTTTAGAGCAGCACTTAAATATTTAGCACCTTCATCATTTAATTGATTGAAACCAGTATTTAATTGAGTAAGTTTACAGTTACTACTTTTCAGAGCATCACTTAAATATTTAGCAGCTTCATCTGTTAATGCATTGCTAAATATGTCTAACTGAGTAAGTTTACAATTACCACGCTTTAGGGCATCACTTAAATATTTAGCTCCTTCATCTGTTAAACTATTCAAACCCATGCTTAGTTTAGGAAGTTTACACTTTTCATTACTGAATGCATCAAAAATAGGTTTTGCATGCTTTATATCCGTAATTTGAGCGTGTTGTATCATTAGCAAGGAAATATTATTATCCTTAATCAGTAACTTAGCCAATTCACGGAAAGCGAAATGTTCCATGTTACAATTATGGATTACAAGCGTATTCAAGTTCTTGATGTAGCTTAGAAATTCAAATACAGCAGTAGATTCTATCGGCGAAATATTTAAGGCATCCATAAGAAAATTTTCCGATTGTTCACCATCATTGTCAGGCGTAAATGAGGCAATTAATTCCATGACACAAACTTCTTGCATTTCGTGTACACATTTTATCACGAAAAGAAAAGTGTTGTCATATCTGCATATTTGGCGTATTTCTCTTTCCTGTGGCAACCAGTCTTGAAATCTAGACAAAGATATTTAAGAAAACTGAATATTTTTCCCACCGTACGCGGCATATTTTTAAAACTGTTGTTTATGTAAACTTGCAACCAATCAAAATCCTTCATGATGCTGATCAACCAATCAGATTTCCCGTCCACCAGATGGACGGGAATCCCACAGTTTAGATAGGTTTTGTGTCAGGCCCTATTCTGTGATTAGGGCCTGAACTTCAGGGGGCGTTGTGAAAACCCGGAATGCGGGAATATCACGGAATATGCCGGAATATCACGGAATATGGCGGAATATCACGACATTTTCCCGGAATATACCTGGACATCACGATATTTTTCGATGGTAGCCATGCGACTGTTTATAAACATAGACGTCTGACAACATATTTTGATTACAAAAGTGATGGATCTTTCCCATTTTGACGGTAAGTAACAAACAATAACTCTATACTGGAAGTTTTATATGTTGTTTATTATTATTATTGCTCCCAAGAGCAAATACCCTGGGTACGACGTTGCGCCTTCAGAACTGTGTTATACCATAGTTAATAGAATAGATGGTTTGGAAACTCATTAGAATAACAATATAACTCATTATCGATGTTAGCCAACGTTTATTCATAAATATGTTCCTTCACCGTCGCGTGTGTATTGTATTTTTGCCAAATCCACCAATAGCAATTTCCAATTTATCCTATTATTCGAGTCACGGACAAGCTGAACATTGCTATTGGTTAGTTGGGCAAAAATACAATACGCACGTGACGGTGAAGGACTAGATTTATGAATAAACGTTCACTAACATAGATAATGAGTTATACTGTTATTCTAATGAGTTTCCAAACCATCTCTTCTATTAACTATGGTTATACACAAAATTTAGTTAAAAATTCTTGGTTAAGGTTAAGATGGAACTAGACTTATAAAATAACATGTATATAACGCGTGTTCTGATTGGTCGAAACCCGTGTTTGGATCAGGCCATCCAAACACGTAAGACTATCGTGTTGTTGTTATTTTATAAAACAATTACTTTATGGTTTCCGTGTTTGGATGGCCTGATCCAAACACTTGGGAATGTTGCTCGAGTTAAGAAAAGCGGGCAAAATCACTCGCCTTCGGCTCGTGTTTCGCCCGCTTTTCTTAACTCTCGCAACATTCCCGCGTGTTTGGATCAGGCCATCCAAACACGGAAACCATAAAGTAATTGTATATTCTTGCCTGATATAAACAAGAATTTAAACATTTTGGCTCAAACTTCGGCCTTTATTTTAGTATTTGAATTTTGGATAAATGCTTAGTGGCCATATGTAATGGTCAATTTTATATCACTAAGCATTTATCCAAAAATAAAATGCTAAAATAAAGGCAAGGACGATTGAGCCAAAATGTTTAAATTCTTGTTTATATCAGGTAAGAAGTCACGGGACGAAAAGACAGATTTACGGGGGGTGGCAGGAGGGGCAGCTGCCCCTTTTGCTAGGAGAGGCAGTGATGCTTTTTGGGCAAAATCATGAGGTGTAATTTTGAATGTGCGTTTGCTTTCATTGGCAAGTCAACACATAATTGCATCGTAGGTTTATACTCTTCACCGGGATCTATAGAGGTGCCCTTTGGTGTACCGTTTGCCCCTCTTGCCTTTTTATCGTCCCGGCGTTCCTGGTCTTAACCTTAACCAAGAATTTTTAACTAAATTTTGTGTATAACACAGTTCTGATTTTTGAAGGCGTTCGAAAATAGTGCTGACGTCAGCACTTTAATTTTTCAAGACGCTGTAACTCAGGAAAATTTTTTAAATCATATTGATTCAAAATTTTTGGTGAACATTAGTAATAATAAACAACATATAAAACTTCCAGTATAGAGTTATTGTTTGTTACTTACCGTCAAAATGGGAAAGATCCATCACTTTTGTAATCAAAATATGTTGTCAGACGTCTATGTTTATAAACAGTCGCATGGCTACCATAAATGTTGTGATATTCCGTGATATTCCGCCATATTCCGGCATATTCCGTGATATTCCGGCATATTCCGCCATATTCCGTGATATTCCGGGTTTTCACAACGCCCGAACTTCAGGTTAGTTTTTTACATACATCTTCATGTTTACGCGTGCATGAAAATTGCCTGGATCCTCAGTGTATTATTAATAACGTACCTTTCGCATATGCGTTTTATAATTTTTTCGTTGTTGTTTGTTAGCTCTGTGGACCTAGAAAGGAATATTAAAAAAATTGCTTGCCGCTATATAGTTACTTGGTGTCTACTATACTGGGCGTTTCTGCGAACTAGCTACAATGGGTTACATTGGTGCTTGAATTGTGACGTGAGTCAGTCACGTCATGAACATTCTTAATTAAGACATTACGTCATTATGCTGAGTCATGCTTTTGCCATATTTATCGTTTGCATAATATCTAAAAATAGTATTTATGTAATGTTCTATAAATATCTATCGGATAGTATATAAGCAGAGAAAGCTTAAGCTAGATAATATTGTTAAAGAGAATTAAAAAGTTTAGAAATAGTTGTTGTTGTTCAAGAAGAATTTGATATTGTTGAAATTATTGTCGTCGCAAAGTTTATAATTCTCAGAAGAAGGATATTACAAATACGAGAAAGCCTACTTGGCCAGTGCGTGTCGCTGTGTCTGGTCAGGGAGGACAACGAGCGTAAAGATAACGAAGATGCAAACATATATTTTTGTTCGTTCTCGCTCGCGAACGTAACAGAATAAGTATAGGTTATTTTGAGGCAACGAGGGGATATGTGATTTATTCACCGAGGCGCGCAGCGCCGAGGTGAATAAACACATATCCCCGAGGTGCCTCAAAATAACGTACTTATTTTTCACACTGCGAGGTCGCGTTAATGAGTCAGAAAAGAAATAATTCTCAATGCCATATTGCTTTGCGATGTTGTTTTTCTCATTTTTTGTGCTGCAAAGACATTGCAGGTGAATATTAGAGGGGATTATTAATTGCAGGTGAATATTAGAGGGGATTATTAAACGGAAATTGAATAGAGTGGAATATTGAATATATTCCCCGATAAGAACAAAGGAAACCGAGCAGGGTGAAAAATAAAGTATATATCTTATCGATAAGCGTACGAGACAGAGGGCCTTGGGACTACAACCCCCTCCCCCCTTTAGTGTTTAGTTGCATGGGCAGATTCTGCTTAAAATTTGGGAAATTGCTAAGCCTGTTCGTCTCGGCACAATGTATTTTCTCATGATTGAAATTTATTCCATTAAATGATCAGTAAGAGTGATTGATGATGTATATCTTAAAGAATAAAATCTTAGCAACACTCGTAAATATTTTTTGTTTTATTTCGCATAAGAGATGTATTCCTTCTATTTACCTTCTATTCATCTATCAATAAACCCAGCCACATTTCATCGATGTTTTCCAAACCGTCTCATTGTTTCACTCCTACTACTCCTGTCTCTGATCACATCACATAATTCATAAATGTGATATTTAGGTATTTGCAGGAATGTTTTAAAATAATAAAATTGATGTGATCGTGATTTATGTAGAGAATAATACATGGGTGCGCGGAAATACCAGATTTATTTCGAGTGTTGAACATGAGAAATAAATCTAGTATTTCCAAGCACCCATGTATTTTTCTGTTTATTATATAAAGGACAGTCTTTGAAAAGCGATAATTTTTACAGAAAAGCGATAATTGAAAAGCGATAATTTTCACATGTGAGATCACAGGCGGCCCAATCTCGCAAGGGTCAGTATAGACTTATAGTATAAATGTATATTATATTATATTAATGTATATTATAGTAAAAATATGTCGTAAAATATAAATTTTAAAATGAAATTGACTTGCCTATTTGATAGTGTGTGTTCTCCTTTTATTCCTCCTTTGTTGCACTCGAGGTTGCAATAATATTTTCCGAGACTTTGTACTCGATGTTACTAGTATGATAAAGGCTAACGATTCCCGATTGTCGATACGACGGCACGGCACTTCTCACACTCAAATCGCTTTATTCTCAAAAAAAATTCGCCAGCATGTACAACAAATGCCGTTCTTCGAAAATACAGAAGTATTTCGGCGAGATGTACAAGTTTTGGACCATATTTTAACAATGGAAATCAAAACCCATTTTATATTGAACTTACCCGGACCGAAAATTACTACGGCGAACGTCGGCGCAACCAGGCCTCCTTTACCGTTGGATTTACAGGGGGGAAAGCAGATATTTCCGGTAACAGCCAGCCAATCGCGGCCGCGTAGCGACTGTTTACATTATTTGAAATTTGATATTCAAAATAAAAACTCGTTCGATCGGATGCTGTATAAAACTCGAGATGTTGTCGAAGAAAAGAAAATTAAACAACGGAGATTGAAGAAATTTAAGGAAGAAGTAATATACAGCGGCTCTTTGTTGGAAAGTATGGTAGAATATGATACTTTAATTCGAAATATTATCGTGAATATATTAGTGGCATCCTCCCCCCCCTGTAAATCCAACGGTAAAGGAGGCCTGGTTGCGCAGACGTTCGCCGTAGTAATTTTCGGTCCGGGTAAGTTCAATATAAAATGGGTTTTGATTTCCATTGTTAAAATATGGTCCAAAACTTGTACACCTCGCCGAAATACCTCTGTATTTTCGAAGAACGGCATTTGTTGTACATGCTGGCGAATTTTTTTTGATAATAAAGCGATTTGAGTGTGAGAATTTTCGATTCGAAGTGCCGTGCCGTCGTATCGACGATCGGGAATCGTTAGCCTTTATCATGTTTCATGTATACTAGTAACATCGAGTACAAAGTCTCGGAAAATATTAGTGCAACAAAGGAGGAATAAAAGGAGAACACACACTATCAAATAGGCAAGTCAATTTCATTTTAAAATTTATATTTTACGACATATTTTTACTATAATATTATATACATTAATATAATATACATTTATTGCTGCCGCAGCGAGCGAGCCTGGAGCGAGCGAGCAAGGCAGCAGATCCTAATTTTGTTTTGTGGGTCGATATCAAAATTTTCTATTTGGCGCATTGCATGACGGTACCAGTGAATTTTAACCGTGGTGCAGCGCGGTCGAGCATAAGGCAAACAGGCAATGTGATCATCTTTCATCTTTGGTCTTCTTTTATGGAAAGCCATAGCTGGCTTAAAGTGATCAAACGGCAATTTGTTGGGTGCTTTTAGCATTATACGGCGGCGCTTTCGGCATTATACACGGTGCTTTCGCCATTATACGCGGTGGTTCCCGCATTATACGCTGTGGTTCCAGCATTATACGCGGTGCTTTCACCATTTATATACGCGGTGCTTTTGCAATTATACCGGCAGTGGTTCGGCACTATATGCAATGCTTTTAACATTATACAGCTAGCTTTCATTCAACATTATTTTCATATTCTTTCCATGACATGTATATGATTTAACGATTGCTTAAATTTGGTATGTGGTTGACGAATGCTTTTTGCCTATGGTCCGCAAACTTAAGACAATGACATGCTTTTCTGTGTATATAAATGAATATAACGCAGCGAATGCGCCAAGCAGTATAAACGCGCGGTTGAAATACAATAGTATGATTTAATTATGTTTTAGGATTTACAAATGCTTTGTCATTTGGTGTTTATACTTGTACTGCATCACAAGGCAGTACGAAGTGAAACAATTTCACATGTGAAATTGTCTTGTATATATTTTTGCTTTCTTTCATAAACATTATTATTAATAAACACGCAAATTTTAATTAGTGAGACACAATGTTAAATGTCACCTGCATGTCATTGTCATTGCCCTTTAACCCCTGGTCTAATTGGCCGCTTTTGAAAATGTTGATCATGACGAACCGCACTGCCTTAATTATGCAAACTTTGTGTTTTAAAAACGAGTTAGGATAAAACGGGGATACGGACGGACGGATGAATGACGGACGGACGGACGGATGGCGACGGACGGACCGGACGGATAATATATATATATGTCATTATATAGTCTGCGCGCAGCCGCGCAGAGTAGTTAGTGGCTTACGTCTTCGCTGGTTGTTATACTTTAAAATAATTTTGTATTTACCGAGAAATCAATATTCCGAGTGTATAAATATATAAACTGGGATGTCACACTGATAGTTTGTTTACATTTCCTGGAGCATCAAATCTTATGTTTAACCACGGTGGTTTAACCCATTAGCTGGCAATGCGCCCTTCCCTTGTCCAGCGCCAGAAAATTTTACTCGTCAGTGGTACAGGGTACTGCCAGTAAATGGGTTAACAAACCTATCTGCCAATGGCTCTTGTTAATCCATCTACACAGTAATGACTTTAGTATTTACCCTGTCCAACGCCAGACGATTTTTAATACTCAGTCAGTGGTAGGGCCGTGCTGTCAATAAATGGGTTAACAAGGATAACAATAGCCTGCGTAGCGGCCATCAGATCTACTTTCTCTGAGAGCCGCTATGCAGGCTAGGATAACAATAATAGGATGTTTCTGAAGGACTCGTTCAACACCCTGTAGTTTGTCTTTTGCTGTCAAAGGCAGCATTACTGCCCTGTGGGTAACCTAGTACTATAAGTCTATACTGACCCTTGCGAGATTGGGCCGCCTGTGGTGAGATTATCACTTTTATCAGCGCTCGAAATCTCTATAAAGCACTATACGTTATATAATAAAAGCCTTTAATAATTATACACCTTTAATCACATTACATGATTCATAAACGTGAAATCTATCATTTTTTATAGAAATGTTTTAATCGTGAGTATAATAATTTTTTAATATTTTTTATAAGCCTACCTTTTTGATCTATTTCTTTCTTCCTTCAATTCTCTTATTTTGTCTCCAATTAACCCAGCAACAAACTGGATCACCAAATGCCACTTGGGATCTATAAAATGTTCAGATAAAAATGATTCAACATTCTCCATATCATCAACCACTCCTGAATCGTAAGGTGAAGAAAACAGAAGAAGGTTTGTCGTTTGTCCTCCAATTTATTGAATAAACCAGAATCCGATAATTCGGCAACAACTTCATCGCTATTTTCAAATTCAAATACTAACTGGTCGTTTATCATTCCATCTCTTGCAATTCCTTTAAGTTTGTCCAAGTCGTTTTGCAGCTGTTCGGGAAGCTCTGCGATAATGTAATCCTTTGGAATTGGTTTATCCTTGTATTTTAAATTGTGCCTGAACAGTAAAATCTTTATAGCTCTTTTGTAGAACTCTGTAATTGTTCTTGGGACATTGCGCTGACCTACAACTTCTTCTTGCTTATCAACTCCAATGCTTTCCTTTAATGTTAAACAGACAATATAGGAATTAACAGGTATGTAACATAAGCTTAACAGCTCTGGTGACTCCTTGATCAAATGCCATATCTCTGAACTTTTCTGTATGTCATGACGGCAAAACCTTTCAACATAGTCTTTAATTTGTTCCTCATGAAAACCCAAAATCTCAACCTCTCGATCAAATTCTAGATATACATAAATTTGCTCTGCAGTGGGTCGAGACGTGGTTAACACTGTGACTCCGGGCAACAGCGTGCCTTTGACTAGCTGTTTAAATATCTGGAGTATATGCGTAACTTCATTGTGACTGTTTACAGTCTTTTCTTCAGGCAAAGGCTGATAATTTACTTTAAGTTCGTCCAGCCCGTCAAAAACAAGAATGACATTACTTGGAAACAAACACATGTATTCATACATATAATTAAAATCAGCTGATGACATATTGAGTCCATCAGAACGGCGCAACATTTCTCGAAGACTTGTTTCCCCTTTGTTGAAAGCGCGAAATCGAATTAGAATTACTATTTTACCATGCCAGAATTCGGATTTTTGCTGTTGCCATTCGTAAAATAATTTTTTGTCAGGAGCGTTTTGCCAATACCTGGCCTGCCCACAACAAGAATAGCTTTGGGGCGTCGTTGTTCGTAAACATATTTGGGTTTAAATAAATCTGCTGTTATCGTGAGGATAGTTGCATCTGCTGGTGCTATAAAATGAGCTTGGTATGTCTCGTGTCTATTTTCAAACGTTCTACTGGAAGTCCAGGTACCTTCCCTTCCCCCCTGAACTATAACATTGACCGCCATTTCTTCCAGTTTTCGACGTGACAAACGTTTCTCACCAAAATCATCATGCAAGCGAAAAAAATCATCTGGTATTTTTTCTCGAATCTTTTTTATTACATTTTTTATTCTTTTACGCTTTCTCAAAAGGTAAACACAACAAAATTCCATGTCAGTACAGAGAGTACGATCTTTCCATGTTGACCACAACAGATAGGCAAGCTTCATGGACGTCGCTGTACCAAAGAGGATATTTGCTGTTAGAACCGTGGAAACTAGTTTTTCATTTTTGCTGCCCATAGGAAAACTGCAGTCCACAATTGAATGGTTCGTAGTTTGGCTTTCTGTGAAGTTTGCGTCGGAAACACTTATTGTTTGTATTGGCCAAGGACAATGAAATTGAACTGGAAAATTCGATGAAGTTAAGAGCAATGCTGCGAATGCTACCAATGGTATTATACGGCAAAGGATCAAATGCATAATATATACTGTAAAGACAATAGGACGACCAGAATTTTGGTAGGCCATAGGGTCTGATGCAGCTTGTGAAATACCCGACAGCGGCTGGCTTTCGTCTTCGGCGCCATCGCTCGTTGCATTCGGAGGATCGGCAAAGATTTCAACACGATGTTTCACTGAATAAGCGTAGATAATACTGAGTAAAAGCACAAGTCCAAAATTTATCACAAACAGGACGTGGAGAGGCAACGAAGGAAGGAATTCTTGTGCGTATTTGAGAAAGCATTGCGTGTCGATGAACTTCCTTGTTGATAAGTCGCTCGCGAGGGACTTGTCTGGGTTACATTGCAACGTCGCTTTTGACTCGAAATCACTCGCGATCCCAATTAGAACAATACCAATTGATACAAATGAAGTAATAAATACTACACCAAATGTATTGTAGCTCTTACGAGGTAGTGATTTCAAACAGCTTTCCATGTTTGCGTGAGTTGACTATGGCCTCTCGGGTAATTTAATACGGGTGACAATTGATTGAAAGTAAATAGTGGAAAATCCTTCATAGAATCATAGTTTTTTGAAGTGGCGCTGGTTAAATGTTTTAATTTAACTTTTTGTCCGCTTGTTACCGAGGTAAATTAAGTTAACCTGAATAAAATATACTGAATAAAATATACTTTTATATATATACTTGTACTTAAATGTACCGAATTCACCGAATGGTAAAACAAATGAGTCCCCATTCGGGAAAGAGTAACTTCGAACCAGCTTTAATTCGAATCGTTGCGCACCACACATCACATACATCTTTCAGGAAGTGTCTAACTTAATTATTGCTATTTTGCTCAGGGATTATAACTGTCAGTCCATCATGGCTAAGGGGGGTTAATAATTGACGCAAATAATGGACATTGTATATATATTCGTATGTAAATGTGTAAATAAACCAACATTTAAACCCAAATCTACATGTTAATTTTATTTAGATGGTTGCACCGGAGAAAATAAGCCTTACATTCAACTCTGTTGACATTGTGTGTATAACTATACTGTATTTTACTGTGTATAAGAATATGTCAATTGTTAAATACTGTAATGTACAACATACTACGTATTGTAATACTTGTTGTGTCGTATTATGTACTCCGTTGTATGTATTGTATACTTTGTTATCTTATAATCAAACTCACTTGTAGCATAGAAGAGCCACTATGTGGAAATGCTATTAAATCATTATTATTATTATTATTATTATTATTATTATTATTATTATTATTATGTATCTGCCCATTGCGCAACATATAACACGGAACAAAAAGAACAACGGGTCATGTTACGTTTATTACATGTCGTGGAAGCAATGGGTTCCTTATCAAGTTAATGGCAAAATGAAGATACTGTTCTCACACATAAAACACTCTGCGAATCGAGCAATTAGTTTTTAGGGATTAGTGAAGGAGCCAAACTTTTTTCAATACTGAAATTATACTAAAAAGAATCGAGTGAGCATTGCAGGAGAAGTTTAGGCAACCGTTTTCAAAGTTGTTTCATTTTCGTAATTTCCGACTCCTCCTGAACATCGCGGCTTTACATCCGAGAATGCGAGTTTAGCCTATCAGAGAGCACTTCTACATCCGGGAAACAAGAATTTACATTTTTTAATTAGCGCCTGGGGACGAGGCAGCCCTAAAATAGTGTAATAAAAAATGTATGAAAAAATGCGCGATGGAAAAACTAAAAAATATGAGATGACGTAATGTTAGCTCGCGTCAGCCAGCCGGATTAATGTGGCGTCAGCTGATGACGACTAAAAGTGACAGTTACAAATGGCGTCATTGATGTTAATTTAGTTTGCTGAGAACTTTAAAATGTAGGAAACGGGAAAAAGTCTCCAAAAATGTTGTTGAAAATAATTTTATGCTTCGTTTTCATTCTGTTTACCCTTCCTTTAGGTAAGAAATAAAACATTTATTTAAACAGTTTAGTTTTAAATGTAATATTTGAATTTTTTATTCACTTTACTAGTTTGGATATTATATGTTTTCGAATCGTTTTTTTAATTTTTGCGATTGACTTCATTGTGTTACGAGACTAATTTTTTTCTTCACATTTTAGGCAGATGCGATTATCTTGATATTGACAACAGTAAGATTTATTTTCACTTTATTAAACAAAAATATTTGTACAGAGCATTGTGTCATTAGGGCCATTTATACGAGACAAAATAAGACGCGACTTACATAAGACGCGACTTAAATAAGACGCGAGTTTGTCGTATAAAAGGCACAAAATTCTTATGTAAGACGCGTCTTGGATAAGACGCGACTTAAATAAGAACAGGACTTTTAGCTGTTCTTATTTAAGTCGCGTCTTAAATAAGAAATTTTGGACAAAAATTCTAACTACACATGCCCGAAACTTGAAACAACGTAAAATTATTAGCCTTGCATATTAAAACAAAAACAACCGAAACAACATTATAGCTATAGCAATTAAATAAGAATAAAGCCGTAAAGAACCATTTATGCGGCGATAACTCCGCTTATTTAAGTCGCGTCTTATGTAAGTCGCGTCTTATTTTGTCTCGTATAAATGGCCCAGGAAGTGTCTCAGGAAGCAATCTTTCCTGCAAGTTGTGATGAAATTTTAACAGGGTTGGCAAATGTTCTTATATTAGTTCTCGTATTAGTTGTTCTTATATGTTCTTATATTATATAAGAATATTTTTTTGGAGGCAAAAATGTTCTTATATTTTCTTATATTATTCTCATTAATTATTCTACTTCGAAGTTGTAAATTTTAACTATTTGACATTCATCCTGAAAATAAGATATACAGATAATAGACGTATAAATACAGCAGTGATAACTATTTTTATAATTTTGAAAGCCAAGACGGTTACAGCAACATCTAAAATTGAAGTTGAATCGTCATTTTAAGATTTTGGATGATGTGTAAGTCGAGTCTGTCGAGACTGATCAAAGTTAAAGTTTATGCAAATCAAGGGAATCTCTATCACATATATTAAAGATACGACACGCTTATGATTTTTCTTTGTGTTTTCCTTATGAATTATTAACGAGTTTTTGAAGACTACATTCAAAATTTTATTTTTCGATACGTTTCTCAATCAGCAAACAAGCTTAAAAAGAATATTTGATGTTTTATGTGTAAAGTGATGGTAAAATTAAGACATTTTAGATGGTACGCCAAGGAGAAAATTATGTCTAAAGTTTAGTAAGTTTTGCTTATATTGCCGTAAATATATGGATGCACGGTAGTTGGTACTCTTCATCTTGTTTAGTAAATTTATTTTGCTTCGAACAGAATACTGTTTTAATGCACAAGTTCAAGAAGCGTATCTGATCATAGTTGATGAAAAAGAAGTCGTCAAAGCTCTGGTGATCGATACAATTAACGATACAACCGCGGTGAAACAAAGATTCCATGTTGACTATTTTCATCCCAAGAGTAAAATATGGACAAGCTACCAAGAGGACAGACGGACTATGGTTTGTTACATTAATTGTTCTTATCATCGATTGATCGTTTCTAGATTGATAATTTTATCAACTAATATAGCCAGTGTGATTATTGATTATTCAATACAAACACCATGATTATAATTGGCTTCATGAACTGTTAGCCCAAAAACCCTCAATATAAACGCGCAATTTAAGCTAATTAAAAGCAAAAAGACCCCCGCTGAATATGAATTTTGATATTGGTAATATTTGGATCATTCTAAAAAGAAATCTGCTTTTAATATTGGAGAAAAGCTCATCTTGATCAACAATTTCACTGTCAAAGTTGCCGGTTGTGATGTCATTACATGAATTGTAAGTTTTATTCAAAAGAAGTCTGTATTCTAGTTGACGTCTTCCATTTTTCATCTCATCCACAACCTATAGATCTTTGCCAAACAGTGGACGTCAGAACATTGAAATGTTCGCGCTCAAATTAGTCTAAATCGAAAATTTCCTGTTGTTTAACATACGAATTCGCCGAGTTGTGTGCTTGATTTATACCGGTACAGTGCAACTCAAGTTGTAAGCATGCGACAGTTTTAGGCAAAAGTTGCGTAGAGGAAATTGGCCTTAAATCGCGACCTAAATGTTCAAGGACATGAAATTTTCGGTATAAACCAATTTGAGCATGGAAATTTAAATTATAGGCTCCATTTCTGCCAAATATGAATTGAAGATGAAAAATCATTAAAAACGTGAACATACTTCATAATATTTTCTTATTCTACCCTTTACAAACAGTTCTACACGCTACCACCAGTAAAAGGATCCGTTACAGTACACTTTACTGATCGCATTGTGGCTAAATCCCTGCGAGTGTCGCTGAAGAAAACCGATGCTGTCAGTTGGCTGGGAGAAATCTGTGTAGAAATCATTCTCTTCGATGTCGAGTATTGGAAGGGAGGTAGTTTGTTGGTTTTTGTTACCTGTGGTTTTCTAAACTTGTCCCCTTAACATCTTGTCCCCTTTATATATGTCCATAGATTTATTGATATATTATTTTCAACTCTAGAGAAAACGTCGTGTGAGAAGGGATTTTATGGAGATGGAAAATTCTGTATAGGTTTGTGAAATAGTTGTGACAAGTTGTCTGATGTACATTTCTCAAATTCATCAAAATTAACGCCATGACCAAAACAAAATAACTCAAAGTAGGTGAAAAGACTTGATATATAATTCCTCGTGTTCAATACACTTTTTGGTATTTGATACGCCGGTTGTGCAAACGCTTTCTCGTTTACTTTATATTACATGCATTTATTCAGGTAAACTTCTAGCAGACTTTACTTTTAGGGTTTTTTTCTTATTAAAACGGCATGCTCGCACCCTGAACTCGTCTCGCGAGAGAATCGCGAGGCACAAACACACGGGTCTTGACTCCCCGGACGTATATATTTCAGCCAATCACAGTGTTCACACAAAATCAATTATATATTTTAGCCAATCACAGTGATTACACTATAAAAAGGGTTTTCTGTCATTGAAGAATAATTGATCTCAAAGATTTTATTCCGCTGTTTTCTAGACATCAATGAATGCGCAGATAATACAGGAAATTTCTGTCCGCCACGACAGCATTGCATTGACTCTGCTGGAACGTACTCGTGTCCTGGTACATGCCTCGAAAACAAACTGCCCAACAAGAGAACAGGTGTCTGTGAAGGTCAGTGTTGTGGGAACCGCTGGAACAATTAGTGTCCTGCACCTTATTAAATTCCACTGAGTTATATATGCCAACGTAGGCCGAGCGTATAGAGTATTAACTTAAATTGGATCGAGGATGGATTTACTGGGGGGAGGGTTGGTGGTGGTGGTATTTTTCATAAAGCAAAAAATATTATAAGCGAACTGTTGAAATACAGTAGTTTTGTATTAGTCAAGCAAGCTGATGGGCGGGCGGCGCACATAACAGACACAACTCGGCACCAGAGCTGGCAGAGTACCCCTCCCCCAACCAGATCATGCTGGATCTATTCCTGAGTTGGATAACACCCCTTTCCTTGTGCTTGAACATTTATGCAAGTAGAGTTTAATTCGAGGTCTCTTCTTTGCAGCTTCTGATTTTCCTTTCTCACAGAAAACTAAAGACGAGATATGGATCTTACGATTAGGGTGCCCTTTAAAATACCAAACGAACATGAGAGTTTGCAGTCACGCGACCTTTCATGCTTTTCCAACACTATCATGTTATTCAATTTAAGCTCTTGTAAAGTTCATATATCGTCAAACGTAACAATGCGTGACATCGACTCTCATCCTCGTTTTTTTATCTCGGTGATATTTGAGCTATTCCGACCATTTACAGTTAGAATTCTCATCTGCAGGAAGGATAACTACCACAATTATTGGATCACCTAATGCCCAGTTTACTCCATCAGGGGTTCCTCAGACACTGAAAATACAGTTTGATAAAAGTGGGCGAGTTGGACGATTCGATCTCTCTTATATATATCATACACGATATCTTTTGTTTTTATTTGTTCTATAGATCATTGCTACCACAAGGGATATTTGTGTCATCCCAAAGCCAGATGTTTGTATGGAAAATGCGTTTGTGATTCTGGTTATGAAGGCGATGGCAGTTATTGCTTAGGTTTGAATTTCAACCCTTTTGTACCAAGGGGGAGACCCTTTCAGTGGCATTACGTCCTAATACGGCAACGCCCATATTTGTTATTTTCCTCTCTCTAACGCCAGATCAATGTTACTCTGTCTAACGCCAGGTAAGATAGTATGGTAGATAAACAAGTGTAATGTATCATTCTAGACAGTTGTACGGCTAAAGGCTTTACTTGCGACTCAAATGCAAATTGTGCGGAAGGAAAATGTAAATGTCGTGATGGTTTCAAAGGAAATGGAGAGATATGTCAAGGTATGCTGCAATAATCACCAGCATTATCACCATCATCAGCACTATCATTGACCATCATTAGCATCACCATCATCACCATATCATCACCATCAAACATCATTACAATGCACCATCATTACCATCAACATTATTACTATCACATTATAATACATCATCATCATCTGTGATCAACACCATCATTATCATAATCTTAATCATTATCACTATCACCATCACAATGCATCATCATCATCATCATTGATTACCATCATTATCATCACCAAAATTGGGCTAATTAATGTTACTGTATAAATGAATACATGCGTTTTAAACTAGCTCAGACACTAACTAGTATCGTTTGAATAATACATATTTTCACTGTTTCTCCTATTTCACCATGATTAAGCAAAGGTTTGACTGTAGAGTGCGGTTTCTTCTCCTAGCTATATGTCATTTTAATCTGAAACTATGCCATCCGAGTGCCGTATGTCATACGAATGCCTGCAAATGCAAGCCAGGTTACGTTGGAGATGGAATTTCGAAATGTATATTCTCAAGAAAACTTTACGAGAAAGAAATGAAAAAGCAGCGTATGGTACAAACACGACTGGATATCGTTGAAACTGATGTGTTTGAGGTACGAAAGTCCAAATGTCTGCGTATAAATTTAGGCATTGTCATTAGTGACTTTCAGCAAGCACTAGAAGTCTATAGCGACCATAATCTGGGAACGTGAATTAAAAAAGAACAGCCTTTATCGAAATTATACATTTGTCATACAAGTATTTCGAATACCCGTGGAAAACGAGAGAAAAAGTCCTTGACAGCCTGGATTTTTAAAGTTTATGAGTTTGACCGCATTTAAATTGAAAACGCAAACTGAAAATATCAATGAATTGTTTTTATTCTGTAAAAATAAATTATATACTTTAATAACTGCATGTATTACGAGGCTTACTATAACTGTCTATTACTTTCATTTTTGCAGGTTCTACACGCATTTCAAAGGTTGCGTTCGATTCTGAATCAAGCTCCGTAAAAAGTGAACAACGGTTACTATGGATATATTAAAGATTAAACTTCTTATATTAAAAGATAAATTTCTGCATATTTTATTAAAAGATAAAATTAGGAGACAGACCTGGAAAAAGTTCTAACTTTTCGCAAACTATTAAAGGGAGCTGCAAACAAGTTTCAGTGTTACAAATCTGTTCACGAGCTGTCGACAAGTTGTGTTCGCACTGCAGCCTCGTACCCAGGCGCTTTGGTTTGTTTACGTCATTAAGCGCAATCGATCAAACTAATCCACGCGGCCCACGCAAAGGCCGCGCAAGCCCAGAACAACACATAGCGCCTGGGTACGAGGCTGTTCGCACTGCTTGTTTCTAGTTGTTGTAACAAGTTTGGAACAAGCTTGATTGCATTGTCAGACTTATTAGAAGGTGGATGGGCACAAGGTTATAACAATATTATTATATCATGACTGTGCAAGTCGGACTTGTTCGAACAACCTTGCAACATGTCTGATAATGTCAACACAGTTGTTACACTAGTGACGTAAAAATGTGTGGGAAAAATTGAAATGGTTGCTCAATCTTGTTGCCAAAGACAAACGTTACTCAGGAACTTCACTTTTTCCAGATCTGTGTTTTAATAAAAAAACAGACGGTTTCTGCATTTTGATAATAATACAGTATCTATAAACACGTACTTATACAATCTTGGGAAAAATTAACTCAGCAGGGACCCTCTTACTGGGTTTTCCAGATGGATTGGAACATATACCATCGATGCACGAGTCGCTATAACTACAGCAGTTATTAGGCGGGCAGCACTGGTAATCAGCAGGACAGCATTTATTTTCAGCGCAACAATTGCCATTCCGGTATTTACAACACAGCAATTCTTGGCGTGTTTCGTTTTTGTAATCACTTTTAATGGTCACTGTAGCTGAAGAAATTTGAAATTGCTTGAGTAAGATTGCAGCCTTATCATCACCATTATCATCATCATCACCATCATCATTATCATCATCATCATTATCACCATCATCATCACCATCATCACCATCATCATTGTCATCATCATCATCACCGTCACCATCATCATCACCATCATCATCATCACCATCATCATCATCATCATCACCATAATCATCATCATCATCATCATCACCATCATCACCATCATCATCATCATCACCATCATCATGATGACCATTATCATTATCATCATCATCCCAATTATCACCATCACTATCATCACCATCACCAGCACACTATCATTAAAAAGAGCTTAAGCAAGCTATACATGCCAACCGGATCGGATGTCAATCGAGCCGTTATAGATGGCGAGTGATAGCCATCTTGCTTGAAATCAAAAACGTCATTCTTACCTTGGCGAGTGGTGCCATTCTCCAAATCGAAACGGTAGTCAATGAAGTTTCACGCTCTTGATTTTAAACAAGAACAGCTGTCACCATCACTCGCTATCCATAACAGCTCGTAGACGTCTGGATTGGGTCCTTGTTTTTTAAGAATATCGCTTGCTTAGGTTTTCCATTATCGCTACCATCATCACCATGTATCACCACAAATATTCAATAGCTTACCATTGCAACAAGACTGGCCTTCCTGGCAACAAGATGATACAGCGTAATAACATTTGTTTGGAAACTGTCCAAAACATGGACACCCTTGATAGCGAAGGTTATTTGCATCAGAATAACACCTTGCGGAGTCTTCAACTTGGCACCATTTAGTTGCACTCAGGAAATCTGAGGCCGCCTGCCAATTCTGATACTCTATCCAAGTAAAAAACTGCTCGTATGTCGAGAATGTTGAGTTACCAAGAACAAAAGCAATGTCCACGACAGTCTTTTGTACCGTACAGCATAAACTAGGAAAGATAGTTTTAGTTTTAATACGCTTTCGTACATTTAAAGAGGAGTTAAACAACAGAGCAAGCTCCAATCAAGGTTTAACTCCGAATTTAAATTTGGATGATGTTAGGACTTTATACCTGTGCGTGTTGATATTTCAAGAAGTCATAAGGTGATACGCAGAAAACTGAATTACTTCATGGCAGGGGAGAGGGACCGCCCCTCCAAACACCACAAAAAACATTCAACTGTTAAATAGCATGTATGTCATTTTAATCCTTCACAGCCAGAAAGTAGCAGAAACTGCCGTGGCTGTAAGGTATTGCAAAATCCAGTATCCTTGATAGCAACAAACCGCCGTGGCTATATAAGGACTACTGAACTCCTGTATCTCTACAGCCAGCAACCGCCGCGGCTGTAAATATGCCGAAATAAGGTATCCTATAATTATAGTCACAAACCGCCGAGGATGTAAGGTTGCTCATTAGCATATTACAGGAATTTGGTACATATATGGGAGTACATGCTCATTAGCATACCAAAATCCGGTATCTCATAAGCACGGTCAAAGACACACGAAAATCATGCAGTATATGCTTATGAGCATATTACAGGAATTTGGTACGTACATACAGTATATATGGGCATGCTCATCATGAGCATACCAAAATCCGTTATGCTCATGGGCATGCTCATATATATATAAACAGAAATCATAGTTGTAGTATGCTCGTGAGCATATAATTAGCGGGATTTTGGTATACAGGCAATACAGCTATTTCAATTAAGGTTGTCCACGAGCAAAGCGGAAAAGTCGAATACGAGCGCGAAAGGCTGCTGGGAATCGCTTTGAAAATTCATTAATTTGTTAGCGATATTCCCAGCAGCCTTTCGCGCTCGTATTCGACTTTTCCGCTTTGCTCGTGGACAACCTTAATTGAAATAGCTGTATATATGAGCGTGCTCATGGGAATACCAAAACCCAGTATGCTCATGAGCACGCTAATATATATACGAAAATGATGCAGTATGGTCATAAGCGTGCTCACGAGCATATTAGAGCATCATGCACAGAGACGAAATAAGGTGACACGGTTCACTAGCCTTCACTCCTCCAGTTTTCCAAGGTGACTTTTCCAATTTAATTCCGAGGAAAAATAAATCATGTAAAAAGATCATGTTGTTGATGCACTTTATAATCTTCGAAACTCCGGGGGAGCAAGTCCCATGCACGACCCCGGCCTAGCCACTCTATGCATATTCATCAGTTCAAAATTTTCATTCCGTGAGCCTGGAAAAAGTCGATCGGGAAGCTTAGTCATGGGTTACCTAATAAAAAAATCCTGGGAGCGCCACTGTGGGCACGGTCAGCATTAATCATGCTTTGAACAAAGGGCCCCAGTGGCAGTGCAAATTAATTAATAATTTGTAATATCATATTGACTCTTCCCCTTTTTCCTGTTCCGAATCTCGTGCCTTTGTTTAGGCCGACAAAGCTCTCATTGGCAACGGGCGTAAGGCCTTCTTTATACTACAGTATAGACTTTGCATGAAGACCGGAAAAAAGTTAAAATCGTCGCATCGTATTGTATGTTGGTGGTACATTAATTAATAGAGGAGCATTTAGGGAGTTTGCTTCCTGCGTGTAATATGTACGTAGTTTGATTAAAATTTTTATTTAGTAACACGTGAAAGATCGGTGCCGCATACTATTAAACAGGTTAACAGGGTCATAAAAGAATGACTCAATTGTATACATCAATTGTAAATAAAGTTAAGCCCCGATACTAACTAGAATGAGAGAACTCTCATTCCCCGGACAAACGAGAGCAAGAGTTGCACGAGAGTTGATGAGATTGACTGGACATCAATTATCAATTACTCTCATTAAAATTTGAACCACGAGATTCGATGAGATCTCATCCTTGCTGCCCGTTTGTCCGGGGCTTTTAATTATTCAGTTTACCTTTCAAACGATGGCAAGACGCGTTTCGCATTCCCAAATGCTTGCGCAATACTCTCATCAAAAATGTCTTCGATTTGATTCTGATTAAGACACGTTACCGCCTTACAATCACACGGCGTTGTCAAGTCCGTTGGCGTTCCGTTCACGATCTTATCATAATCAGCTTCATAATGGGCTAGGATTGCCTTTGCGTCGGTTTCGTCGAGATTAAAATTAAAGCCAATGATTTTGCGACCTTGTGAATCCACGTACATACATTCCTTGCATGTCAATCCCCCATTTTGAAGAATCCATTGCTTCGCATTATTAATACAAGTTCCTGAAACGAGCGCTTGAAACGAACTATATTTCGATAGTGTTGTACATTTTGAAACTGCCTTTGTAGGTGTTATATTACATACGGCGAATACGATTGTGCAAGCGCAAATAAAATATAATTTCATTGTTGAGCTATGTATAATTACTAAATGTTTTATACAAAATAGATCACGGCCAATCTGCTAATTGTGCTGTCTTAATATCGAATGCGCTTATATATGTGTGCGATTTATGGGTGTGTATACAAATTCCGGCAACTTGCCGCAGTTTTCAAGGTAATTCACGTGATTGGCCTTCCTTCTTTTAGTTCTAGGAATGTATATTACTTTAATTATATTGCCAATGGTGATCGTTTATCTTCACCTCCAGGAAAATGACACTTTATTTTTACTAAGCCTAAGGTTGATGGCCCGAGTCAACCTAATTAACCTGATTCTAAACTTGCCCTGGCACGGATAATCTCCTGGAGTCGTTCGATCCTTATCTTTTCAAATAGTCGCCTTCATTACAAGTTACAAATGATACAACATGAAGTACTGGGCACATTCCATGTAAATATTAAATTGCGAATAAACAAAATATAATGTAAAAATTTCATTGATTTTAACAACTATTTTTTGCAAGATCGCTAGATTTTTAAAGAAAATGGATTTGCTTGGCTCTATATTAAGCAATATGGATGCTCCTCCAACGTCCAAAGTCGACAAAGCGAGGCAAAAAAGCTTAAAAGGTAATGAATCATTTCAGGCTTCAGTAGCTCACTCGATTTAATTATTTTACAGCAACATGCAATGTACTTTTTCTGTCAATCGTAGTGATTTTTATACTGCTCGTGTTAAATTTAGGCCTTGTAGATTAAATTCCAAAGAATATTTTTGCAGATTCACCGTCCATTTTGTGATTTTGACACTTATTAATCTTTTGTAAAACATTATAAATTCCCTCAGAAAATGTCATTTTAATAATGTCATTTTAAAATGGCCTTCAAGAACTGCCTCGTTTTCCAAAACCACCTGTCACATTTGATCAAAAATAATATACTGCAGCGAGATCACCTTTAAACGTTCAGTTTAAAGTGTTTTGAAACGATTCGTGTTTCTTTGTGAGTTTAACAAAGAAAGGAAGTTTGACAGGTACGTTCTTCAATTGCTGGATCAGTAAATGCATTTGAAGAGTGTGCAAGGGTATTTTCATGAGCCATGAATTTCTGATACATGAATAATCTTAATCATTTAGCCTCATATTTCATTTTAAATTACAGAACAGAAAGAGAAAATGGAAAAAATGCACGCAGCAGAAAAGCTGAAAAGAGATAAATTTCGTGGCGAGGTATAATTCTACCAATATTATGCATAAAATATGTGGTTTTGTAATTAAAAATTGTAGTATGATTTAGGCAAGCTTTCACTACAGCCGGTAGATTGGCAAAAAACTTGATGAAACAAGTTATGAATGTAAAATGCAAGATATATTTTAAAAGAGTCAAAAATCAAAAAAATTTAAAACACACCCTTTGGTGATAAGAATTTTGAGAATTACATGTATACAGGGAAAATTGTTTTGAATAAGTTGGGCAAAATGCAAAATAATGGGCAAATATCTTTCTGCCCCCTATTTTTGCCCCTCCCATAACGCTTATGATTCCTCCACTCTTTTCGTCATCCCAATGAATCGTTGATGAGTGCAGTTCTGATATACCACAAGCCTACTGCAGACACTGAATTGCCAGATACATTACAGATATCACCGTGGGTGTATGTGAACTAAACCAAAATGTGACATTCAATAATTGTGACAAAAAGTTCCTTGGTTTTGTTATATATTTCAAGGTGGAAAAACAAGTGAATGCTTTTATGAAGGATCCCAATCAAAAGCATTTCAAATATCCACCAATGGAGAAAATAGAGAGAAGTATTATGTAAGTTAAACAATATACAGTTACTGTATAACATATGTTGTTTGTTTTTGCAGAAAACAGTGATTACAGTATCTATCTATTTGGCAAAGCGTTTGATGATCTGTATGACTGTAGATCTGCACCATATTATTTTCACAGATGAAGATCAGGCCTTGTGGATAGAAATCTTTAATGATCATCAGTCAGTGTAGTATTTTCCACAGAAGCAGCACTTGGCTGTCAGGAAGTGTACCCCTCAAAACTGTCCCTTTTCTAGACTGAAAATGGCCTTTTTTTCTAAATTTAAAGTGTGCTTTACCAATGATAGGCAAAATCATCATAATTATGACTTTCAGATCAGATAAAACTTGCATCGATGAAAAGGGACATATGTTGCAGGGACCTTAAAAATCCATTCAATTTTTTTCTTATGTGAGCATGCACCTGCTTCTTCCACTTGTATATACCATGAGAATACTTGCAACTCCTCTTCAAAGAAAGGGCCTGGGTACTCCAATGAATATAATTTAGTTAACTTTACATATATTTATTACGGTATGTTGTTTAGTCACGATGTGGCTGAAATAGCTGGAATAACATCTTATTCCTTTGGGGATGAAGGAATTAACAAGCATATCATTCTTTTTAAAAAGGTAATGAAATGTTGTATAATAATTATAAGGTCAGGCCAAATGTATTTTAAAAATTACTACCAGAAAGGCAAGTTGTAAATCCAGTTTGCTCATTGTAGCGGTATCTAATATAGTATCCAGTATATTATGTGAGAAATGCTTTGGGAAGGCTGCCCTAACCTTGAATTTTGATGGACATGATTAAATTGGATGTGCGTTTTTGCTCCCCTTGTTAGCTATTCGTCAGTTTATAGTACATGCTTCCAAGCTGTCATTATTTTTGTGTACAGTACTATAGTGCCTTAAAGTACAGTATTTATACGTTGTACCTGATTCTATTGAAACCTTCTTTCCTATGTATTTTTTCTAAAATTTTAAAATGATAAAAAATAGTATTCAAGTATTTTCTGAACTGTGTGTTTTATTCATTCGTAAACATCAATCATGATAATTTCCAATGCATTCACAACATTGACAGCAACAATCCATGTCCATCTCTTCAAAACAATCACAATTCTCTTCTATATCAATTTTGCAATAAGACAAAGTCTCGTACAATGGACTGTCTTCACAAACGTCAAGCAAACATTCGTCACTTTTCTCGTCTGTATTAAAATTTCCAGGATTGCACAACGCACTTTCTTCACAAAAATGAAATAAACTCTTGTGTACAGACGCAGTTTCTTTGTCTAGGTTGGAACTTTTATCTTGATTTGTTTCCTGCATTTCTCTTCCTTCGTGTTCTAAACAACAGCCGGAATATGCTGAATCTTCGTTCATTAACAATCCTTTGTTACGACAATCTTTATCCAGATAGAATTCATTCTCATCTCCGGTGGATAAACTTACAATTTCATACAATCCACTGTCTTCACAAATATCGGATAAACTCTCATCATTTTCCTTGTCTGAGTTAAAACTTCCAGTTTTATACAAATCACGTTCTTTGCAAATGTCAAATAAACACTCGTTGGTATCTTCATTTTTTTGGTTTAAGTTGAGACTTTCATGCATATCTTCATTTGTTTCTTGCATTTCGATGCTTTTGTCTTCTGGACAATTTCCAGGAAACGTTGAATACTCACTCAAATGTTTTTCTATATCAGGAACGTCTTTATCCCTATTCAACTCATTCTCATCTCTGGTGGATGAACTTTCAGTTTCGTACAATGTACTGTCTTCACCAGATTTAATTTCATGGTCTGAGTTACAATTTTCATTCATATCTTCATTTTTTGCTTCCTCTTTGGTCCTTTCGTTTTCTGGAAAACATCCAGTGAACGCTGAATCTTCATCTCCATCAAATAAATATTCATTGTCCTGGTCAATTACAAACATGTGTTCAGGTGCGCAATCATTGTCAGGAATTACAACCATTTCTGTTCCTTCGCCCGAAAAGTTTTTATCTATGTTCAAAACATTCTCCTTTGTGGAAGATGGGATTACCAAATCTTCTCGAAGGTCAATGGAATTCGTGCTATGCTTACTGAAACCTGTCTCTGTAATTTCTAAACAACATTCAGTGAATCCTGAATCATTGTTCAATGATAGTCGTTTGTCAGAAACGCGCTTATGCATGTCGAAGCCATCCTCATTTGTGAAGGATGATTTTACCAAATTGACTTCAAGGTCGATGATATCTGTGCCGTCCTTGGTAAAACCCATGTCTTCAGTCTCTGAGAAACACCCATTTAAATCTAGATTAAATTCATTCAATGTTTGCCCTTTGTCATAAGTGTCTTTATGGATGTCCAATTCATCCTTTTTTGTTGTGGATGAACTAACTAAATTGAATTCAAGGCTCCATGGATCCAATGCATTTTCATGCACTTGGCTGTCTTCAAGGTCAATGAAATATGACCTATCCTTACTGAAACTTGTGTCATCACTTTCTGGAGAGGAGGATTCGATGAAATTTGAATTTTCATTCAATGATTGTTTTTTGTCTAGAACATCTTCATCTGAAGCAATTTCATTCGAATTGTTTTCAAATCCAATGAAATCTGTACTATGCTTGTAGAACCCTGCCTCTTCCATTTCTGAACAACACCCAGTGAAAATAAGGTCTTCATTTAATGATTGTTCTTTGTGCTGAACGTCCTGAACTATGTCCAACTGTTTTTCGCTTGTAGAAGATGTCTGCTCCCTCACTGAACAATATGCAGTAAAAATTGAATCTTCATTCAATAGTTCTTTGTCAGGAACATTTCGAAGCATATCCATTTCATTCTCATTTGTGATAGATAAACATTCCAAACTCTCTTCAACGTTGATAGAAGCTGTACTGTGCTTGCCAGTAGCATCATCAGCTTTATCAAGTTCATTTTCCATTTTGGTACTTTCGTTATTCGCTCCAAGGTCTGTACTTTTGGGATCAAAGTTTTTTCCTCTGTTGTCTGGAATGCATCCGGTGCAACGCGATTCCTGATTGAATGCTTGCTCATCTTCTGTATTATTTTTAACTGGACCCAAGTCATTGTTAGTTTTGGTCGATGGTATTTCAATATTCCCAGCAGGATGAATAAAGGCCTTGCTATGCCTGTTTTCATCTGCTTTCTCATTCTTTGTAAGACATTGAATTAAAGTTGATTCCTCGTTGAGTGTGTGCCCACTAAAATTAAGATCTTTGACTACAACCAAGTCATTGTCATCTGTAGCGAATATTTTCCCAACTTTCTCTTGGGGATCAATGAGATATGTGCTTTCTCTGTTTAAATCAGTTCCCACATTCTGTGGATAACATTCAACGGAAGTAGATAAATTCTCTAACAATGGTTGCTCTTTATCGGTACGTTCTTGACCTGCATCCATGTTACTGTTGGTACACTTTACGTCCTTGTGAGGATCAATTAATTCGTTGCAATGTCCGTTTTCATCTGTTCTCTCATTCTCTGACAAACATCCAGCGAAAGTTCTTGATTCCTCTTGCAACTTTTCTCCTTCATTAGTGATTTCTGTGCCTATATCCATGTTATTCACATTTTCCTGAGGATTAACGAAATCTTCACTCAGTTCCACGAATGCTTTCCTCACATTTTCTGAAAAACATACACTTACAACTAATTTTTCGCAACTCCTTGCATTCTCTTCAACTTCAACGAAACGTTTAGTAGATATAGTTGAGCTTTTCTTCATGCTATCAGTGATGTTGACGCTATCCCTCGAGCATTGCTTACGATCTGCACGTTCCAGAAAACGTGACCTTTTTTCACCGATTATTTCTGTATTAAAATCCAAACATTCTTTTGTACTTTCGACATCATTTTTATCGCAGCATTTTGATATTTCACTTTGGCGTTCTGTCGAACTTTGTTCTTGTGTTGAATTTTCCTTGCTTGTTTCAGTGGTTAAACTATCTTCTTGGTTTTTCCTGTTGCTATCAGTTGTGTTGCTTGTGCGATGTTTCTCTCCACTGTTCGTTTCCAATTTTTTCTTGATTTTGCCTACTTGTACAGCTCCTTGACTCTTTGTGTGATGAGCAACTGGCTCTAAAATAAAAACAAGAAAACAGTACGATAACAAGTTGTTGGAACAACTTATAACAAGTCTGTTGAGCTCAACAATCTTGTAGCAAGTTGACAACATGCCGTTGACAACTTGTCAAAATGATAGGAACAAGCATTGCGAACACATCATGTTGACAAATTGTCGGAACAGCATTGCTACAAATCTGCTGCAGGTTTTATGTGTGTCTTTAAAAGTTTTCCTGTTCTGCTGTTCACTTCTTTGATTTCTAATTTCATTCTTACTTTTTAAAGCAGTAACCCCAGGGCTCAACTTCTCTTGATTTGTTTCTTGTGACTTCTTGCTTAACGTTGTTTCCTCAAATTTTGCGTTGCCCTGCTTGCTCTTCGGATTGCGAACATTTTCGTGGCCATTTTTCCAGCCGGTATGTCCAGCACAGTTGCCCATGTATAGCCGTGTTCTCTGGGCAGGGTAAACGTTTTCATTGAATGGTTTGGGGTTGATTTTGGTTTAGTTTGATGATGTTGATGGTCATTTCTGCAGTTCCCAAACCAATTAAATTATGACGTCATAATTGAGCGTTAGATTTGCCACACCACTGGCCTGTCGTGCAGGCGCAAGCATTGTTTCATGGGGTCATCAGTGATCTCTGTATGAAACTGGAGCAATATCTTGAGAACTGGAGCAATAACTGATAACCCTTACGACCTTTAGGGAGGACAATTTAATCAAATTGATGTAGAGCTATCTAGTATAAATATAGTTATTTTGGTATTTGTAAAAAAGCCAGTTCTAGACAAACAGAATACGTATCCAAAATTTAATTTGTTGTTTCTTGAATCTTGTTTTTAAGGAGTTTGCACCAACCGAAGAAGAACTAACAGTTCTCAAGAAAGGCGAGGTGAAGGCCGCTTCTAAACTAGACTGTAAATGTATAAACTTACTGTATATGCCCCTTGCCACTCAGTTCATTTGATACAAAATTTAGCTTTAGCCAATCCCACAACCTATGTTTACAATATAAACAGTGGTAGCAAGGTAGCAACGCGTCTGGGTAGGGCCGTAGTAACCGGCGGGGGAGGGGTAGAGAGAGTTGTAACACTCCCCCCCCCAATATTTGTTCATGATTAATTTCAGGTAAATTTCTAGATTATTTGAGCTGATTTTTAGGTAAACTATAACAGCATTGACAGGCTAACCTAGCTGAGAATGCAAAGTTTCAGTTGCATTTCCTGGCTTTCTGAGGGTCTACACCCCGAGTCGATATTCCTGAGTAAGAAATGTTTACACTTTGATCAATTAAACTGTACTTTATCTATCGAAACGTCATTAGTAATAAACCATGCCCTTCCGTATTCATTAAAACTTTATTTTCAATTTGTGAGGTGAAATCTTAAACCAAAGAGTTGTATTATTTTCTAGGGGTACGACCCAGAAAAAATAAAACATGCATTGGAAGAAAAGGTAATAATTAATGATAGAAACAAATACTTCGACCTTTCGACTATTTTTGTCGAATCTTCTAACGAGTTACTGAAGCTGCGTGCTGGTTTTGTAGAAATTGAAAGCTTCCAGTTCTCAAGAGAGATCGAGATCTACGACAGTCCAGAAACCCAGAACAAACTATAAGGAGAAGTACGAGCGACTCATTGGTAAAGAAAGTGGGAAAGATAGCGCAAGGCTGACTGTGACTAATAATACTTTTGGTTGTGGTAAGCCATATTTAATGTTATTCACATTTTGCAAGGAACTTACAAATGAGTTACATTCGCAGTGCGTGTTTTATCAGACCTAAAGACACTCGGCTTCGCCTCGTATCTTTATATCTGATTTATATCTGATAAAACACTGCTGCTCATGTTTTAAATAGTACATACAAGATTCCGATATACTGAAGCTATTTTGATAAAAATTCCTCTCCGTAAACACGGAAAATGCCCTTCTGGGGCTCTGCAAATGCAAATGTTTTTTCTTGGTCACTATGCCCCAGATTCCCTTCAGTTGAGTCCCCCAATAACAATTTACTTTCGACGGTACTGTTTAGTGAACAGCTATTTCTTTATTTCAGTACCAAGCGAGAATAAAAAAGATGTACGTTCTATAGAAGAAACGCTGAATGATATCCGAGCAAAAAAACGACAGAAGACGACGAACGACGATGACGCGCCGAAGTCGAGCGATGATGCTGTCGAATAGGTGAACACTTATAAACAGTACTAAAAGCAGCGCGAGGGTGTATGCAGGTAAACCTAAAAGAGGGCAGATCCACAGCACCATTACCGTATACATGTACTGTATAAACGATTTTCAGTGTAACAGTCGAGTAAAATGTACTTAATAGAAAATTATTTGATATTGCTTCACAATTGTTAGGGAGACACAAGAGTGAATATTGCAATTTTGACAGACCCAATCATTCATATTACTATATTTTACAAGTTAAATATAACAACTAGCACTACTTTTATCTTAATTATATTTACATTTGTATAATGTTATAAATATATTGACTATACTTATCGTACCTTTTTTGCATATACTACCACTACCCCATGTGATACAAAAATAACCTTCACAGTCTTAATCCATAGTTGAAGGGGTATATTGTTTTAGATTGTAGTAACATTTTAATCACGTACAACCTGCACTCTAATGTATTGTTACTTGTGTTAGGTTGGTAATATACGACTAAGTACATTGGTCTTGTAGGCCTACTGGCAAAACATTTGAGAAGTTTATACTAATCTGTTTAGAATCAAACGTTTAGAGATATCTTTGTAGCGCCGTTGTGTTTCTCTTTCATAAACTGCAGAAACTTATTTCTTTCGTGTTCTTTCATCACTTCATTCAGAGCATAAATCTATAAAGACGTAGAAGAAAAACAATAATCTAAAATGTAAAAGGTTAAATACAAAAAAATGCAAATCAATTAAATGTAGCAGGAACATTTGGGATTTGGCCTTACAACTATGAGAAGATTGAAGAACAGTTTTTCACACAAGCAATACTCAGGCACGATATTCATATACGTGATATAATATATTTGTTCAATGTTCATATATTAGAGTTTTACGGTCAAATATTCTGTCATTTTTACGCGTTTTCGAATAATATTTGAAAATGGCAAATTATGAACATTAAGAACATTAAGAAATATTAAGAACATTGAGAAACATTCATTGCTGCTTTATATACCATTGCTTCTAAGTAAATTCGGGTTTTGCTTTGAATTCTATATGAATGTTTTGGTTTTGGATTAACCCAAGACAAATAATCTAACCTCTGCTCGACGCTGTTGTTTTAAACCTTCCTGTTGTTCTCTTTCTTTCCTTTTTTCTTCCTTCAGAATTTTTTCTCTATTTTTTTCATCCGCTCTTTGTCTTTGTGTTACTAAAGAAAAATATACACAAAGCTGTTGAGACCACATTTCGCTCTCACTGAGTTAGTGGAGAGCTCTCACTGGGTAAGTAGTTCTTGTTCGGTTCAATGTTTAACATGCAACTTATACAATTTTTGAAATTACATTTACTTACGGAGACATCTTAGTTTCGATTTGATTAATTGCTGACTCTGAAAAGAAATATAGAAGAAAGCTAAGGTGTAAAGTAGGTGAAGTATAATACTTTCAGTTTGTTACTACTTCAATTAAAGTATGATAAGTATAAGATACGAGGCGAAGCTGAGTATCTCTAGGTCTGATAAAACACGCACTGCGAATGTTTTAAATTGCTTCAAAAACGATCGATCTAGTAAGTTCATTGGCGAAGTAATTTTCAAAAAATACGTTGTGTAAGTCGACAAAATTTAAGTTAAAGTTTATGTAATCAAGGGAAATCTCTATCACATATAAAGATACGACACGCTTATGATTTTTCTTTGTGTTTTCTTCATGAATTATTAATGCTTTTTGAAGTTGTGATAGAAGTTATAGTTCTCCCTAATTGATATACCCTCCCGGAAAGTACGCTATAGAGCATCGTTTTCACATAGAGGCTCTATATATAGCCAAAGTGACTGACTTTCTGCATGGAATTAAAGGGTGTATTAAACTTACCTTAATGTCAGCTAGGCAAGGAACTGTTTCCACAGCAACGCAATCATCTATAAAACACCAATTATTTTGTATTGTGATTAACTTGAAATAGCTCAGACTAAATTAAACCAAATATTATGGATAGCTTTATCAGTTCTAAATCATTCTCTCTAGAGCATGAGTAAGATCTTATTGATCCTGTGTTTGTCGTGGAGGAAACCGAAGCGGAGACCAGACATATGGTGTTTGGTCAAACTAGACGTATACTCCATCCTCTCGCATACTACTAGTCCTACGGGGAAATTGAAATCATAACAATCCAAATCTCTGCATATTACAGAGAGATGAGCATTGACAATTAAAATAATTTGGAGATTGATTAACAGGCAATTTTTTCAATGTCGCATATTTGCGATGAAAAATGTTCGAAACCTAAAAAATCTTTTTTGGGGTTCCTCTCAAAATTACTTTGTTTTTTTTAGCTTTATTTTGTAGCTTACACTGTTAGCAACCTTTTTAAATGGAGCTGGCGGTTGAGAAACACAAAATAATAAGTTAAATATTGTCAATTTAAATACTGTCATTATCTTTGACTTTGATGCAGTGCTTTGATCGGTTGTAAAATTGACGCCATATTTATACAGCAATATAAGCAAAACTTATACGTATACTGCACTTCAGACATCGTTTTTTCTTTGGCGTACCATCTAAATCTCTTCATTTTAGCATAAGTTTACAGATAAAGCACTAAACTTTTTAAGTTTGTTTGCCGCATTAGGGACTGGTCATTATTTATGGCGGGGGGTGGCACCGAAGAGAAAAGGGTTGGGTAAACAAAATTTGGAGTGAGTAAAAGGTTGGGTAAATGAAAAACGAAACAACTCAAAGGTTGGGTAATAAGAATTTATTGTCATTTCCAAAGCATGACTCACTCAAATATTGAAGACTGAAAACTTCAATGTCAACAGTCATATGTCAATACAATATGTGAATCAATCAGAGTCTACTATCTTCATCATTTTCCGATTTGTTGGGAGACAAATGGTGTCTCCAAAGAAAGTGAATGTGCAGACAACATGAAACTTTAGACTGCAGAAAAGTCAGTAAATTTCACAAGCCGGACGTTATCAAACTATCAAACATTCACAAGCCGAACGTTATTAAACGTATCACAGAAGTGGTAAAGGACATGTGTGACAACTGAATGACATCCTTCTGTAACGTTTTTGGCCAGGGGTGGGTATTTATTTTTTAAATGATACTTGAGGTTGGGTAATCAAATTTTTGATTTTTTAATGGTTGGGTCAGCAAAATTTTTGCCACGAAAAACATTTGTCTTCGGTCCCACCCCCCACCATAAAAAATGTCCGGTCCCTTAGCCATTCCGAAGTTGATGAGTGGACTGGGGACGAGTGTTAAAAAGTGCCCAAATTAAGAAATGAACCAAATCACTAAAAAGACCACCTCAAAATTAGTAAGTATACAAAGTTTGAAGACGTTTACATGAATATCCTTCGAATAATAAGCTTTCGAAAATCCGATATTTACTATGAAATGTATTGTAATTTTTGTTTTTGGGACGCGCAATTACACAATTTTCGAAAGCTTATTATTCGAAGGGTATACATGTAAACGTCTTCAAACTTTGTATACTTACTAATTTTGAGGTGGTCTTTTTAGTGATTTAGTTCACTTCTTAATTTGGGCACTTTTTAACACTCGTCCCCAGTCCACTCATCAACTTTGGAATGGCTAATTGGAAACCAAGTGGAAACGTATGTTCATTAGTTTTGTGCGCATGTTACGTAACATACAAAAGATTCTCCTCAGACACCAGTTGGATACTTCGATATCTTTTTGACTTACTGTTAAGAGGTGAAGCGGGCGGTACACACGGTACGCCAGCTAACATATGTGACTGCGCCTCAGAATAATACACTTTCTTCAATTTCATATTCCTACTGATCAGTGGCAATGATTCAGATGGTTGAAATAATGGCGGGGGACAACTTTGCCTTTTAATTTTAATCTCCGATTTGCAATGTACGGCTGCTTTCTTTCCACAACTGGTTTTTGGTCTCTGGCTGACTTTTGGTTTTTTCCATAAGGTTTGTGACGATGTGGAAATGTTCTTGGTCGAATAAGATGAGATGAGTTTCCTTACAGAACAAATTATCACAGAAGTTGTACAATTTAACTCATTTGAATTGTTCTTGTCTTGGTTTTTGACGGTTCTATGACTATGGGGTATCAGGTTTTCGTTGCTTTGATTCTGTTTGGTTTTGTTGCGCGAAATGGTCGCTTTGTGCGATTCCTTAGCCCTTGAAATGTTTTCTTCAGTAACTTTAAGACGACTTGTTTTTTTCTTCACTTTCTTTCGTGGCGATCTCGAGCTTTTACGGCTGTGTAGATGAGCCTTGGTAGACGTTAGGTTTGGCTGGAGATTTTTATTGAGTCCATGTTTTTTAAGATAGGCTAAAAATGAAAGTTTAATTAAAGAATAAAGGCGGAATGAAGTCATATTGTAATTCCCGTGTACACTATCAAAAGTTTTTTCCGTTGTATTTTGTATTAAATTATGAAACTCTCGTGCAAAATCTCGCCATCCAACTCTCATCAACATTGATTTACTGAGTTTATTGAGTTTCTCAATCATCCGTGAGTGGATTTCCCAACAGGCTATTGCCCAATTAATAGTGTATCTGAGGTATCTACGATTTTAACGTCCTTATCCGAGAAGACGCGAAAGTCGTACCATTTACTTATGTCAATGTAAAGGTAACACTTTCGAGGTCCTTGGTCGAACCCAAGGTCTAAAATAATCAAGGAATTATTTTAGACCTAAATGAGTTCGACCAAGGACATGATCTCGAAAATTAATTAGGGATATTAGATAAGACATCACATTGTCCATGATCCGAGGGGCATGGACGAGAATAATAAAAGGAAGAAAAATGGCAGGATTGGGGATTTCACGAAATCAGGACACAGGATGAAAAAAATCTATGGGAAACGTGCGGGATGGTAATCTTAGGACTCCAGTCGCCCTCATTTTAATGCGGAAGTGATACACATGAATAAAAAACCAACCAAAAAAAGCTTACCTTCCTGCATGCATCGATTGCGCATATTTTTAATTTGCATCGAGTGCATTTTCATCGCCGATACCACCAGTGGCAAACTCATGCTGGAAAATAAACCTCAGTCAAAAAGAATTTCTCTCTTTTCTCTAAACAAGGGTAAAACTAAATAGGAATGATATTTTCACCGATGACCCTTTGCCGCTTTGAGTTCTGTTGTAGATTGTTAAATCTCCCGCAATTTACGATATTCTACTCTCCTGTGGTTTGTGTTAGTACAGAAGTAATCCCGTACAATGCTATTTGCCGTTAATTTCATTTTGTCGTAATATTTCAAGTTTTAGTCCCTTAAAATCATCGATCTTTGATCCTTGACTGAAAAATCGCCTTGTTTACGTCGGCCATGTTGTTTCTAGACGCGTTGCCTTGGTGATGGGATTTAAATGACGATTTAAATTCTTTCACTGACCAGTAACTATCACGGGCACCCAATTGCACATGGCCGACTCTTTGAGGAGTGGAAATTTTTAAAATACTACAAAAAAGGACGAAAAACATAATATTTAAAGCGTTTGCAAGATGAGGCCGTTGATCGAAGAAGAGACGAAGCTTGTGTTTGAGAAACTGGCCAAATAGTAAGTTTTAGGGTTTTACTTTATCGTTTAAATGTGCTTTATTGCTTTCTCTATTCGGTCTCCTCGTACTCTCGTAGTCTTTAATAGGCTCGTAGAGATGCGAGTTCACTGAATTGAAATCTTCATGCTCAAATTAGTCTACACCGCACATTTTATGATGATTGAACTTTCATGTCGTTTGATGTTTGAATTTTGCACTTTGAGAATAGGCAATTGATGTAAAAATGAAATCCATGGCACCTGGTGGAACACGGGGGGACGGCCTCCTAGAAGTGAAAGTGAGGGGCTTACCCCTAATTTATGGAAATTAGTCCCCCCCAAAAAAAAACCCCAAACCAAACTGTTCTACCACAACTGTTTTTGTCTTTGGTTGTTCATCGTTACATGTAAATGATTGTCATTGCCACATTAATATTTCTTTTTAAAATTACTTCTAGCATTGGAGAGAATTTGAAACTGCTTATTGAGCGACCGGATGGAAACTACTGTTTCAGGCTTCATAGGGATAGGGTATATTATGTGAGGTGAGCCAATATCTGATGTAAGGATTTCTTGATGAATCAGAATAGCAATGTTTCATTGACAATAACAAACCATCATTTTAGGGAAGACATCATGAGAAAAGCGACTAATGTTGCGAGAGAAAATCTGGTTTCCCTCGGCACCTGTTTTGGCAAGATGACTAAATCTGGCAAGTTTCGCTTGCACATTACTGCCCTAGAATACCTTGCTCCTTATGCAAAGGTTAGTATGCAGAATTTGGCAACTATTAATTGTTTTCACCAATAGTAAAAGACAGTTAGATGTATGTTTGTGTTTTATGCAATTCATACCCCCATCTACCAGTGGGGGGGGGGGGACTCTGTATTCCATATTGTTTAGATTTCATACTTAAGTTTTGGCTGAAAAACAAATACTATGAGGACAAATGTAATGAATAAATGTAGTGCTCAGAATGCAGGAAATCGCATTTCATGGCTTCAAATTTCAAAAATTATTGTGGACCCCCATAGTAATGCATCCTCCTCTGGAAAACCTCCAGCCCCTCTAACAATGAAATCAGATATGCTCCTGCTGAAACCTTAAACCATTTTAGTTTAAGATATGGTTAAAACCTGGTGCAGAGCAGTCGTTCCTATATGGAAATCATGTCGCAAAATCAGGCCTGGGTAGAATCACCGAAAACACAGAACAATATCAGGGTGTAGTTGTTTACTCAATGAACGATCTACCACTGGTGAGTATGTATATACACTTCAGGGCTCCTATATGCATATACATAATTAGGCCACATGCAATATTCTATTATTTGTTCTTTTTTATCCAGGGTTTTGGTGTTGCGGCAAGGTCAACTCAAGATTGCCGCCGTGCTAATCCTACAGATATCATCTGCTTTCATCAAGCTGACAATGGGGAATATATCCGATCTGAAGATACATTGACATAGAGTATTTGTAGCTACTGTAGATATACTGAGCCTTTGGGGCTACCTCCTCTGCACTTTTAAATCAGTAAGATATAGGAATTCATCACAGCCTGGGGATGAGGTAGCCTTTAGGGGTATATAACTTATCTGAAGATGAGCTTTGTATTTATACTTGCCTGATGATAGATTGATCCAAAGTATTTGTATCTACACATAGACACATGTAGCTCTTCGTTAAATATCTCGGGTAAAATAACAGAGTTAAAGATTTAATCATGCGATGAGAGTTGTAAAGTTTAACTGAAGGCTAAAAACTTGGGATTGATTTTATGGATTACTATAAACTCAATCTTAAGGGACGTCTTATGAAATCCTATGGCTGTGATGTAATGCATCTATCATCAATAATTATTTATTATCAACTTTATGATAGTTTTAAAATTCAATAATAAAACGTTGTACATACGTCAGCGGAAAAAAACAGTGGTTTTTAAATGCACAGTTCAGCCTTTTGAATAATTATTTTTAAGGCGCATTTCAGCCTTTTTAATTGAAAAAGTAAGTAGGAAAATCAATTAAGCATAATTCAAGATCAGCAAACTTAATGTTTTTAACATTTTAAAATATTTTTATTGTCAAAAACATCGAGTTTACTGATCTTGAATAATGCACAATTGATTTTCGTAGTTAGTTTTTTTCAATTAAAAGGGCTCAAATGCGCCTTAAAAACATCAATGAAAAGGCTGAACTGTTCTATTGTGGCTATACATGCATAATCCTTTAATTAAAGCTTCCAGTCTTATGGCGCTTTCCATTAACACGGCCAGACCGGTCAGAACGGTTAAATTGTGAATGGAACACAAAACGTTTGGCTTCAGACCTATCTGACCGGAAAATTTAGATAAAATTAGAATGAGGTCCATTTTCGCTAGATATTTGAGAAACATAGAACAGATCTTTCCATCGATACATTTTAAAGAGGAAGGGAGAGTTAAAGATTTAACCGCGTAATTTGTATTCGCAGTGGAGACTCTGACTGATTGGCAAAATCAATATGTTATAATAGTTCGCTAGACTACGAGACCTACGACATGGTCTGATACAGCCACAAAAGCGGAAGTGGGAGGTAAATATATCATTTACATTGTAGCCTGATATCGAAAACGGAAGTGCTCTCCGGATTTACTTTCTGCTTGATAGTCAGAAGATATAAAGGTTACAACATTTTCCAACATCTAGTTTCAATAATTCATATATAGATTTGAAAATGAGTAAGAATTGGAAGAAGAAGGCTGGTAATCCAGACGACGAGAGAGACAGCCGCGTTCAACCTTTCTTGCACAGAAAGTACGGTAAAAGAGATACAGGTTTTAAAATGGGTGAAATTGTAGAACGAGCCAATCTGTATAAAGACGAGTACAACCAAGAGGGCATACATGATAAAGTGCTCGTATTGCAAGTCATGCCTGACGATTATGAAATGCAAGAACTGACTGCGAGATTGGAGCTGATTGAATGTTCTAGTACAGCAGTGAATGAGGTGAAGTCGAAAGTATCTGGGGAAAGTGCAAGTGGAAGCCGAAGAGAAATGTCCACTTCGGGATTATGTTCCGACACGATGTCTGTGCACATAGAAGACAAAGTCGAAGTACACGAACAGTCTGTGACAAGCTTAGCAGATAGTGCTGCTAAAGATGGCGACCTTTACAGCAGTACAGCTATAGTAGAAACTTCATCCTGTATAGAGGGCCCTGAAATTCACGAACCTGATAGTTTTGAAACGAATCTGTCAGATGCTAGAGAGTTTGGTAGCCAAAGCATTCCCGACAAGCGCGAGAGAAGCTATGATACAGAACCCTTTTCTTATTGGAGCGAAAGCAAAACCGAAAGAAGTGATATCCATCGCAACAGTGCTTGTGGGGAGCATTGTTATACGAGCGAAGCAAACAAACTCAATCACTATTCGGTAGAAGCGAGTGATCGTACAGCAGAGGACAGCAGCGAAGTTAATATCGATCATTCTGAAGCTTATTCTATGTCTGAAAAGCCTATTCCGCCGCCGAGGACTATTTTCCAAGACGCAAATCACGGATTCCCAGAAAACGAAAGGGGATTGAATGTTTACACAGTCACAGTAGAAGAGGAGGTAATTGAAAGCGGAAGTATGAAAGGTGAATCGGAATTTGCATGCGGCGAAAAAACTGAACTCGAAAGTGTGGAGTATGCGACTGGACTTGACGCTCGGAATGGAACCTGCAGTGATTCCAATTCTTCTGCCAGCGCATGTGACGTGCACGTGTTAAGAGAGCATCGTATCTATGTGCATGCAAGTTTGTTGGCAGTGAACAGTCGTTATTTTCGAAGTCTGTTGTTTGAATCTGGTATGAGAGAATGCACGAGTGCAGAGTTTTGCATGAAAGTTACAGAAGTCGAAGAAGACGCGTTCTTGTTGCTTTTAAGATCGATCTACGATCCGGACGTCTTGGATACCGTTGAAATCACCGAACTTGTGAACGTCCTACGGTTATCTGTGAAATATGACGTCCGTTTTTCAACCATCAAAGCCACTCGTGTTCTGGAAGCCATGCCCCTCACACTTGATGTTTGTGAAACAATAATCGAAGCGGTTAGTTCAGGAGGGTTGCCTGACCTAGGTGGAGTAATGAGAAACGTAGAAATACGTCTTCTCGGTGAATTTGAACCACTCGACGAGACTTGGGAATCCGAAAAGTTTGCGACTCTTACCGAACATGCACTTCGCTTCATACTCGGCAGTGATCTGCTCATTGTACAGTCTGAGAACACCGTGTTCATCGCTCTGATGCAATGGATTGCGGCAAATGGCGAACTGTACGAGGACATAACGGAATACTCCGATCTCTTAAACCTGGTCCGATTCGAGCTGATGAAACCGACGTACATTCACGATGTTGTACGAGGGCACGAAATCGCCATGCAACTCAACGATTTTGAGGCAGTTTATTTAAAAGCGATCACCTATCATGCTTTGCCTCCAAAACGGCGAGGAGGGGAAGTCAAACAGCGGCAATGGTGCCAGCCAAAGTCTCCTACATTTATGTGGATTCTTTACCCCGAGCCTGAAATGTTTTCCTTTGACAAAGGAACTTCAAGCAATTCAATACAGTCGTCAAGTTTTTGGTACTTTGGTTACAAAATGCATCTCCGATTGGACTTGTCCACATGCCAGGACGAGAGTTGCTTGTATTTGGTTGTCGAGAATCTCGTGGACGATGGCTCGGTCGAAATAGTATATGATGTCGACGTGAAATTTGGCGAGGGTCTGCACAAGAGTTTTACCTGTGATTCTTTTGTATACCGGGGAAAAGATCCCTCTTCAGCCCCTGGTAATTATCCCTTCGATGAGAAATATTCGCTGGGTGAGATAAAGGAGATCTTGTTGGGAAGTCCTCCTATTAAAGTAGCAATTACGTTTGAGGTTGCTGTAAAGAAAATACTAAACGACTGATTTCAAGTTGATTTTATTTTGTTTTGAATAAGAGCCAATCCAGTGCAAATATAGCATATGAAGATAATAAGCATTATAGTGGTTTAAGATTGCCATTTACGGCAGACCGGAAACGGGCAACTGTTCGAAATCAGGTTAATTTGTACATTAAAATTGAATCACGTATTCACCTACTTGTATGTCGAAAACTTGTACAACATCACAGTAATCAAACATGACATTTGTAATTGGGGGAGGATTAATTAAAGTAGTAATTGGAGATACCGAGAATGTGAAGACTGTAGTCAGGGACGCTGGAACTGGGGGGGGGGCAGGAGGGGCAGCTGCCCCTCTTGCCTTTTGCTAGGAGGGGCAAGGGGGGCAGAAGTGCCCTTTGAGTTGTAAAATACTACCTGATAAATCACATTTCCAGTGATGCTTTTTGGGCGAAATCATGAAGTGTGATCTTGAATGTGACCTGATTAAGTGCGTTTGCTTTCATTGGCAAGTCAACACATAATTGTAGGTTTATATCTTCACCGGAGTCTATAGAGGTGCCCTTTGGTGTGCGTTTGCACCCCTTTGTCTTTTTATCGTTCCGGCGTCCCTGACTGTAGTAGTGTAGTAATTATTATACACGCCGGTCAAACGATGTCTGAGGCAGTCACGTATTGTTACGGGGACTGACTTCAAGCTCTAGATTAACAAAATAAATGTTTGACGAGTGTTCCAACTATGTTTTAACTTGATACATGGTAGTGTTGGAAAAGTATTGTCTATGAGTACAGCTAACCAATGTGGCGTGACTTCTCATCCTCGTTTGATCCGCGTTTTAAGGCCCTGTCACACTATTGCGTATGAGAGAAACGTATCTCGGAAGTGTATGAAAATTAATGAAATAATTTTGATACGCACAAAAATCCTTTGAAATGCCAGCGTACGAGTACCGTACATCTGGCGTACCTCTAGCGTATTCAGCGTGTGCCTAGAGCCGATGCTTATCGCATAAAGGATACGTCCGATACGCACAAAATTTTTGAACATGCTCAAAAAAAAATTTCTGCCTCGACGTATGCCACCGTACGCGACCGTGCTTGAAACGTATACAACCTATGCCTAACGTACCCCTAGCGTATGTCAGCGTATACCGGCGTATGAGTGATATTTTTCATACGCTGACATGCGCTAGTACGATACGCAATAGTGTGACAGGGCCTTTAGGTAGGGACAATCTAAATTGATGAAATTATTAAAATCATTACAGAGTACTGTGTAATGCTGAACAACAACGCAACGACGACGGTATTAAAACCTACTTAATAAGATGTTAATAAATGTATTGCACTATTGGCGATACAAAACGTGTGTAAATTTATGATGTACTTTTATGATGTAATTTTTTGTGAATTTTCGTCTTTGGAAACAAAGTTTCGGCGGCTGCTTCTTTCTGATTACAAGTTTTTGTCCAGCGAATACAGCTTGCAAACCTTTTTTTCCTTCTCATGTGGCATAATTTATATGGACTTTTTTGTTCTTGGAAACATTTTTAAGGATTTCTCATCCCCTCCCGCCAAAAAAAGTAATTGTCCGTTAAGATAGTTTACAGTAGGATACAGTCGAAGACGAGGCAAGCTGGCACTGTATACAACACAACGGACTCACAAACGAACAAAGTTGCTGCCTGACTTGCTAGCCTGGGTATTTCAGCAAAATGAACCCAATGAAAGTAAATAAAGTTATATTTTTCTGTTTAGTTTTGTATTTAATACATGAATAATTCTACGATAGCCCGTAGCCGCCACAACAATTAACCCCTACTATGGTTATTTGAATAACAATTTGTAGAAGTCTATAGAACCAAATCGTGGTGGGTCTATGTAACCCAACAAAATTAGAAAAATAATTTCCTACACAAATTGAATAAGAGCACATGCATGTATGCATGCATGCTCGTTAATTACACTCAATGGAATTAATTTGCACTCAACCATGTAACAGCCTTCCAAAGCCAGTCTGGCGGGTCTGATCTGTTATTGAAGGTGAATTTCACTAAGCACTGTTTTGCAGCTGATGCTGGTCATTCGAACTGGCTGGTGGTCTAACATTTGTTAAGTCCTTTCACGTGCAGTTATTTCGTATTTGCAGGCCAATTTTGTTATTCCTATCATTGTCAACAATTCTGAAGTTGACCAGCCATCTCCTGCTCTGTATGAAATGCTTACTGAAACCACTGAGCTCCATATATATCTGGAGTAAGAACTTGTGTCCAAAAAAAAAGTGAAGCTAAAGATGGTTGAAATTGACATCCAGTGCCAGTCTATTGTTTTTTTTTCTGCACTGCTAACACAAGGCTGAATGGTGTGTGCCAAAATGTTTTGTTTTGACGACAATTTAGACACTACTAAATGTGCTTTTTTAGCTGGGAATATAGTATGAAACAACTGGAATTAGCTGGGAAAATAGTATGAAACCTTTTATGACCATCATAGATTTTGAGTGTCAGTTTCTGTCATTTTGGCTTCACTCTTCTCATTGGCTGAATGACTGAACTTCTTGCTCCGGGTACACAACAGAGCTCACTGACTGGAACCCACAAGTGTCAAAATAAGGGTGCTCCTACCCAAATGTCAGAAACATCTAATTGAAGTCAACTGATGTATGGCAAGGCCTCATGAGCAATTTTAGCACACAACTTCCTGGACCAATCCACTTGAATGAACCTTCTTTCTTTCTCTCTGGACTATCGCAGGTCAACACATACTCATAGTCATAGTAGTCATCCTGGAAAATGCTCAGGCCTTTATATTTTAGGTTCCAGTCAACACTTGTGAAGCCACCTTCTTTCAGGCTCAGAATCTTCAATGTGATTACAACGAAGAACTCATCATCGTAGTTGAATTTTCGGCGTAAAGACAACTGCATCCTATAACCGCATGCCCAAAATGGTTGCGAATGCAATCTGGTTAGAGCCTTTAGAATTTCTTTGTCTGGCATTTTCCATCGGAAGTGAACAATATCTGCCTTCTGTGTTAATCGCTCGTCAGGTGCATCAATGGTTATCAACGCGTTATCCAACACCTCATTAGGGAGAGCAAGATAATGGACCGCCTTGAGATAACATTCATTAAAATTTGCCATCTGCTTGGCTATTGGATGATGCTGGACAACACTAAGTAGGTAGGTGGTAGTCAATAATTCAAATCTAACAACGGACAACAGACGGGAGGCAGACAGAAGTTCAGGCTCGAGTTTGGGAATATCCTTCGAAGCATCCTTGGCAAATATGGCATTGTTTTTGATCCAATGCATCAAGGCATGAAAAACAACATCCTCGCATGAAACAATCAGCTTATCACTGCCGAGCAAAAGAGTTAAAAAGGGTTCCGATAAGTTCTCAAAGCTTGATGACTCCCATTTCTCGTCCAATGGTTGGAACTTCTTCGTCAAGAAGTCCTGTATTGTGACAATAAGGTCCTCTACATTAACCATGCGATGTTCCACTTTGACCACATTATAGATCTCTTCGCAAAGTTTGACCGATTCAACTTTAGTTTTCAACACATATTTGCATTTTCGAAATACAAACTTGGCATCATATTTATCGGCCAGGACTAGAATCTGTATGAGTTCACTGACTGGACGATTGTTCAATATATCCAGACTGTACATGGCCCCTATCAGATGCAAATGTGCAGCTTCCTCAGATTTGGGTATTTTCAAATGGACCTCTTTCAAATGCGACTCTTTCAGCCCGGAGTAGAACAATGCGCGGAAATAGTTACTGTGTACAGACAACCACGAACTATGGGCGAAAATTTTATGCTGCGCAATAGCTTGCTGTTTTTCTGGGGGGATGCCATCTTCAACCTTGTACTTGCCTTCAAACTCGTGGTCCGTTTTAGATACTTTTCTATTTCGCAGAGTCATAACTCTATCTGAACTGGCTTTTCGCTTTACTGAAAAGGGCTTCCTTTTCCCCACAGAACTGACAGAAACGTTCAAATCGGCAACTGAGATTTGTTTCTCGGTAGCTTTGGACATAGCTCGCGTACAGACACTGGAAGAGCACGCAACTTCGTCGTTTAAATGTCGCTTTTCTTGCTTCATAACACACGATTCCGGGTTTATTTCGTCTTCAATATTATCATTAAAAACGTCTAACACAAGTATTCTATCATGCATTTCTGGTCGGTTAAATTCGGCCGCATAAATGATCGAAAACTCTTTGAAATCGTTGAACGTAAACTCGCTCGTGGCCGCCATGTTGTTGTTTAAAACAGCACGTGTTTGTTTACCGCCCTTTGGCGCGTTCCGCAATAACCACGTCTACATGAAGTATGGTTGATTTGTCTTATGCAATCTTTAATAAAATGGAGAACGTTTTAGTGCGGTTTTTGACTTAATTTTATCGAAAACTCTTTAAAACTGCTCCCGATTGCAGCGATCTGTGTGTTATCCAACCAAGGAAGGTTTATTTCAATAGTAGCAAGCTTTACCGGCCCGCAAAATGCAAAATGGAAGCAATCCCAGGCGATCAATGAGTCACATTGACCGTCACCGTAGCCTTCAGGGCGAACATGGAAATGACATAGATTCACCATTACAGCTGTTCACCAAAGCAAAGAGCAAGATCAACAAAACTTTTCAGGAAATAACGGGATACTTGGAAGAGGCATCTAGTTATCTGGAGGAAAAATGTTATATCTCTGAGGAATTTGTGGATGAAGTTGATAAAAGTTCGAATGAGGTATTGTACATTACATTTACAGACTGCAGTCCATAATATTGGATTGTGATTATTGAGTACAATTCCCATTAAATTGAAGTCTTTTATGGTTTAGACAGCAAACTTTTCATGCTCCAAACCTAATCAAATCCAATATATATAGAATAAATTGCACTATATCCCAGGACAAAAATGAAAGTGATATTTTAATGAATGAGACAGTTCTATTCAGTGCTAGCTTAATTATGGGAGGTGGTTGTGTACTTCAATTGATCTATGTGGGAGGAAACTCTGTTCTCTGGAACAGTGTTGAATTACACACTAGCTACTTTATTATTTTTCTGTCTAACTGCAGATAATTGTACTTGTCAAGCTAGGAAAAGCACTGGTGCTCAATGGGTTAATTAGACCATATGCCCATGTGTCTAGTTAACTCATTGGGCACTAGTGCACTGCACTTCACAAGTAAAATTATCTGACTTTAGACAGAGTAAAATAGTAAATTGGGGTGCAATGAGTCTTATGTAAGTCGCGACTTATTTTGTCACGTATAAATGGCCCTAATGGGTCTACTACCCATTAAGCAAGTGACATTTCTTTAGAAACATGTACGGCAATAGAGCCAATATAAATGTTGGCAGTTTTTGCTTGAAATCAATTTTGTCTCGCATTTATGATTTCAAACAAGAACAACTATCGCTATCACTTGCCTATTATTATGGCTTGATTCACTTCCGGTTGGTGGAGATGTTGTCAAAAACACTTGCTTAAGGCCAAGTAAAAAAAACTTATGTTTCTCGTCCGGATTTCTGCCAAAAAGCAGGGAAGCGGGGCATTTTTAAATTTTTTTTTTCTTAGCCAAAGTAATAAGCTTTCATACAGTTTAGTAAGAAAAAACATGCAATATTAAAACCATTGTTTAAATTTTGTTTAAATGAATATGCAGCCAAGCACGGCGAAGCATGACAAGCATGCTGTGAGTTCGTGGCGGTTTGTCGCCGTTGAATTTGGTCAGCGGATAGGATTTTGAATGAGCCCACAGTAGTTCCAGATTAATACTTCAAGTTAGCTTCAAGTTATCAAAAAGAAAGTTCAAAAACATGAAGCAAAATTTGTAGAGGAAAACCAGCAAAAAAAAAGGAAGCGGCCAAGAAAAAGGAAGCGGGCAGTGACGAGAAACATATATATTTTTTTACTTGGCCTAATCTCTGATATCTTCCTAATTATTGTGTACTGTATAACCTTGTTTTATGCAGGTCAAGGGCTATCTCAGTCAAGTTGCAGGAATCACAGAAGTGCTCAGCAGAGACAACATGAAAGTGGCGTTCTTTGGTCGAACAAGTAATGGCAAGAGTACTGTTATTAATGCCATGTTGCGAGATCGTATCTTGCCAGCAGGGATTGGCCACACAACAAGTTGTTTCCTTAGCGTGAGCGGAGCTGAAGTGGATACACCGTATGTTCTTACTCCTGACTCTAAAGAACAAAAAAATATTCAGGTAAATAAGAGAATTATGTATTCACAGACCTAGAGAGGCACTGTTTCTTATGTTCTTATTAAATAGATGCATTCAGGGTCTTAGCTAGGATTTTAGATCTTGGGCGTGTTTCTAATGACCAGGGCGTGAACATGTCAATTACCTTGAATAGCAAAATCACGGTTCTAGTTATGCTCGCCAACAATAATGCTTGTGATTGTTCTTTGCTAATTTGCAACCAAATACAAGGCGAGCATACACTCATACTTCGCACTGACATTAAAATATTAAGTTATTTCAGCAACTCTTGGGGGTATTTAAAACCATTTTAACACCATACAGTTCCCATTATCCATCAAAATATTAAAACATTACGAATCACTTTTGCCAATTCAAAAACAACAGTAGATTATACAAACTTTCTTACGACGTAAATAGGAAGAAATTGAGTCTGAAATTCTGTCTGTTGTAAGTGGCACCACCTTATTTTATAAACCTACACGGCCTTATATAAATAATGAAGCCGCGTTCATTTTATCTAGCCGTGTTTTTCCGCTTTCGGCCGCGATAACACGGCCAACACGGCCCTCTAGCTAAGACCCTGGATGCATTATTATTATCAGAGAGATGCTCATGTATTTGAGCGGTTTCCATATTAGAGAGGTGTCTGTATTAAAGATGTGTCTGTATTAGGAGGTATCTGTATCAGAGATTGTCCATATCAGAGAGGTATATGTATTAGAGAGATGTCTATATTAGAGAGGTGTCTGTATTAGAGGTATCCGTATTAATTAGAGAGGTATATCTGTATTAATAGAGAGATGTCCCTATTAGAGAAATGTCTATATTAGAGAGGTGTCCATATTAGAGACATGTCCATATTAGAGAGGTGTCCATATTGCCTGATATTGGAGAGATGTCCATATTAGAGAGGTGTCCATATTGGAGAGATGTCCATATTAGAGAGGTGTCCATATTGGAGAGTAGAGCAGTGTGCCGGAGCTCCAGCATATTTTGCCAGAGCCGGCATTGGAAAACTCTGGCAGACAAAATTATGAAAAATTATTTCATATTTCAACGAACATTTGGCATTAAATGGGAAAATTAAGTTGTTGTTTACTAATATATTACTATTTATATGTTGTTTTACTATATATTACTATGTGGTTTACTATTAATAGTGTTGTAAAAAGGTTTTTAAAAAAGATAAATTCTGAAATTACACTGAAATACTTTCGCCTGCTTCCACTTTTAAATATGGAATTTCCTTAAAAATGTCTTGCCGGACCCGGAGCTAAAATAATCGGAGTTTGCACAGCTCTGTTGGAGAGATGTTCATATTAGAGAGGTGTCCATATTGGAGAGATGTCCATATTAGAGAGGTGTCCATATTAGAGAGGTGTCCATATTAGAGAGGTGTCCATATTGGAGAGGTGTATGAATTAGATAGGAATCCATATTAGAGGGATGTCTGTAGAGACGTGTCCATATTAGAGAAGTGTTCATATCAGAGAGATGTCCATATTAGAGAGGTGCCCATTTTGGAGAGGTGTCTGAATTAGAGAGATGTGCGCATTCGAGAGGTGTTCATATTAGAGAGGTATACATAAGGAGCTTTGACTGTTTAAGAAGTCATAGGTCAGGGTGTGTCTGACTACAAAGTTATCCTTACTCATTTTAACACATCCTAACTTGGCCTTTGTTCATTCTGTAGTCACTAAGCCAGTTGGCTCATGAGCTCTGTCAAGAAAAGTTAGATCCCAGCAGCTTGATTCAAGTCCATTGGCCAAAATCAAAGTAGGTCCAACATCTTTTTATACCAAAATTATTTAACGACAGGCCTTATGTACTCATGATGCTTAACTCATTAAGTTGCATTGTGCCCTAATGCAACATATTTTAACTGTATTTTACTCTGCCTAATGCCAGACAATTGTACTTCTCAGGGATGGAGCACTGGCGCTCAATGTGTTAATGTGTTGATGACATAAACTACAGTATACCAATAAAAATTTCAATACCCTAATGTTTTTCATGAAATTTTTAAGGTGTGCATTACTTCGGAATGACATTATCCTTGTTGATAGGTATGTTAATTGAGCCATTTGAGCAGTTCTGTCCAGGAAATATTTTTCAACTTATACTTTCTTTTCATTGCTATAGTCCAGGTATTGATGTTAGCCCAGATTTGGACAGTTGGATTGACAACTACTGCTTAGATGCTGATGTTTTTGTCTTGGTTGCGAATGCAGAATCAACTTTAATGGTTACAGTAAGTGAATGAACAGCTCTTATCATGTTTGAAGTTGGAGAAGGTGAGCAAGCTTTAGTAATTCCTTGATGTGATCATTTTGCAGGAAAAGAAGTTTTTCTCAAAAGTTAACCAGAAGTTGTCAAGGCCAAACATATTTATTTTGAATAACCGCTGGGACGCATCTGCATCGGAACCATTTATGGAAGCGGTATGTCAGATAAATACAGGATATTACATGGTGGCGCGAAGATATATGACTTTTATCTTCGAGTAGTGAAAACAATATTTTACGAAACAAGCGCAGTGAGTGAGTAAAATATTCTTTTTAACACGAGAAGATAAAAGTCAGATCTTCAAGCCACTGTGTAATGTTCTGTTTATTATATAGTCCCAAGCAAAAAAATGTGAAATTTCACGCTCAAAAGCAAATTGTCAAATTGTCACATGATCGATATCTTCACTAGTGAATATATGGAAAATATCTCACTGTGTATTTTTCAGTATCTCACTATATAATAAATGTGGATATGATCATATGAAAATTGTATTTATATAAGAGATCAAGGGTACCTAGCTATGAATTTTTTTTGTACAGGTAAAAAACCAACATCTGGAAAGAACAGTAAACTTTCTTGCAAATGAACTACAGTGTGTGGAGAAATCTCAAGCTGAAGATAGAGTATTTTTTGTATCAGCTAAAGAGGTACCTGGTGGTTGTTTAAGATCCTGTCAGAATCGTAAACAGGATTCTATCAGTCGCATCAGACTTTGTTCACTGGTTCTTAATAACAGCAGGATTGTAAATTGGGATCCTTAAGGCTCATGGGAGAAGATTTTTATCAAGATTTAGATCGTATATTCTTGTCAGGTTCCTTAAGCGTGGTTTCATTTAAGATACAGTAACTTAAAGATCTTGTTAATATCCTGTTGAAGATTCCTACCATGAATGTACAGTTAGTCATATTTTATCTCTTGTAGACTTTAACGAAAAGGATACAGGAAAACCAGGGAATGCCTGATGCAGGTGTGGCAATATTTCATCATATCATATAGTCAATTGTCCAATAAGAAGACTAATACTAATCTATATATTTATTATATATATATATATAGTATATAATACAGGTATATATTAATTTTCAGGAGCGGCTATCCATGCTGAAGGATTCCAAGCGCGTCTCATGGAATTTGAACATTTTGAAAGAAAATTTGAGGTAAGCAGAACACACAATTTGTTAACTTGTTGACTGAAATCTGACGCTAATGAAAAAGATTTTTCTTTAGGAATGTATTTCAAAGTCTGCTATTCAGACAAAGTTTGAATCTCATGCTGTCCAAGGTATGCAGACTACAGGTTTAGTGAGGAAGATTATGGAAAAAATCGAAGCAAAATCCAAAGCGGAAAGGTAGAGTACATTTATTATTCATGTTAACTCAAAATTTGGTTATATTTCTGTGTGTAAAATGATAAGAAAGTATTTTTCCAGTATAGACGATTGAAATTGATTATGGTTTCAGTGACAAACTTATGTTTGCAAATCGTCTTGAATCGCCCGAAGTCTCTTTAGCCCTAAATTGCCTTTAAGTCACCTTAAGTCGCTACTACTTTCCTCACTTGTTTTTTAATTGCTCGCAATCTTTTTGCGTCGCCCAAAGTCACGAATGACAATAACTGCTGACTCAGTTGTATGAATACAGAATCCTACTCAGGTGAGCTTATAAACAGGCCCTTTAGAGAAGTTTTTTGTTTGTTCTAGATCAAAGTGTATAGAAGAAAAGAGTGGTTGGGAGGAAAGGCTGGCAATGATGAAAGAAAAACTTGATCTCATCAGCCATGAATGCAAGAATAAAATAAAGGAAATTAAAGAGCAAGTTGAACACCAGGTCTGTTTACATGCAAAGATTTGGGGCGAACGTCTTGACGCTTTATAATAATTGACCACAGTTTGTTTTAAATTGAGGGGCTCGAGAAGTCTCCATGGACCTAAAGACGAAAACAGTTCATCAATGTTAGAGTTAACCAGTATAAATTAAGTTCGTTTAGTTTTGTTTTCCATCAGAGCATTTTGATGTGAACTCTATCATCCACGTATATGTTTCAGGTAGCTCAAGCCATGAGTGCTGAGATCAACCAGTTGGAAATATTGGTTAACCAATTCGATCATCCATTCCACACACATTCTGGATTTATCAGAACTTATAAACGGGAGCTGCATACCCATATTGAAAATGGCCTCGGTCGAAATCTTACAGCAAGGTGTGGATCAGCTCTGTCTCAGTCTATTGAAGAAACCAATAAATCAATGACAGGTACAATAAGACATTCAATGTTTTATTTGGGAGTCATTTTTCACTTTTACAGTTTCACTTGATATCAAAGACGCAAAAATCAATCCCTCCAGTTGTTGACATACCGCTTTGAACAACATGTTTGGATTACAGTTACACAGAGAAAAGTTCAAATTTGACTTCCACCACCGACTCTCTCTATTGTATCTTGTATAAACAACTACTTTGGAGTTAATTTTGGTTTTTCTACATTTTTAGACCGACTGGTTGCTCTTTTACCACCAGAATATCCCCACGAAGTGATGGAAATATCAAATTCCAGGTATGTGTCTTGGGCATATATCTTACAATAATACTTTAATAAGTTTCGTTATTCTGTCGTTTATTTACAGTACATTTGTACCAAGTATTGTTACTTTTCATTTTAGACACGAGTTTGAAGTATCCTATCAAATGGATATTCACAATATCTGTTCAGATTTTCAAGAGGATTTACTATTTCATTTTTCTCTTGGTTGGCGGACAATGTTAAGAAAGTTTCTGGCTCCATATAACAGGAGATTGGCAATTGTACTGGGAGCAGATGTAGGTTAATACTTAATAGTCCATTAGTCACATAGTGTAAGACTATTGTCATATAGTCACATAGTGTAAGACTATTGTCAAAACTATAGTCGTATAGTCCACGACTATAGTCATATAATCCAAGACTATAGTTATATAGTCCAAGAATATAGTCATATAATCCAAGACTATAGTCATATAGTCCAAGAATATAGTCATATACTGTAGTTTAAGAATATGGTCGTATAGTGCAAGACTATAGGTAATGACTATTGAAGTTCAGGTCGAGATTTTTATTATGATTAACAGACTATAATATTCTTTAAACTGCATTAAGCAGATATGAACATCTAGAGAATAGCTTCTGTACTTAAATTAATAAAGTTATTCATTTTCCAGCTACCAGTTAGTAAACCAAGCAGTCCATTCAACCCTCAATACAGAAGACATGATTTCCCATCAACTTCCAGATCTCCTCCCAGGTATTCTATTGTGTACAATGTGTTGTCTTTTGTGGTTTTTCCATTGATTGTTGTCTACTGTTCGTTGTCTCCATTGTTTTTTTCTATTGTCCATTTTTATGATCTACTATATATTGTTTATTGTCCGTTGTTTTTTCTCAATTGTTTATGTCCATTGCCCATTGGCTGTTGTTATATTTAGAGAGTTAAGGCTTTGTGTCGACAAACGCCGGCCAAAGAAAAAATTTACGCTATAAGGCAATAATGGACTTGTAAAGCAGCAAATAAACTTTTTGTTTTAAAACTGTAATGCATAATTATTCTTTTGACATAAGAAAAAAAAATAGAAAGTGAACGAAAATTCTGCTATCGAATTCATGTCCATAAACCATTGTCCATAATCTGTTGCTTATTTTCTATTGCCACTTTACTGTGTTCACATTGTTTACATGTATAATACCATTCAATGTATCTAGATCTTTATCTGACCATGATGAAGGCGAAACCATCACACGACGTCGTAGTGACGAGATGTTGAAAGACGATGAAGTCACGTTGGCGGTTATCCGTAATATTGCCTCGTTGTCATCCAATAGCGCCACTGGGATTGTTATTATTGGCGGACTGGTGAGTTGTAAATGACATTGGCTAGCTTCATCGCAGTAACACTGTTTTTTGGCAGTTATTTGAAATAAGAATATTTCGATAGACTTTCAAAATGGTATGTCTTCAGGTATGGCGAATGGTCGGTTGGAAATTGATTCTTGGTTGTGGAGCTTTATACGGTTCACTTTACGTCATCGAAAGACTAAGGTGGACCAATTCGGCAAAGGAGAGAACATTTAAGAATCAGGTATAGTGGATGACTGACGTGTAAATTTCTTGGTTGATTTAATGTATATACTTTTCGCTTCAGTAACCAGCTTGGTTCATACGTAATTTTAGTACGCAGTGATAATCAATTTTGTGCAGTGATAAATTGAACGTGTGCAGTGATAAACCGTAAAAACGTGCAGTGATAACATGTTGTGATCTTTATCTTGCAATGGATTACTTTTAGTGGCCAAGCAGGGCTGTATTTTCAGTCAATCTAAAGTTTGTCGCCTGCAAATTGTTCTCGAGGGTACCAGTAATCTACGGACTGGCAGACCCCCGTATTGCTTAATCAAGGAAATTTCACTTCCTGCAACATGTGATTATCAGAAGACCGGTTTGACTGTATCTCACCTCGGTGCTGGGGTCCCCTCCTGTAGGAACACTGAACCGATGAGGGATGGGAAGAGTTGAGACCTGATAGAGTTATCAGTATTAGTTATTGACAAATAAAATTTGTTTTAGTTTGTATCCTTTGCCGCTGATCGTCTTCAACTGGTCGTCAGTATGACAAGCTCTAACTGCAGTCAACAAGTTATGCAGTAAGTAAACAACAATGAAGAATTTTAGACTTTTGTACCTCGACGATACATGCATAAGGGACGTGTTTCCACAACTGGCCATTAAGATTTATATTTCCTAACTATTTCAGGGAGTTATCGTCGACATTCATTAAGTTGTGTGATCTTGTGGACGCAGCAAAGAAAAAGGTCGAGAATGAGATTTCTAAACTGAGTGAGAAAATTGCTGATTTAGAGAAAGCTGAAAGTCAAGCTCGTATTTTAGGGTTAGTATAACAATTAAACACTCCCCATTTTCTCTGGTACTTCTGTTTCCCCTATTGTGGTATCACTAGACCAACCAAGGATGGGCCTTATAATTACTGGACCTGTAACGAGAACAGTTTGGAATTTTAAATAGAGCGGTCCAGTATAAATAAAGTTCTAGAGAGAACAGTTTATTTTAGGCATAAATAGTATAGCTGTCCAGTATAGATAAAGTTGTAGTCTCTATACTAGATTTAATTTACACTGGCTTCCTCAATTTCCAGGAACAAAGCGCGCTGGTTAGAAGATCAGTTGAGCAACTTTATTCGTGAGTTTGGTTTAACAAGGAGTAAAATTTAACCTGAGGCTACTTGGACAGGAGGTGCGTAGCACATGGAATTATATGGTATTTAAAGATATACTGTAGTATACTGTAGGCATCCAGCATGAAAATATTTATAAAATGTCTGATTGTTTTAATCTTGTATTGCCGCTATACTATGGCTGTTTTAGCTTAGGGATTTTCAAAACTAGTACCATTTACAATTGTCCATAATCACTGTGCCAATAGAAGAGACGAAAGAAAAACTAAAGACATATTTATAATTTGAGGATGCTATGTACGAATAAAGTGAATGACATAAATGACTTTATGCATTATATTGGCAAATCATTTTGGGTAAGAGAGATACAATTACATGAAAAGTATAATGTTCGATGTTTCAAAAAGGTTAAGCCTGCTGCCCACGAGAAAAACTTGCTGAGCTAACCGCCTCGCGTGGCAGCTACAATCCTGGCAAAAATTATGTGGACACCTAACTTTCCTAACGCCAATATTAACATTGAGACGTTCTTTCGTGAAATTTGTCACCCCCTGCCCCCTATTCAATGTTGTTTCTCGCATTCAAATTTTAAAAGTTTCATTTACCAACATTGAGTTGGGGGTAGGAGGGGGAGAAATTTTCTGGCGGATTAATTATGTAGAAATATATCTATTTTTGTTTGACGCACGCGCTGTCCACGATAATTTTTGCCAGGATTGTAGCTCAGCAAGTTTCTCTCGTGTGCACATAATTTTCGTGAGGATTTGACTTCTCGAGGCCTTGAGGAAAATATCTATTGTGTTTGATATTTTTCACCTCGCGAGGAAAAATCTCAACGTCTGCGGATATTGCGAGCTTAGTGCTGAGCTGCTTGAATCAATTAGCCAATGAGAAACCATAGTTTCTTCATGTGACGTTGAACAAAACGATTTTGTCAATTATGTGAGTTTTTTTTCTGTGTTGGTGTAGTGTACTCAGGTGAATATGATACTTGTGGTGTTACTCTGAGTGTATATCCACACCGGGCGAGCTTGAAAAATATGCCCGGCCACGGTGGGATTCGAACCTACGACCTTTGGAATACTAGCCCAATGCTCTTCCAACTGAGCTACGCGGTCAGGACGGTTCGAGTAAGTGATATTTCGGAACAGAATCTAGTTCCTTCGATACCAATTATGTTGTTGTTGAGCAGTTTTCCAACGTGTGCGGTGAAAATGCATAGCTGAGCTAGCCGAGTCGGTTAGCTCAGCAAGTTTCTTTCATGTGCGGCAGGCTTTAAGAACATTCTTTAAGGGGAATGCGATAGAACGGTGTACGGTGTAGTGTGCTACTGCAAAAACGTCTTGGCATATATAGTATCGTACAGAAGCATTAGATATATATAGTTTACGGACTAATTGTCCCTCAGGCTTGTGAATGAATTTAAATATTTCTAAATATTCGACATAAAAACAACGGGTATATATTTTACAATTCCAAATACAATAATATTCTACTCTCTACTAACTAAAATACTCAATTTTCGTCATCTGTAGTTGCTAAATATTCCAATGTCAAAGTCTTACTCCTTTGTTTATGCTTTCTTGCATCATTGTTACCCACAATGCTTCCTGAAGCCGATTCCTCGTCCCCAGACCCCGCTTCTGTCTCTTGGTTCAGGGAACGATCATTGACAACATCAGTTCTTGAGTCATCTGTTTCAAAGCCAAATTCCGCATCCTGATTGACTCCTCTGATGTACTTTTCTAAGACAATCGTATCTGGAGAAACAGGTTCAGGAGATTGTGTTTCTTCAGTGCTACGTTCCTCCACTGAAACAAACAAAACAAGCCAGTGTAATTATACATTTTATTATTATTATGCATGCATAAAATACCTTATTGTAGAATTGATCATTGTATAAAGAGTTAAGAATACTAAAGAGTGTAAAGAGTGTAAACACAAGACAAGCTATTCAGACGAACTTACAGGATACCTTATTATGGGAAATTAGCGATGCACTTTATTAACGCGGATTTTAAAAATTTGCGTTAATTTAATTAATGTTAATTTATGTTATCGTTAATTTCAAGCATGCAAATTTTAGTTATCGTTAATTAAAAAGACCTTGATTTGTTTTATATAACACGAACTCCTTTAACTCAAAATACATCATATTAACCTCAAAACAAAAACATCAGTCCACCTTTTCACTGTCACTGTCAGAATCTTAAGCTGAACTATATATTTATATACATTGGCTTAAATGACTGTAACCTTTAACGTTACAGTCTTGACATATCTACTCGCGTACTGTTTTAATTGGTAGTATATAATATTATACTTTTGCTGTTTTGTTTAGATTCTTCGACTCGCGTTAGTTAAATTAACTTGTTAACCTAAACTGTCAGATTCGCGTTAATTTAATCAGTTTTAGAAGTACCTGAAAGCAATTCGCGTTAATTAGATGACACGTTAATTTATGTCGCGTTAATAAAGTGCATCGTTAATTTCCTATAATAAGGTAACCAATTTAGCATATACTTGGGAGGTGGATAATGCTTTTCACGCAATTTGATTGGTCGCTCAACTCTGGTTGGAACTTTTGTTAGAATCATGAAACCGAAAACAAAGTTAACTTTGTGGTTTGGTGTGTTAAGAAATTGTCAGATAGGAACCATCACTGGGTATGAAGAAAAATAGAAAATGTTTTCGTCATGTAAATTCCCCCACCCACTGCTGTTTGCGCTTATTGTATAAAGACATAAATAATTAACACAATGGACTATAATCACTATATTATGGGGGAAAATAGTGGTGAAAGAAGAATTGTCCAAGTACCGCCATTAGTATCCGGTTTCATTCCATTCTCTGATAGATTTCCAACTCTGTCTGACAAAGCAATTAGACAATCAGTTGCTAATTTCCCATCCAATTCCCATCCAAATTTAACCAAAATTTAGGGACTGGTCATAATTTATCAGGAGGGTGGGGAGGTGTAATTCAAAATTTTAAGGAATGATATTTTGTGACCCTGCTTTTCCATAACCCGGAAAAATAATGCCCCCCCCCCCCTCTCTTATGTGAGAAGAACAAAATGTGAGAAGACATGTATAAAACAATTGATTGAACTAAAACAGCAGACTCCCTCCCCGCCTTCATAAACTGTCTAATATTTTATGAACCCCCTTTTTCCTGGCTAAAAAATATGTGACCCCCCACTGTTTCCACCTCCCCACCCCTCCTGCTAAATTATGACCAGTCCCTTAATCAATTTGTCCTTGGGCCGTGTCCATTAGTTCCAAGAATTTTTGTATTAATACGTTTGATATGTTTAAGTTATCTTGCTCACAGACAAACACGTACACACATACCAACGCGGATAAAAATACAGCCTCCTGGCGGAGGTAATAATGACTAATTAAGGATGAATTACTTACGATCACTTGAACCATATTCTCCGCTGTTTCCACTAGAACCTTCCTTATCATCACCAGAATAATTCTCCCAAGATATTCCACTTGATTCGTAATCGCTCTCTTCTAGTCTGATAATATCTTCAGTCGGCTTTATCTTCTGTAATCTTGAAGATTTAGTAGTTGTTTCATTGTGTTCGACTCCGGCAGACAAAGTTGAAATTTCCGTTGCCAAAGTTTTAGATGTCACCGTTGGAAATTCCCTTGTCAATGTTGAAAGTTTCAGTGACAAAGTGGACGTTTTCTGTGTCAAAGTGGAAGTGATTCCTGGTTCGCCAATAGTTGTTGTTGTTGTAGTAGGTTCCGCTCTCTCGGGAGCTTCCGTTTCCAGTTCCACGGGTCCCGACTTCCCGCTAAAGTCAATTACTTTGGTAGTGGAATTCTTCCCATTATTTACCTCGCGTTGTTGTGTTTGGTCGTCGTCACCGCTACCATCATCATTGTCTCCACTATTTACCTGAATTAGAGGCAAATAAATAAACTTTCCAAAACATCTCAAACATTCATTTTTATATTAAATACGGACACTAAAAATGATCTACGTAATTTGGTTATTCAGGCGAACTTGCGGGAATTATACATGGAAGAATTGTATCTTTCCTTGCGCAAGTCTTCTCGTCCAAGATGACTGATGGTTCGTCTCTAGACGGATTTAAATTGAGCCATTTCAATCGGGCGACTGACACAAAAACGAAAACGAGAGGGCACTTAGAGACTCAATATCTCCTTGTGAAACTCGTCAACAATTTATGAAGAAAACACACAAGAAATCATGACCGTGAAGGAGTTTGTATATCTGATACAAAATCATGTTGCGAGCTTGATTTACACAGTACAACTCAAGTTGTAAGCAGGTTGCATGCGACAGTTTTAGGCAAACGTTGTGTGTTGTAAATAGATCTTTACCTTTGACCAATAGGCTTCGTCGCCATCACCGCTATTAACTTCTAATCTTGGCACACTCTCACCATCACCACTACGATCCTCGCTCTGCTTTTCTTCCTCATCATCTTTGCTTTCCACATCCCCCTCTCTCTCATCGTCATCGTTACTGAACTCTTCTACATTCTCGAGATTGGTCAACTCCGTATTGTCCTTCTGAGTTTCTTCGCGTGCCTCCCCACCCTCGCCGGACCCGCTCGATCGTGACTCGTCCTCTGTATCCCCCTCATCGCTATCTATGCTAATGAATTGGGAACGGGATGTCTGTGTTTGTTCTTCGTAGTTTGAAATGGCTGCCGGGATACCGATTTGGAGCGGACAAGGTTGGTTGTCGCAGAATACCACACCATTGTGACACACACTAGACAAGACAGAGACGTGTTTCTTAAGCCCCTTTTACACTTGCAATTTTGGCTACGATTTCTATTGCCATTTTCTTCTTTTGATGAAAGTGAATGAGTTACGAATGTTTATATTAGACGACGGTCCATATACTCAAAATTTCATAACTCATCTACTCCCTCGCATGCATCAGAAGAAGAGTAAACAGTTGAACTCTGTAGCTTAAAGCAGATAATAGAGACTGAGGTACCACTATCTCTAATTGGCTTACTACGCATCTGATTGGTTAATAGTCCATTAATGGTGGCTCTTTCTTAACGTTAATAGTTCCGTCAGTTCGTGCTCTCAATTCCTACCATATGTTGCAATCTTTGCGGAATTTCTCCTTGTGTTTATATGTTTCACCTTTGTGTGAGCAAACTGAAAGGAAAGAGTAAATCATTTAATCAATTCTGTCGTTCCGGTATGCTGAGCTACATTCCTTGACGAATCCGTTCACTGACCTGTATCGATTATTGAAAAATCTGGATGGTTTGCGTTCTCCATTATTCCGCTTTCAGGTTCTGTAAGATGAAATTCAGTACTGTCGATCTTTTACAAACCAAATTGGAATAACCTTACTGGATATCTATCAGTACTGAACTGTTCTCCCTAGTAATTCTAAACTCTAATTTTTTTTTAGTAAGAGTCGTCCTTTCATTAGTGCAAAACTACTACAGGAGGAAAGTAAGGGGCTGTTCATATGGGTCAGGCTATTGAATGAACATAAACTGTTACTGGAATCGAACTAAGCTAATTCAACTTTGAAATCTCATTTAGGATGTTTATCAAAGCCGTGATAAGTTAACTGGGCCAGCTCGGATCCATAATAACATCTATTTCTAGTGGGATAATTATATCAGTTCTAAACTGTTCAATGCCTTGTCGGTACTGTGCGGGTCAAATTGAAGCTAAGTTACAAATTTAATCAGCTGTCATCATATATCTTATCACTCAATGCTTTTAGAATTTATTGGAGAAAGGGCTGTCCTTTTTGTGTCTGTCCCTGGAGAAAGCCCTTGTTCGTATGCAGTGAGGTCATACTTTTGTCGTTTATTTTCATGCATTCGCCTCTGTTGGGAATATGCAACTGTATGTCTCCATCCATGATGATTTGACACGCGTAGTTTGTGGGGCAACGTAGCGGTTGTAGTCCATCTAAAACACTTGTACTGCACGGCTCTCCTGAAAAATGAAACAAATTTGTTGGTACACAAATCGAGATTTTATGAGAAATCTTAAAGCTCTTGATGAAATTGTCTCTTTACCTCTCGATTTCCAAGGTCCATTTCTCTGATCTGGTGATTCAGAACCATCTGTAATTTGGTATATTTTAAACATGATCATTACTGCTAAAATACTGTCAAGTAAACTATCGTTACATAGATAATAAGTAATAGATAACTTATGTATTCAACTGACAGAACAATAAATTACCTTACCTGATATTTGGTTCAATGAAGATGATTTTGCCCAATCTACAACTACAAGAAACAATAAAACATAATTAATTCCCCAACCAACCCATTTCCGGCCGATGGACAACGACTCAAATGTTTTGAGAATGGGGCTGATACTGCCTGGTTAAATACTTCACATGCTGGTATGTTTAGAGAAAGGTTAATATTAAGAAGGTCGTTCTAACTGTCCTGTTAAAACTAAATATTGGTGATAAGTCCGAAGTTGATATATGGAGCAGAAACCTTCGGACCACTTGGGACGATTTAGTGTGAACATTAACCAATACGAATCTTGAATTTTAGAGAGTTAAATTTCTAAAATCAGTTAACCATTAATAACTAGAAAATGGATATCTAATAAGTAGTTAGGGAAGAAACTAGTACTCGGAAGAACTGAGATTAGAATACTGCACGCAGACAGATGTACTGAAGAGAGGAAAAGAACTCTTTGAAAAGGACATAGAAATTCCATGAAAGGTAATAGAAGAAGACGGATACAAAAGATGGAAAGATATAACTGAAGTGACGACACGTGAGGGCTACTCTTCTAGCCGACCGACCAAAAACATATACTTCGGCACAATCTCGACAGTTTCCAAATATGCTCTGGCCATCTCCAAAACATTCATTTTGATGAAAGGAAACATTTTTCGCCATTTTCCATTCATGCCGGACAGTTTCAGACTCTATTTGAATTCTGAGAAAATGTATCCAGAACACATTCCAAACATTCCAAAAATATGCATATGTCATTACAAACCTCTGTTTGGAAACCACGGCTCCATGCACTTAAACGAGCATCCATCTTGACAGCACCTGTAATCTTCAGTACAATCTATATCACTGCTGCATTCATTTTGACATTTCCCATCTACACCATTCACGTTCAGAACATTGGCGCTAGGTGGGCACTCGCCATCCACGAAATTATGAACCTCTTTCAACAAGGGTAACTAATGAACATGATAGGAAGTTATTATAAGCCTTAAATAAACTCGAACACACTCATCCGGAAACATTTAAAATATCTGATATTTGCTTGAAATCTGAAACTGTTGCGGCGGGAAAACGCTTTGCTTCCTCGGAGTATAAATGCTTCGCAAATTCCTCAGTTGGCAAGCAAGGAAGTGTTGTTGCCGAAAAAATCGTAAATTTGGAGGTTTCTTTGTTTGTTTTTCCATTTGTTTAAAATACCTTTGAAGACATTTTGTTTTCCATGTTGATTTTGTTGCGGAAACGGTTAATGTTTCCTGGTTTGCTCGTTTACCTTCGGGAACCATGGCTAGGAAACATTGTTTCCTGGTTTATCCACCTTCATAAAACTTGGCTATATGCTAGAAACAATATGCTTTACCAGCAGAAATGTTCGCGAAATATAAGATAAAACACACTCAGATAGAACACACTCCGAGGATTTGAGCTATTTAAACAAGATAACAAAATTCAAGGTATTTAAGGTATTTTTGTTATCAATAGCTCGAATGTTGAGGTTACAAGATGTTAATATTCGGAGTATTTTTCATCTAGGAAGAAGGAAACAATTAATGTTTTCAGGTTTGCGCACCTTCGGTAACTCCAGATGAAGAGCCTTCGCTCGAAACGTCGAGATTCTCCTTATATTTTTCAGGTAGTTGCATCCCTATCAACGAAAGCTTGTTCATATTACTGGCACAGACAGTTCAAGGGAACATTATTTCATGGTGTACCCACTGGTTTTTCATTGCCTTGTTTTGCCTACCTTCAGAAAACAATGTTGGAACAATGTTTGGGAAATATGCCCAAGATATCACGTTCCTGCAAGAAAGTCCTTAGTTTCCCAAGGATTTCGTTATGGTGAAAGTTGAATGCATTTTCAAATGACGACCAAGAAAGCTGTTTAAATATTAATTTGTCATCTACTGTACCTTCCCCTCTCATATGGGCACGTGTCTACAGACAGATCTACTTTCTAGACAAACCCTCCTTCGCCTGCGGAGGAAGTCAATGAGACCAATGATTGCTATCGCAGCTAATTAGCTAAGCAATGACAAATGGCGCAAATTTATTATGAGAATAAGATAGGAATAAGATCTGCTGATAATATTCAGACATTTGACGTATCCGGGTATTGCCTGTTTAACAATTTGAAAAACCCATGTGGATTCATAATCCGCGCAACTATGAAAACAGCGTCACTATAGGGGAAACTAGGATTGTGTCCATAACATGTATAACTACAAAAAACATTGTTTCCTAATCATGTTTCACGAAGGTGGAAGCAGCGTTTTCGAAACAAAAATCACACTTTGAAAACAAGATATGTTTCTGAATTTGCCGAGAAGTTTTTTTTGCTCGCTGGGAAGCGAATTTTGTTTCCGCAAAAATGTTTCCAAGAAGTGGGCGAACGGGGGAACATTAAAGGCATTAAAGGAACAACAATGACTCCTGGTTTTGATTTATCCCCACGCGTGCGCATTGTATGCAAACATATTAAAAAGGGCGGTGACGTCAACATTATCAGTTGAACGTTGTCAACAATTGATGGCAGACACATACAAAGCGATAATAGTTTTAGCCATGTGTTATTCATATGATACAATTGTTACTGACCCTGACTACAGCACTTATTTTATCATTAACTCATTAGGCAATGCTTAATTAATGTTATCTCCAACATGTTACAGCTGCTACGAAAAATGGTGGTTAATCTGAACATCGATCATGCATGAATCTGTTTGTACTTTTCTTGATCAGGTTATTTGGAGCCAGTGAAAACGAAACAAGCCGTGCGTTTAACTTTGATGTTCCTCTGGTTCTAAATTTGCCTTCTCCAAATGTTCATCAAAATTTCGGATATTACGCCATAGTGTACGCAAATACAGTATAATGTATATACTGTGGTGGCCCGAAACGTCGAAGTTCTCCTTGCTATTTTCAGGTAGTTGTATCCCAATCAATCCAGAACTTTCTTATTTCTTATTGCCACCACCTACACTGGCAAAGACTGTTCGAGATTATAAAGTATATTTGACTGTATTTATGTTACGTAATTATGTATTTATTATATACCAAGTATGGTTTCTTAAAATTCTTTCATAAAGTATGTGTGAAAAACGGAAAATGTTCCTCATACTTGTTGCTAAGACAAACGTTGATCCAATTTTTCAAGACTGTTTTTTAGGCAAAATAACAGTCGAATCAATACAATATACTAACTCTTGTCTAAGTATTCACAAATTTCGTCTTCGCACAAAAATTCAGCAATACATTTTGTTTATTTTTACAGCACGCATTAGTTCATAATTCATGGTTGGTATAATGGGCTTGTTTCAAGTCATATGACCATGCGAAAATATCAATCAAAACAAATTTTCGGCTTGTCATAATTGCCTACTGGGTTTCACTCTAAAACCCCTATGCAACAGATGGTGGTCCGTCTGCAGTTATCAACGTGATAAATAATAACGGAAATAATGTTAATTATTTTCACTGTATGCAATAGTCTGTGAAATATATAGTGCCGAGAGAACCAGTTTTGTTTACTTCCTCTTTATAACTATCGACATTTCTCAAGTTCACTGTTATCGTATGCTCAACAGTAAAGGCCGATTTACAACACACAACGTTTCATGTTTGCCTAAAACTGTCGCATGCAACTTGCTTACAACTTGAGTTGTAGCTACTGTATGAATCAAGCACACAATTACTCGCCTACGACGGGCTACGTTGTCGTACGTAGATGAGTCCTGCGCGCTTGATTTACACAGCACAATTCAAGTTGTATAAGCAGAGTGTATGCGCAAAAATTGTGTAGTGTAAGTTTGCTTAACGCTTATTGGAAAATACCAACATATACTGCAACTACTCAATTATGCACTTATAGAACTTGTGCAGCATTCCAATATAGCATGCATGCGTGTACTATGAATATTTGTTTATATTTATCAGGACTTCGTGATTTTGACCGCCAATATAGAAAGTATTAACAGTCCCCTCTTTCGACAGATTTTGTCGACACAGCATTGCCTGAATTTTTACCAACAAATTCTCCTCATAAGCTTTCAACAATATTGGATTGTGGTGAACCGCACTCGACAGAAAATTGCCTTCATTACTATTATTTATGTTATATCTTGTAGTCTTGTACGTATTTGGTGGCATGTAATTGATGTGCGTTAATTTTCTTACTCCTATAATTTTCAACATTTGTGAAGTTGAGCACAATCTACTGCCCTTTAGCGATTTCTCACCATTCACCAATGTTTAGAATCAAAGCAATGGCCAAATACCTTCACGTCACCTACCGATTTAGCGCCTTCCTGTGTCGTTTCATTCTTGCGTTGAAGATGATCCGCATTTAAGCTTCTTTGGTTTGAACCAGGCAGCAGAAGCAAGGCGACCAGGAGCAGTAGGTGGATTAGCATAATTCACGGGAATTCTGGAAAACTGCGTATCGAGATCGCGCGCTGCTGTTGTTGTTGTCAGAATATACTACAGCGTCTTGGTTGCGTCTCTGCCTGCACGCTGCGCCGGACGTTGTAAATTTACGCGCAATCGGAAACATGTGCGCTCTATATGATAATCTTACGTGATAACGTTATTCATCAGCGCAATTAATTTGCGGTTACTGACGCAGTAAAACTGGACACTAAAACTGGATTTCAAACTCCAGCATTATCTATCTAGAAATCAAAGTCTTGAAATGAAATACGGATTCAATGAACAAAATGTTTAAATAGGAATTAATATAATAGATTTGTTTGCGGAAGACTCGTTGTTTAGTCAATTTGAGCGTAAATCCAGACCTTCGATCATCAGTCAACGTCGTTCTGCAAAACTGGACTGATGAGCATCCGAGGCTCCGAGCTTACAGATCGAAGTTTTCCACAAAACCATCATAGATAGATAGATAGATAGATAGATAGATAGATAGATAGATAGATAGATAGATAGATAGATAGATAGATGGAAAAACTGTATTTACTGGGCCACGCTAGCCCTGTCAACCGAAGCTGATTTCCACAGGGGGCGTGTAAGAAGAAAATCACAGTAGTAGGAAAGAAATTACAGTAGTATAAACGTAGTTACACGAATAGTTATTTACAAAAAGTAGAAATAGTACAAATAGTGTTAAGTAGTACAAATAGTATAGAAATGGGAAATAGTTGTTTATGAATAGTAGAACTATTAGTATATTTATTTATAAAATTTAGAAAATGTGAGCAGCAATATTTTTTTGAAAGCATGACAGAGATTTGCTTTCCCTAATTTCATTTGGAATAGAGTTCCATATAATAGGATTTCCACAATAAATTGATCTCAATATAAGCACTCGATCATTTCCTAGTATTATTTCCGATCTGGTTTATTTATACCATTCTGACAAATATGGATCAACACTAATTAATAAGTATCATCATCCAGAATTTGTTTATACGATAGCCTAGTTCTATATCAGACGATGTGGAAATTCGGATGGGTTTCTGGTGGTCAAAATGTACTCTGAATTAGAAAATACAGTGACAGGTTGTAACAACTAATTCTCTGTAGTATCTAGTCTGAAGTGGATTAACTAAGAAAATTTACCATGTATAAGTACTGCGTTGAAAATCACCTGAATCACCTTAAATCGTCTAAACTCACATTATCTCGCGGCAGGCGAGGTTACTATCTCAGAGCAGGCTTTTATTTGTAGCGCCTTCTGCCTTCCAGAGCAGTGCATACGAAGCGAACATTTTTATTTTCCTAAACGAAAATCTGTGAATTAATTAAGTTTCTTTTTCAAGAGTTTTCGGCTTCTGCGCCTAATTGCGTATCTGATATCTCGTATATAATGTTTTAATAAAAAGTCCAGCGGTTTCAACCGATTTCTTTCAACAATCGTGAAATGAACTGATGATTTATGGTATTTAGAAACGACTGACAAGTCAGTTGGAACATCACCAGTAGAAATTAGCTCAACTGGGAAACGTGAAAACTTGAAAATCTTCAAAACTGAGAAGTTGCTTTAAGACTTTCAGCAATGTCATTAATTTCATACGGTACTTTTCACTAAGGTTCCAAACCATAGTTATATAGTATAGGCCATGACGTTTTTCATGATGAGAAAGATATGTGTATTCCTGTATTCTGTAAACCGTAATTGTTTGGACTTGAACCTAAAAAATACTATTATTTACTTCTACTCATGCCTGATATTTTTGAGAATCAAGTTTGAGGTACAATCACAGTTAGGGGTACAATGGAATGGACTGTACTTAAATTTGGAAGACGTGAATTTAAAAACGAGAAGATATATTCCAGTATATTTTTCGACCTAAACCTAAAAGAAATTCTTACTTATCATTTCTTACGCCCGTATTCTAAAAGCTCACTCACACTCAAAGAGTGGAGGGTTCAATCTGAGCTTCCCTTGAGTGTCAATGCTGTTTTTGAATAGCTGTAGGGTTAGTGTCGTACCTTACTATGCGACTACTCACCGTCCAGCTATTCAAAAACCAAGGGTGGGTAGTAGCGAAGTAGTTGTAGTTCGCTACCGTAGCGAACTACAATTTTCAAGACTACTTTTTTAAAACAGTAGTTGTAGTTATAGCGAACTACATTTTGCCTAAAAGTAGCCAAATAGTTGACTACTTTTCAAACAGCGAATCGCTATTCGCTACTTTTTAAAATTGTTAGCAACCGTTCATAGAATAGAATGATGATAAGACACGGTTTGCTTAAAAGATTATTTTATACAGTAAAGATTATTTTAGCGCAATGAAAAGTGGCACTCCTGAACACTGTAGTGCTTATAAAAATGTTGCTTTGACCCTTTTTGTTTACTGTTGCTACTCGTAAGTCGATTTGTTATAGGTTATATTACAGCCTGAGCTAGTGGATGCTCCAAATACCGTAAAACTAAAAAATATAGAGTAGCGAAATAGCGAAATAGTTCGCTACATTTTTTAAGCAGTAGCTGTAGTCAGTAGCGAACTACCTTTGTTCAAACTTCAAAAATAGCAGTAGTTGTAGCTACATATTTTTGAAGTAGCTGTAGTTATAGCGAACTACAAAAATTTTGTAGGCAACCCACCCTTGACAAAAACAGCATTGACACTCAAGAGAAGCTCAGATTGAACCTCCACTCTTTGAGTATGAGTGAGCTTTAATTTTAGAATACAGGCGTTAGTTATGTTGCTCCTGTTTTTGATATTTTGGGGGAAACTGTCCGGAGTAAGACAGAGTTAGGCATAAGATTCAGTCTTTTTACGCGATTTAGATATGTGGGTGTTACTGGTGGAAGGTGTTACTTAATTTCAGTGCTGACTGACATATTTCATTTGAATTGTTATCGCTTGCAAGATGCCGAACGCAGTGGGGGTGAAGTTTATCATATAATGTCTACAGTATAGTCACCCTTCGAGTCGTTTGGAGAGGTATACGACATTGGCGATCCTGTGTAAATACTAATTACAACGTAAGCGGCCTCTTCAATAAATGAATGACATTTGGTGAGAAAATTGAACTTAAAGTTTATGTCGGAATCAGCATGATTCTGTATCAGATATACAAACTCCTTTACGATTTCTTTTGTGTTTTCTTCATGAATTATTAACGAGTTTCACAACATATACTGCAGCTCTGTGATTTGCCTTGATGAAAACTTTCGTGTTCTTCAATTGTCGTCAAGACATGAATAATTTCAGTAAGAAACTAAATCATAAACGAATTCTTAAGACTCGCGATCATGATTTAGTTGTTTCGGATTATTAATGAAACGACAAGGCACTATTAACAAATTAGCGCTGCATGAAGCTGCATCGTTTAATAAAAGCCTGTTGTATTTATCCAGGACAATTGGTTCGTATGAATTCACGAAAAGTGATGCGGAGATCTTGTCAAACGTGAAGCAGTGCGTCATAACGGGGGTCGTATCAGCTTCAGTTGATCCAATGGCCGGCATGCTTTCAATTCAAGGCCACAGGTCAAGAACTGAATGGCGGACAATCGGATAATTCAAAATTATGTTATTGAATGAATATGGAGGGTAGGATTGAATGCCACGCTTGCACGCCGCCTTGTTCAATATTGGATTCATGCATGCAAACACTGGCTCGAATGGGACTCTCTACCGCCTTTCAAGACGATACCGTGAACCGTGTCTTCCACCGGATGGGAGTTTGATTCCAGCTGCGATGTGCAGTTGTCTCCACTTCATAATTTCGCATCAGTCTCACGGTTAGAAGAATTAATGCTGCCAGTTTAACTCTACCAAAGACCAGCGGCTGCGAGTGTATCCACAGTTTCCTCCGACTCCGGAACTGAAGACTCTGGACCAAATAGTGATCAAAAGGGATTCAAGGGATGGTCATTACGTACTGGCCAGGAGCTCTTACGTGAGCAGTTCTGTCGACACTCTGGTATCAGTTACCAATACAGTGGTGTATCACCTCATAGAAATCGAGAGCGAGTAATCTAATTGTTTTAGTAGAATCAGAGTAAACAATCAAGTTCGTCCTCACTCCTCAGAAACCTCAGAAAAACGCGAGCTGAAGCCATTTTTAAAAAAAAATTCGCCAGGAAAATGATTGTTTTGCTACTCGCTGTCTATCGAGGAATAGATAGAGAGTAGAGTAGCCAATCAAATTAATTAATTAAAGCATTTGCAATAGTATATATAATCCCGCCCTGGTAATACGTATTGATCTCCTATATCTATGGTATTTATACATCTAGCCCGCAATCTTGGGACCAAAATATCCCGCCAAGATGAAGTACTTGGCCCGTTTGGTAGAATATCCGCTGGCTGGAAGGTGATGTGGGCTCGTAATAAATAGAAAAATATTAAAAATTTGGAACGTGGCTAGTGCTAGTAAAATTCGTTTAAAATTGTAACATTTTCCCTTTAAATTGTGTCAAAGAAACAGACTGATGGCTTTCCAAGATAGTAATGAGCAACGTGTTTTACGAGTAGATCAGGTATTGTTGTATAAATTATCATGTTTCTTCACAACGCTATTGTCGCTATTGATTAAGAATATAGCGACTAGATTCATATAATTTTGATTTTCTCTTGTTAGCTGGATGTAACATCTTATGATCAGTATATTCTTTCAATTATCCGGACTGAAATATCTAAATGCTTTAAGTATTTTCAGGTATATCTACACATTAGATACTGTAAATTGTTGATGTAATATGGCATATATTTAAATGATGATCATGTTATAGTTCTGTTGCCATCACCATAGTTAAACTCACCACTATTCATTATCATTGGCTTAGCTAAACCATGGACTACTTAGGAAATGGTTTAATGTATCGAACCCATTGCTAATAGTTCTATAAAATATTTTTAGCCAATGGATTATACAGTAAATAAATGACTACCACCACCATAGTCATCATCATACCATCACAGGGTTCGAAATAACGGTTCGTGATTCGTGAATCACGAATCAATTTTTATTTTTCACGAACCCAATTTCATAGAAATTGATCAAAATCACGAATCAAAAGTCTCTCAAATTGATGAAAATATACAATAATAAATTCAGTTCTTTGTAAATGTGACGAAGGATCATATATTCTGAAGATATTGTTGTTAGATTGTACTTAAAAACGATTATAATTCCACCCAAAATTCTATTTCTTTGCGAATTTGCGATGCTGGCCCAGTATATTATATATTTGAAAATTGCAGTGCTTCCACTTTTTAACTTCCATTGAGAGAAAATTCCTTAAAATGTCCTTAAAATAAAAAAATTAATTCACGAACCATTTTTTCAGAATTAATTCGAACCCTGCATCATCATCATTATCACCACCATTGTCACCACTGTGACCACCACATCATCACAACCATCATCAGCACCATCATCATTACTATCATCAGCACCATCATCAGCACCCATCATCAGCACCATCATCAGCACCATCATCAGCACCATCATCAGCACCATCATCAGCACCAGCATCAGAACCATCATCAGCGATGGATTTATATATTATCACTGTGATCACCATTGATCATCATCACCATCATCCAATAATCATAATGACCATAATCATCATTATGACCATCATTAACACCATCATCACCACCATTATCACCAATATTTTTTTATAAAAAACAATTATACCAAATGTTGTAATCGTAACATTGTATCCATACTGACTTATTTCAGCCAGGTCTTCTTACCAAAATTGATCCAGAATTAAAGGCCATACTGAATTTTTTAATATGGAAGGTGGGTTCTATAAACGTAACTTTGTTGAAAGTTGCCAATTTTCAAACGTAGTGACTATACTCTACAGCATACAAGTACTAGTTTGTATGTGGTACATATATTTTAAGCTTTATATTATATTCTTCTTTACAGTACTCTGTGTATCCAAATAATGCAACACTTTCTCAACAATTGCTTCAAATAAAATATAAAACATTGAGAAATGATGGTAAGTTTAAGGTAACTCAATCAAGATGTGAACTGGAAACTCTGCGAGAGTCTTTGTTCTGTCTCTTTGTTCCTGTTATAAATGCAAACTCGTGATAAAATATTTGGCATAACGATTGAAACAAGCATCCAAATGTCTGACGATATCCTCGAATCCCTCAACCGTACTATTGAAATATTAAGCAAAATTTCAAAATATTTGTTCACGGAGAAGCTGTCTCAATATAGGATTGTCACTCATTAGGATTGTCACTAAAGACCTGAGTGGCATAACGCTCATTGGGTAGGGTTAGTTCAAAAACTAAGGGCTCCCGACAGTTAGGGGCTCCATCGGCCACGGCCTATCGCCCAGAAAATTAGAAAACGTAACAAAACGCAGTTCAAGAATCCATGGGAAAATGCAAAATTAATAATGCTAAATAATTATAAACTGCCCCATCAACAACTGTAGCTGATTTTTTTATTCCATCTCAAATAAAACAAAAGTTATTCTTATTAGAAGTTACATGTGTTGGAGACTGGAGACTATTATTGTTATTGTTATAGACACGGAATTTTTCAGAGCATTTTATAAATATTTAATATAAATATACGTAATATGTCAGTCAAATATGCCTAAGGGCCTCCTCTTCCTCGATTATGCCACTGATAAAGACTTTGAAGTTAGAAGGTTTTCAGACTATAGGATGTGAATACAGCGTTGAGAGAGTCCAAAGAAAAGCAGCTCGGTTTTGCTTACGTAACTTTAAACCAATGGAAAGTGTCACTGGTATGCTAAAGGACCTTGGTCCTTGGGTGGGATACATTAGAAATCAGAAGGGAGGAAAGCGAGATTGACAATGATGTATAAAATGTCTCACAATGTGAACTTGGAAGATCATCTGATTCCCCACACTAAAACACGCGGACACGCGGTAGCCATTCTTTTAATTAAATTCAGAGTCCCGAGGATCAAAAAAAGATGTTTACAAATTTTCGTATTTCCCTAAAACAATAAAGGAGTGGAACGAGTTGCTTGAAAATGTAGTTATTTCGGACTCTGTATAACTTTTTAAATCGAACTTTAATGGGGGGGGGGGAGGTATACAAATCCGCCGATCCGCCCGAATGTGAAGCAAAATCCGCGATCCGACAATGGTCTTGTCTAAATTTGAATCCGCTAAAAGCTCTACTATGAAGTCACAATCTAGGATCCGAACTAAATTGCAAGCCAAATCCACAATCCGAGCCGAAATATTAGGTAAATCCGCATTCCGCTGTATTGGTAAGATCCGTAAAATGCGTGTAAAATATTCGCCAGATCCGAAATCCGAACATTTTTTTTCTGTGAAATCCGACGATCCCAAAACCTATTCTAATGATTTTTTAATGTCTTTTTAATTAATAATGGATTTTAATGTTGATAACAAGTAATTTTAATATTTTAGTGTAAATAGTTGGTGCCGATGTCCGTAATGGATTTTACCGACTCAACATATGCAGATGTAGATAGGTATCGCGACTGACTATGTACAGTAACTCATCTGAAGTTTATTCCCAATATTAAAAAAAAACAATGGCTGCCAAAGTGGTTTTGAGTTTCATAGTGTAATGTTTTCTTTATTCTTTTCTTTCCTATCTAATACCAGAGGCTTGAGGCATTTTTGCGCTTGCGCTTTCTGTCTCCCCTCTATGGGGCTCAATATTTTAATATGTGGTTTTCAGGCATACTTTCTTCTAAACGAAAAATTATTTTCGGTCTGGCCTTGATTGGTGGAACATGGTTGTCAGAAAGATCTTTAGATATCAAGCAATTGTTTACGAACTATGGACTTAATACAGACAAGGTAGTAGTAATAGAATTCTTCGTTTTGACGAATTAAGTTTCTTTTCCGTTCATCCCTTCCACCCATTGTCACCACCATCAGATTCATCACACTTTTTACTATCACCATCATCAGCATCATCACCACTACCAAAATAATCATCACCATAATTATGACCACCATTGTCATAACCATAATCACCATCATCCTCATCACCAGTACCATCATCATCATCGGCACCCCCATTATACCATCATCACCATTATGATTTCGCTAACAAGCCCTCAATTATCACAATTTAGCAATGACATTTAATGTGTGTATATATATATATATATATATATATATATATATATATATATATATATATATATATATATATATATATATATATATATATATATATATATAATATATATATATAATAATAATAATATAATAATAATA